CTGTCGTTGAGCTCTAGATTTCTCAAGCCGAAACCTCAAAAGCCCTGTAAGCCCTGTGAGGAAACCACAACTTGGCAAATGCAACACTTTGAAACCGATGCCAAGAAAAAAACCTCCTCATTGTGGGCACTGGACTGCCTGCCCCAAAAGCGGCTCTGCTACCTCAACATCTGCTGTGTCTGCTGTGGCCCAATTTGTCCTCACCAACCCATTGTAACAAAAAGAGGAGCTGTTCTGCAGCCCTTCGTGTTTCAGAGGAATGCCAATCACCCCGCCCTGTGACAGGAAAGAGTTGGAGTCCCTGCACAGCGCGGGGACACCAGCACACGCCTTGGTTCCGTCTGATGCGATCATTATCCTGTTATGTGCAACAGGGTGTGTCGTATGCCACTCAAGTACACGTACGTGGCACCTCCCCAAATTGGCCCCAAGCGCACAAGGCCTGTCCTTGGCTCTTGGGCACCAATGGGCGGGTCTCGGCGGGCAAGGCTTGCCGCCCCAGCTCACCGTGGGCCTCCGGCCATCAGGCTTGCGCTTGCGCTCCCGCTCCCGCTCCCTCCCCTCGCCTCCCCCCCTGGCCTGCTGCTTGCCCTCCGGCCGCCTGCCCGCCGAAGACGGCGGCCCTGCAGACAGGCGCAGACCCCAACGAAGCTGACGGCGTCCCGAATTCACGGCAGCGTGCCGCAGCGGCGGAAAAATGAACCCGGAACGAAGCCGCTCGAGGCCCAGGCGGCAATTCAGCACCTCCCCCGCCCGTGCACCCGCCGAGGGCCACTGCGGCGGACTTGTTCGAATCCAGCAGAACCAGATGGGCGATTGAGCGGGCTGCGCGAATGCGCCCGCGGTTCACTGGCGGGGCGGGGGTGGCAAGCGCTCAAGGATGCCAACAAAGGAATGCATGGCGTCACTTGGAAAAGAGATCGCGGCCGCGGAGGCGCCACCCGCGGGCACGCACCGGTCAACCGCTGCCCCAGCCGCAAGGGCTTGTGCCGTGTGGCGCTTATGACCGGCCCGGATGTCAGGGAGACAAGGTGATCACCGTCGCTGGGCCACAGGGCCATACAGGGCCCCGACCCAAATGAGGATATGGGAAATCGCGGGAATGCGGTTGCTTTCACCCCCGCCCGCGGCTGGCGTTGCAAATGGCGTGTTTGGCAGGCCAAGCGCGGGGGCGAGCCTCAGGCATTTTGCCCTGTGGGCATCACGCACCCCGATGACAAAAATTTTCCGCGAAAGATGGGGTTGTTTTCCTCCGGGATCCCATTTTGGGGCTGGGCCATGAGATGCCAATAGTAACGAGGTAGCACTGTGCCACAGAAGTGCATGGATGCATCCATCCAATCACAGTAAAAACACAACACACTACTGTCACGCCATGTGTTTCTGACTAATTCGGGTGATCAGTCAACATCAACCTGTCAGCAGTCTAAAAGGTCCTCACAAAACCTGTTGAAAGAGATTTTCAACCCTGCGTCACCACAGCACATCGTCACAGCATTTGACACGATCTTGCAGCAAAATTTAGTGAATGTGGTCATCATGCTGAGTGCTCCATGCTGCTCAATATGTTGTCTCGCACCCAAATATCGCAAAAGCTTGCTTGACCTGGGTATCCCTGTACTGCAAGGGTCTATGAGTCATGTCCTTAAGGGAACATTGTCTGTAGGGTGATTTTCACTCGCGGGAAAGCCCTTTGCTACCACTAGTAGCCGATTTCCCATATGGACATTGTCACATGGCAGCCACCCCGCCATAATACTGGCTTGCTTCGAGAGGCCGATATTATAGGTGGGCCGTGGCTGCGATGTGCTCCACAGGTGGCTGAGTGCTGATTCACCATAACAGTGGGCTACCAGGCACTGATGGACAAGCCTCATGGCAAAGTCCAATATCCAAGTGTTCATTGATGCCAAAGGATCATCAGCCCTGGGGCTTCTAACCTCAAGGGCTGCAGCTTGTATGCTTGTGTGTTTGTCCTTTGCATGCGAATTTCTTTTGTGTTACTATCGTCTCTATCTCAGTGAAGCAGCTACTTCACTGATCTGTCATGATAGCACACTCGGGCCATTCAACGGAGTGGTTCATTGACGAGAGGTACGATTCCAGTCACTGACCACCTTTTGAATCAGTGTCGAGTACAATATGGCTACAATATGATGAATTCAACACTCTTCATATCGCGTTCCAAAAGTGTTGGTGTGGCACATTAGGCCACCCGAGGCGGCCCAACTTCTGAAGACATTTCAGCCTCACTTCCGCATCTGTTGTGTTTCATACTTCGCTTCATACGGTGAAGCAGTATTGGTGTTGCTACTTAAGAAAGGCAGTAGATGCACTGCTTCCAATATATTACTTTAGGTAAGACACTATTTTTGACTTCGGCACGCTTGGCGTTAAATGGACGCTGAGAGAGATTACGCAATTCCACCATATTCAAAAGAACATGAGAAGATTCACAACAGGGTCATTGATCAGCGGCAGACAGCTTATTATTTTCTGGTTAATTTCCTTCGAGCTTGTAGTTCTTGAGGAAGTCCTTAGAATGGATCAAGTTACCGTCTTTGGGGCTGCTCCCATTGCCTTGCATGGTGTTTAGCATGCCATTCTAGAACCCACTAAAAACTCGCTACAGTTTTGGCTGTTTTTTCCCCTTTAAGTTATTTTAAAGTTATATCGCACTGTTAAGCAATGTTGCTGAGTCACGACGCTAAGGTGGGGAAGGTGGCGGGGGTGGATGTGTGGTGATCAAGTTGGCGTCTTTTTGATGCTAACCCTTCCAATTCACAATAGTGTCTTCCCTTAATGGGTGCATTAGAATATTTCGGAGCTGTTCCAGTCGCAATTTACGATGCTTCTTCCTCAGCCCCTCCGGTGTTAATTTAGTGACTGTTAAAGGAAACGCACCATCATGCATAGCATGATGGGCCTGTTCTCTTCGAAGTAAGCCAGAGAAGCGGCAATATCTAGGCGATTGGAGGGGTCGCCATCCCACGCGCCGGCGCTCACATGGCCAGGCGACACGGAGTCCAAGGCGTGGTTCACAGCACAGGTTGCTGCGCCCCCAACAGGCTGGGGTGCGCTTAATTTGATCAGCCACGTTCATGCCAATTTCCATCATCTGATACAATGTCCCATTTTCGACCTCTAAGGATTGTCATAATCACAAATGCCCATAAGACAATTCAACCCGATGCCACCTCATCACTGTGGTGCAGCCCACATCTGAAACATGCCACAGCTTCCCTTTCACTCAGAATTCAAAACAACACAATTCTGACTACTCAGGTGCCGCATATGGTCATTTCCAAACGTCCCAACTGCAAAGTGCAAGTACAACAAATCTTGCAAGCCAAAGTGAAAGTAGAGGGCGGTCACAATGCTGTAAAGCTTCGGGAAACACACATCCGAAACTTCCCCACAACACACCCTTGCATCTTGCGGACAAGACACTGTGACCAAGGCATCTCTACGTGAATTGCAGGACATTCTTTCATCAAGCTCATGTTGTCCACAACAAACATGAGTGTGATCGAAAACTACCTCAAAAGCCAAATTCCAAACCAAAATTCGATCACAGAAATGGCTATTTGGTACTTTCAGATTTCTTTCAATCTCAAGCAGCGATTCACGCTTTGACATGCCCACTAGTCGCAAGCCATCAAGCAGAAGTGATCCACCCAGTGAAACGGTGGTCATTATGCGGCGTCGCGAACATGACGTTTTCCCACACATGCCCTCCACAACACCGTTATCATCCTGCTCCTCAAGTTGATGTTCCGTGTGCCGCATTAGGAGCATTATCTGCCACTCGAAATACCTCAGCTGCCCATACAAACCAGCGCCATCAATCCGGGGGCAGCGTTTCTTCATGTGAAGTAACGTCTTTCCCATCATCTGCTGGTCAGCTGCTCCAGCAATCCACATTAGCATATAACAGCGAGCGTTACATTAGTTTTCGAAAAGATTATCATTTGTTCTGGGTCACGATCTGCTGAAGATGATGCACAGGTCACTGGCCCACGGAGCCACGACAGGTCATGTCTTCTAACAACATACAAAGAGCACAGGATGCGAGCCCACTCTTGTATGATGCTGATGTAGGAGATACAGCACGCGTTTGTGCGGATGCGGACTAATGCAGATTGTTCTGTGCAATCCGCACCCACGTTTCAAGCGACTGCACAATGGACAGACCGGCGACCAGCCGTGATCGCAAGTGGCGGATCGTTGAAATGCCGCCATGCTTTTTATTTTTTCAACAATCGAGTACGGCATTGGACGTGTGTCGAAGGCCGAAAGAGCAGCCCTGTGCAACTGCCAAGGGCTGGTGCACAATGAGCTCCGAGGTATGACATTGTGCACAGGGGAAGAGTCATGCAATGTTTGTACTCTGTTGTCGCATCCACGTTGCTGCTATTGTTTGCTTCTGTATACCAAATTTTGCCAAAATTTTGGGCTTTAAAGCCCACCGTGGATGCGCAGCATCGCGGCATTCCCAACGGTTCGCGATCCGTCATTTCTTCAGGAAGTCCCACGCGACTGAGAGGCGAACTAGACAAACCGTTACAATAATGACAATATTATATAACAACAGGCAGCAGAGCCATGAAGCCGATGAGCCCCCAGGCTCTTCCTCCTTTGAGCTACCGGACAAGGCGACCGCGCCCAGACCTATGTGATTTTTCTGCGCTGCACTGCGCCCATCTCACTCAGCGCACACGACAAGATCGTAAACCGAGACAAAGAGCCCATTCGCACGTTTCACTCGCTCCAAAGCCCTCCCCGCATAGTAGTTCCAATATCTTAATTCGCCCCTCCTCGAAGGTCAGTCCCACCCCCAGGCTTGTCCTTGGTCCCTAAATCGAATTAGTCACATCCATAGGGCAAACATACACGCCCAAATGCATCAGTGCTGCAGAAGACGACCTAGTATCTTCCTCGTCGAATAGCGGGTATCTCCTTGTCATCGTGAGGGTGCAGTGCTCGTTTCTCTAACGTCCTCAGGCCTGGTCCCCAGGGGGCCCTCCTTCAGCCACAGCAGTGCCATCTGCGGCATCCCCACCAGCCACACAGTAGGTGGTGCTCCTGCCTCGGCCACGGCCACGCCCTCTGCCTCTGCCACGCCCCCCGCGGTATGCACCACGCCTGGCACCATTGGCATCCCCATATTCACCGCGCCCGCGGCCGCGCCCCCTGGCCGCACATCAGAGCTCAGGGCACATGTGAGAGAGCGCCCATGGTGCCAGATGGTGGAATATATGTTGGTGGGTGTCGTTTACATCCAATTGGATGACGCCATGGCATTGCATTAAGCTAATGATTGGCTATGATGGGGAACATTGATTGTCTAAAACACTGCAAATTATCGATCGCAAATAGCATCCAGACGTGCAAAAAGTGCAAATGCAGTTGCAATGCCCCTCTTGCACTGCGCGAATAACCACGCCTTCCTCTTCATGTCTCTGGTCAGGAGCTGGTTTACTCTGGAATCAGAATGAAGCGAAGTTTGGCATGCTTGAGCCTGCTGGCAGCTGGTGGATAGTTGGTGTCTCTGGCAATGCAAACATCCAGGTGGACATAGGTTGCCACGCACAGCCAAGCCAGAATTCGACATGGATTTGCTTCATAAGGAATAGCAATAAAGGGCATGGAGCAGTTTGGGACACACAGGAACAAGGGCAGCAGATGTCCTGGTTGGAGCTGGAGCATTTTGAGCTCATGGGTCAGTACCTGCCTCCCCCACGGCCCCTCTTTGGGCCTCCTGTGCGCCTCTCAGGCTCTCCTAGCTGCAGGGGCTTCACTTCGGTTTCATCCACTGGGGGTTGATAGCCGGGGCCCTCGGAGTCGGGTGGGACAACCGAGAGGGTGATTGTGATCACGGACACATGCCGTGTGAGCTCCAATGTGCTGAGGCCCTCCTCCTTGGGCTCCCATGTGTCCGTGATGTCCACGGAGGCGATCTCTGTGTTCTGATGCAGGCCCCCAACCCTCCTCTTCATGATCTCAGCTGCGGACGTGCAAATGCCGATACGAGCGCAATCAGTCCACATGCTGCATCTGGTCAACACACCATCGCGCACCACCCACATGCCACACGGCCATCGATCCCCAAGCGCGGGCACCGTTCCCCCAATGCTCCGGGTTTTTCGCAGATCGATGGGATTGACAGCGCGCGGCTTTGGCTGGGTGGATGGCGCGCGGCCGCGTGGCCATTGTCGCCGCGTCTCACGGAAACATGTCCAGCAACGCTGACGGCACTAACGCCCACTCACCGAGGGAAACCGTCTTGTTGATGGCCCGCCCCATCCCCTTCAAAACCACAGACTTGTGGCCCTTCTCCTACAGCCAAAGCGCAGCGGGCGCAGTTTTCACCGACGTTCCAATCGCGCATCCATCCGTGGGTCGACCACCATGTGCCAGCGTGGCACATCCCATGAGGCGGCAATTGCCCCCGGCGACGAGCCCCACGGCCGGGCGGACGGCGGGACGGCGGCGCCGGCAAACGCCTCGGCGGCCCGGGCGAGTGTGCAGGATCGCACCTTCAGGAGGGACGCCGCGTAGTTTATGTAGGAGTGCAGCCGGCCCACCGTGGTGACGCGAACCTGAATACCGCAAACAGATCTCAGCGGGAGACGGACAAGCGAGCCGCGCAGGGCGCACGGGCAGCCGCAAAACCCGCCGCTCGCGGCCAGAAGCGCCCGTCCGGGCTACCCACCTCGTTGTCCAGGATCGGGGTGTCATCCTTCTTCTTGTCGACGCGCACGAACTTGTCCATGTCGACGCGATCTCTGCGGGCACAGGCGCAGCGTCGAGCGCGTCAATGGGTCCGCGGCGGACGGAGAGATCCGTAGGGCGGTGCCACGGGGCGGCCACGGCCGGCGCGCTGCCACCCCTGTGGAACGCGCGGCGAACCGCAACTACGGGCTCAGACATACGGCTCACGCGAGCGCAGGCCCCCCCCCGCCGGCCGTCGCCGCGCCCGTCGCGGCGACTCGGCGACGGGACTCGAGTGCGATCCACTCCTCGAGGCCCGCGAGAGTGCGGAGGCGGACGCAGCCCCCAAGCCACGAGTGGCATCGCCGCCCCCTCCCCCCGTCCGGGACCGCCGGCGACAGTGAAAAGCCAGCGACAGGGATCGGAACAGTTCGCTCAGAGCCGGCGCCCTTGTGCGCTCGCCGCAGCGCCGCGAGCCGTCTTCGCCCGAGGCGCCCGAATCTGGCTCGGCGGGGTCCAGCCAAAAGTACAGCCACGGACAACATCCAGTTGGAGGACATCCAGATGGCGAGTTTCTCGTGAGGGCGCACGAGGACGGGGAGGGGTCGGTACCGCCGCTCCCAACCCCACGCCCTCCTCTCGCGCCATCAGGTCCTCCGGCGCGGGATCCCACGCCCGGCAGCGCCAGCGCCGCATCATCCGCACGCGCGGGGCCGACCTCCCCCCGCCCCCACCCCCCCTGCCCCCCGCCCCCCGCCATCCCACCACCCCCGACCGACGAAGGATCACCGCAGGCGCATCCGGCCGCCCAGCGGCGGCCGCGGCGGGAGCCCCAGCCCCGCACGGCGCCAGTCCGCCCAATATCGCTCACGGGGGCCGCGCGACGCGCCCGCGATCGCCGTGTTACGGGTTGGGCCGGCGGGTCAGGCACCGCGCCGCACGCACCTGTCGCCGGCAGCCTCGTCCCAGCAGGGTCCTCCGCCGCCGCCCTCGCGTGGCCGGGATCCAAAGCCGACCGCTCCCCGCCCTCGGTCCGGCTCCCCCAAGCTGGCGCGCCCCTCCTGCCCAGCGCCCCTGTCCGCCGCCCACCGGATTGAACTCCGCTGCCTGCTGCGGGGGGTGGCCGGGGGGTGGCGCCGGCCTTTACTGTTCGATGCCATGGGATGACAGCAACGGAGCCGGTTTTTTGGGCCGGGGCATGTGGGGCGGTCGCACATGCGGCGGCGCCAAGCTGGATCAGATGCTGGCGGCGCAGCTGCGGCAGTTGGCGCCGTGGCCGTAACACACTGCAACGGTTCGTCGAAATCGGCACTGGAGGGGTTTGGGGCCTCTCCGAGACCGAGCCAAACCGGGCGTGGAAGCCGCGCCTGAGTGCGTTGTGCCTGCCCTGCGGGACTCCGCGCCCGGGCGGGCTTCGGGCGGCGGAGCAGCCGGTCGTTCTGGGGGAATCGAGGGAAATAAGGCGAAATTGGGGCTGTTTTCTTGAGGTTTTGAGACGCTCCGTGCTCCGTCTTACGACACGCCAGGTTGCCAGCAAACCTTCGCTCGCCGCCTGCTGGCCCTTGGCGCTAGCATCGTTCGCCATTTGGTGCCCAGGATGGTGACACTTAGACGGAGTGCCAAATGTGTGATGGTCACCGTTGAGCGGCAGCCCTTTCTTCCTTTCCATGTCCCCATCTCATGGGCCATTCATTGAGAGCGCACCAGACGGTAAGGTCTCATCCTTCGGTCGCTAATCGCGGTGGGAAATTATGGTCCTTACACCAGACTGGATGAGCCCACCATAGACATTGTCCTTGCCAATTTCAGATGAAGTTGTCCCGAACCATAGAGTAACATAGAGAAAACGCCGCACCAAAAGAGAAAACACGCTTCCGATTGACATTAATAGGCGAAAGGGTGGAATTTGCTGCCTGGCGCCCCTCCCTGCCGCATCTGTCTCAATGTCGCTGAGACCGTTGTGCAGCGGTCGCCCCATGACATCGTTCCCTGCGCACTGGTGCTTCGTGATAACACTCATTATCACGAAGCAGCTGAATGTCCCGTACCTGGGATCCCTACAGAAAACCAAAATTTCACAGCAGACCCCACGGCAGTCCCATCTAGGTCTGGAAGTTCTGGGCTTGGAAGGCCACAGCTATGCCTTTACAACAGCACGATCCATGGGTCCATCCTCATCAGCAGGCTTGGGTTTTTACGCCGCAAAAACTGATCTTATTTGCGTTTTAATGAGAAAATTTTAATGAGAAACAGTGTTTGCAGTTTTTCGCAACAAAATACGTAAATGCGACGTAAATGCAGCCCCATGTACATAAGGACAGTACATGCAGACTTGGGGGGTCTGAGGAGTGCCACTACCCTCTCCCGTACTCAGGGGCAGCTGGTCCACATCTACTGGCTCAGATCCACTTGGTTTGAGAGTGCGCTGAACGACCAAGATGCCCCCCTTTGCGCGGACTGGTTCCTCATGAAACAGCGCTTGTCACAACGGCGATCACCACCAAAAATAGCAATGGCAGTGGAAGGACGTCTCAAACGGGCAGCAGATAACTAACCGCTGGCCAACGCACGCAGATATGCTTGTAGGAGGGCTGCAACTGCCGTCCAGAGCTCCGCAACCCATCACAGCAGCTCCTCAAAGGTAGATGAAGCCAAAAACGTCGGTTATGTCCACGGGTCATATCGGCTCTATCAACAATGCAGCAGCACATGGCGCAGCAGGGCTTCTTTCCATCTTGCCACGGCTGTGCAGCGACGACGTTTGACCCATTTTGGTCGGCGGCAAGATCGCACTCAAGGGGTTGGTCGTGAACGGCAAGAAAAGCGGCTCAAGACTGGCCCAAAGTGGCCGCGACCTTCGTAAAGGTCAAACGATATTGCACTCAGGCCATGGCGCACGTGGCGCGCACAGCCAGGGGACTCAGGCAGACAGGCCGCATGCCCAGACCGGCGAGCGAGCCACACAGAAACCACCCGCAGTTGTTACAGCTGCCATGCTGAATTCAACACCGCATCGTCCTCTACGGCGCTCTTCGCACCCTCCGCACTTATATCCGCCCAAGGCGTCCGACACTTCACACTATACCCCCTTTGTGTGTAAGAGTCTTTTGATTCCCCGAATCTTCTTATCACATCATCGTATCGCCGCGATTCGGTCCGGTACACCCCACTTCCCACGGTCAGTGGCCGCAGAATGCCCCGCGGGTCATACCCCCGTCACATAGTCATATGGCGCAACCACACGGCTCCCCCCCCGGCTCGCTCTCATCGTGTTCCACGGCAGACCGCAACCGCAACAAATCCCCCTCCATCACCAACAGGGTTCCCGTTGATAAAGTACACAGGTCGGCCAAATAGTGGCCAAAACAACGTCTGTTGACGCATTTCCTTAAGCACCTCTTGAGAATAGCTGTCAATGAAATAAGGATGACACAATCATCTTGAAAAATTGACTTGCAGCCGATTTATGCTTCCTAATCCAAACTTAGATCAACCTTCACAACACTAACTTGCTGAATATACGCACACCTGCTTGATGATTTCGGCTTCGCCCCGCCTTATTGTGCACTAGCCTCTTAAATGATGGTCATATTAGTGAAGGTGCTGAGGCTGTAGACACCCGCTTTCCACAATTCTGGAACTTACGAGTTGCCCGCTGAGCAGTACCATGGAGACACTACTTTCCTGATGAGTCCCATTATTGGCGACCCGAACACTAAGTTTACGATTAATGCACAATGTCCTGTGCGGCTACTCCTCTAAGCCTCACAGCAACCCCCCGCCCTCACAGAGGGCGATAAGCTTGCACAAGTGGAAATGGCCATATCTGGGGCGCGTCCTGGGACGCCGCCAGGACGTCATTGGGACGCGACTCAGCACGTGTCCCAAATGGGACGCTTATAAGTTTAAGTAATTACTTACTTACCCTGGAAGGCGTCCCAGAAAAGCGTCCCAGGACGCAACTGGGACGCATCCTAGAAAGCGTCCTTTATTGTCACTTTGCGTCCCAATCACTGGTAAAAACATGCCAGATAACACAGTCCTGACATGGTCTGCTCAAAATCCAATTGTGTACTTTCGGCAAATGTGGTCCCAAAATTACACAGTTAGTACACACATTGACACAGTTTTAACTGTGCATCCTAGGAAACTGTGTAGTCTACACAGTTGTTTGAGGGTACACTGTTGAGTCTATGTCAATATGTGTACTAACAGTGTTCTTTTGGGACAACAATTGCCAAAAGTGCACAGTTGGATTTTGAGCAAACCGTGTCAGGATTGCGTCATCTGGCCTGTTTTGTCCTAGGGAATTGGGACCCGTCCCAAATAGCATCCCGGGACGCGTCCCAGAAAGCGCCCCAGAAAAGCGTACCAGGATGCATCTGGGACGCATCCCAAAATGCGTCATTTAATGTCACTTCGCGTCGCAGTTGGGACGCCCACCCGGACGCCACTGGGATGCATGGGGCGCTTTTCGGGACGCGCCCCAGAAGGGGGGATTTCTATTAGTGTTGCCTAGCACGCAAAATAACGTGTCTTTGACATCAATTGTCGGTGCCGTTGCAAATTCCCTTGACTGCATTTGCTTGAATGCACTCATCACTCATAGCAAGTCCATCAAGATGGTCATCCTTACCCCTGTTCATGCTAACGCGCTACTGCATGAAAAGAATTTAGAGGCCGAACTTTTACATGATTACGGGAAATTTTGGAGACATACATATGTAAATACAAAGGGTGATTTGTGCGCTAGGAGGACAAAAATATTCGGAGCGCAGCATCCACCTCAAGAGGGAAACCGCATTCTTAGCACTCTGCAGAACGTCAGATCAGGCTGCTATCTTGATTTCAATGCTACTTGCATCCTTTGAACGCGACAGCGGACTTGGTTCCGGGTGTCGCCGGTTCGGGGCGCGGTGCGTGACATGGTGTAGGCACAGCACAATCCCGTGAAATCATTCAGTTTCCTGGAACCAATTTTGGCGCTCGCGGAATTTTTAGGGACACCAGGAGCCGCTAAGGTCACTAGAAAGAAAAGAGCCAAATAACACGTGTTCAAATGTGTGCAAAGTTTACGGGTTTGTGTTATTTTTGTGTTCCTAGCGTGCAGAACTTTGATGAAATGTGTTTTATGTGTGTTCGCAAAAGTGTTATTTCACCCTTTTTTTCCTAGTGGGCGAATTTGCTGGGGCTCATTCGCGCATCAATACTTTCCACGGTAGTCGCAAAGCGTGGCTGGTGATTGTGGACGCGATGTCTTCAATGTTTGGGAAAGCACCGGCCGGGAGCAATCGGTTTGCGGGCTTGAACGACACCGAGTGACAGGTGATGGCGCCTAAACGCGGTTGAAGTACTGTCCAGTGGGCGTCGCCGACTCCATATCAGATCTAAACCCAGCTATATTTTCAGGTACCGTACTTCGTGACGCTGCTTTGGTGCGTGTTGACATTTCGCTACTAAAATAGCAGATCATATTTGTTTGACTTTTTCTGGGCTAATAATTTGTTTCTGATGTGTAACGACTGAATTTCAGTAAATTCATACCATGCCGTACTGTACCGCTGTGACAGCGGTACAGTACAGCACAACATTCAGTGTAGTGAAGGATCAAGTGCGGCATGGTTTGGTAGCATTTAGGATCCCTGCCATGGAACGTGCGTCTCAGGAAATCTACACGCGACTCCTAATACTGCTCCCTTGACAGGGTCCCGGGCTATTGAATGGGACTTGGGAGGGATCCTGGACCGCAAAGAAACATCCTGACCCCACAAAGTCTCAAGTCTTTGGCTTATGTTCACTGGAACATGATTCATGGAGTTTTCCAGACGTACTAATTTGAAATTTTGGGATGCCGATTGCATATTGGTGCACAGATAAAATAATGCAGCTCATAGTTTCTCCCTGTCGATTCTGACTTAATCTGACATATTAAACACAAACACCGTAAGCAAGCCATAGGGGTATTCATTCTGACGCAGTTCTCGCATTGTCCACCATTGGCATAGGAGCAGAGTGTCACACACTCTGGTTTATGCTAGGATAAATGGATGCATGATGTGTGTGATCACCCACGTTGGAGGCCTGTGCTGATTCGCGCGTGAGTTGGCGGGATAATGCCTTTGTGGACCACAAATTGTGGTGCCACCGGATGGGATCGGTTGCGTTGACGGGTCTGGGTCTTGTGGGGGTGCTTCATGAAGCTAGGCGACTGATGGCTTTTGATCATTGTGGAGTAGCATCGATGCAATTTTGTGCTTACGAACTTCTGAAAATGAGAAGCTAGAAGTTTGGTAACAGAGGTATATGTGAGTTCTCCTGACAGAGCAAATGCGCACCGCCGATGGCTTTGCCAGAACAGTTCTCCGCAACTGTGCACGTGTTCGGAAATTTGTGAGACCTGATTCTCCCATTTGTGCGGGTGAATCTGGGCCCCGCACTGGGCGCCGGGCAAGAGCGTGGTGTATGGTTTGTTAAACGATGATCGTTCAACACGGTTCACTCAGCGATCTGCATGCCGCGGAACCCCAGGATGGAGCGAAAATACCAAGGCAGGCTGGTTGGACATTGGCCGCATATGTTGTCCTTGCTGGTCAACACGCGGTAGAGTTTTGGCATCTACAGTTATATCCATCTGGGCAGATCTGCCCTGATCCTATGCAGAATATTCTGGAATACTCTACCTAGGATTAATCCCCTCGCGAGGGGACCCCTGACCAGAGGGTTACCGGGTAAGCCGTAGATGCATCGTTGGATATTGTCCATGCGCGGTGCGCGTTCCGTAGACGACCAGGGAGGTAGCTGTCTTGCTGCGTCGACCCCCTCTGAAGATGGGGCAGTCTCACTGGAACTTGGTTCTGTGAGAGGGTGTCGGGGAAGGATAGGAAAATATGAGTGATGACGAAGTGAATGAGGTGCCATATTGTATGTTAGAGGGGGGGCTGTTGGCAAGGCACCTTCGAATCTGATTACGACGAGTAATGGCTCATTTTTCTGGAACCGAACAATTGCAGCAATTTCATGTGTTTGCAGATGTTCCCACGAATCAACCATCACGGTGAGCTCACACGCAAGCCAAAGATATACGATGAAAACCTCTGAGTCACTGTGCACGACTGCGACGTTCTTTTATGGAGGAAAGAGGCGTTGAATCTAGATATGCTCATGTTGGGTAAGACTGCTGAGACTCTTTTAGAACCCTGCGAGTGAAATCTATTCGGTGTTGGTTGTGGTGAATCTAATTCCGACTGTAAGGTATTGTCTGGACACACCAGAGGGCACCGAGGTGGTGTTTCTGATCGGCGTCTCGCTTGGTGTTCCATCTGTGGGGAGATGCCCCACGGATTTCTGTGGGGCGATTTTCGCTGTATTTTCAATAAATCTCCATACTCACCGCGCTCCATCAACCTCCGCACACTCAGCAATCCAGCATGGCAACCCAACACGCAATGATTTCCTACACTGAAATCCCAACAGACTTTCTCCTCAGCAGAGTTTGGCGCTGGGGGCCGTGGATCTGCGTGGGGCGATTGCAACAATGTCAACCACATGAAGAACACCTAAGGGTGGTTAGCTTGTGCCGCATTGGATGGACATATCATGGTCAGGAGCTGACGTGATAGAGCCATAATGGAGGCCGATTTTTCTCGCCTGGGAAGCTGGCGCTGTCATGGCCGCTATCGCAGCCCCACGGATGAAGGCTTTGGTTTCGAAGACATGAGTGGAAGAAAAGCACAATTTGGGCAGGCACCGCTTCCAGACATGGTCATCCGTTCGTCTGATAACGAGTTCACGGCATTGAAAACTTGGGGCAAAATTCTGCGGCAAATGCTTTCAAGCATGGCCACGCGCTCGCAGCACATGTTCGCCAACAATCCCGTGCGGGAAGCTGAGGAAGGCTACTGACAGGGAGCCTTTGCCCAGAGAACCGCATCCCTGAGTGCACTTGTTGCAGCGCACGCTCTTCAAGATCAAGCAATGGAACTCCCACGACCAGATGGCATATATACATAGAAGTATGCCTGTGAAATTGGCATACGCGTTCACCAGCATGGCTGCCACGAGTCGTCTTCCTTGGCCTGCGCACGCCAACGCCCTTCTGCGCAGCTGCACCAGGAGGCGCTGCGCCACGGATATCGCTATCTCCCACTGCAGATGCGCTCTTAACCTGCGAACAATTTGCTGACAGCTTACACTGATACACGAGGCCTAGTATCCCAACTCTGAAAAATAGAATGTCCCACTACGCTGCCCTAATATCCACCCGCTTCGGCACACAGGGCCCCCGTGAAAGTTGCGTGTTTCCCCGTCACGTTTTCACACCTCGCTGCATCATTATTGGAAAGCACTCGGAAGTCGCTGGCGCCTCAGCTCAGACCCTATCGGCTCCGAGCCTCAGGGGTGCCTCGGAGTGGTACCCCGTGGTACCTCGGAGTCCCAAGATACCAGCCCATGCAACTTGCCTGGCCAATCCCACCAATTGTCGGTGTTCCCAAGGAACCGAACGCGCTTGTCGCTGCTCGGCGCTCGGGCTTGGAACCGGCGGGCGAGCCTGATGCATCGCTTGCATGTGCGTATTCACCTGTGGCTTGTTTTCAGGGGCGGAATTGCGGTGATACCTGCGCTCCTCCACCGCCAACAGCCAACGTGTTTGCCAGAGAAAAAATGAAGCTAGTTCCGATAAGCACACCGTGCTGACGTCGTTCTAGCTAATTAGACACTCCTCTGGGACGCCCTTGGTCGAGGACCACGACATGGAACGCATGTGAGCCCCCGCCTGATCCCTCGGTTTCAAGAGCATGCGTATTCCCTGCGTCCCTTTGGTCTGCAGCGTCAGGTGCGTGCTCTCTCGTTGGGTGATACCCTCGACACCGCCCATCTGCAAAGAGAAGCAGTGGAAACAATCAGGCGTTCCGCTAGGGGACCCATCGTCGCAATGCGTTGTGTCTTGATCACTATCCAGACACTGGGTCCTGTGGGTGTGAACACAACAGTGATGGAATGGCGCCACCTGATTCTCTCACAATCCAATACCAATATGCACTTCTTGTGCATCCAACAAGGTCAATGTTACTGCTTTTGAATTTCAATGAATGCAGTGGCATCTCAAGTGATAAACTCAAAGTGCGTGACTATTGTACACAGAACGCCATGTGGCAGGCTCATGGCGGGCTTACATGCTTTACCTGGCGCAATGTCGCTGTGTAGTTGGAACAGATTCAAGGACATGACTGAGTTTCTTCTTTTTCCCTGCAGAATAACCTTCTTTACACTACGGATTTCAGTGTACGCTGCACGCTGTACTTCACTATACGCCATAAATGTAGTAAAAGCCGAGGTTGCAAAGGATGCGTGCGGCACCAGCATAAGTTGCATGAAGAAATGTAATGATGCGCACACAGAATTTGCTACTACACACAGCCTTGGGAAGGAGGCGTGATAGGATTTCGTGATCCTCTGTGTTCTCGCTCCAGATATGGTATCTGCGTTAATCTCACTTAATCCCCACAAAGGGATAGTCCAAGTCGTTTTGTCGCCGAGGGAAACCTAGTCTACGGCATTGACCCATGTGATTGAGCGGAATTCTCCATACAGAAATTCATGCTGTACCAATCGGGGCGAATACAGGTGCTGCTGCATATAGTAGATTTTGTCGCCGCCATTCCAAATTCCGATGGCAGAATCAGACGGTAAAAGATATCGGAAATGGCGCTAACATGCCTTGTGTGCTTGTCATAGGGACATGAGCGGGCACTTGTATGCAATTATGCAGCTGGCGCAGCCTAACACATCGACTCTATTCACGTTGATAGATTCTTCCAAAAATAACCAACATTTTCACCAAGCCCTAGGTGGCCATCGCACCTCAGGAGCCAGCCTGAACTGAAAGCTCCCTAACAGCTTCGCCAGAACAGTGACAACCTCCATCTTTGCCAGCGACTGGCCAACGCAATTTCGTGGGCCATGGGTGAAGGGCATGAATGTCAGGCCGTGTGCCGTTTTGTCTTGCCGGCTGTTGTATGTGTACGTCTCTGTTGGAACGTCAAGCCACCTCTCGGGAATGAACTGCGAGGCGTTGCTCCAGTTGTGCTTGGAGTTGTGCAGGGCATAAAGGGGGATGACAGTCAGGACGCCGGCCGGAATGGTGTATCGGCCAATTGTCGTGGGTCTTTCTGTGATCCTGAAGGAGACACAGTGAAGATGTCGTGACAGCATCAAACTCTATACATGACATGTGTTGCACAATACCCACGAATCCAGGCGAGCCTCGCACAAGACAGAGTGGCACACGTCATAATGCAAATTGTGCACTGCATCTCTGCTGCACTGGAATGTGCAAGCATATGGCGCACATATTATCAGTGCAGTATGATGGAGGCACAGTCCATTTTTGCCGGCATTTTGGAGTCCAGGGTAAGATATCAACAACCGCCAAAATGCTGAGTTGAAAACCAAAATTCCATAGGCGGTCCAATGGATTCACATGCCAGTGTTCGTGAAAATCCCATTCCTGGTTCCTTGTATAAGGAGTGTACTTGGAATGCTATTTCGAACTCACGAGTCAATAGCTGCATTTGCTGTACTGCAACGTTCTGAATGCTTTTGCACCCGTCCAGGATTTCACAGTGCAGCGAACACTAGGAAAAAAAGGGCCAAATAACACTTTTTCGAACACACATAAAACACATTTCATCATAGTTTAACACGCTAAGAACACAAAAATAACACAAACCCGTAAACTTTGTACACGTCTGAACACGTGTTATTTGGCCCTTTCTTCCCTAGTGGCAGTTGCATCCCCACATCGCGATTCAAAGTCGCTTTCTAAGCCCCCATTGCATCAGATCGATGATGGCAGCACGGAATGAAAACATACGTGCTGGAGCAAAGTCTTTGAAAATGTTGATTAGATGCAGGAGCGGCGTCTCGACAACGTGAGAAATAAATTCAATCACTAGTCATAAATGATCATGGTTAACTGCACCGATGCTTGCAAATACATGCCCTGTATCGAGGTTCCAAAGGCACCCAAGATATATGCCAGCGGACATACTGCCCGCCTGCTTTCCCAGTAGCATTGGTTACGTAGAGCCAAGAAACACCTGCGACAGCGCAACTTAAGCTACACTGCATGGTTATTTCAAGCACAATGTACTGCACTCTGCATCGCTACTAATGCGTATGGTATTGTTATTGCTATTACACAATTTTCTGTGATCAGACTCTATTCAACAAGAACAGAAGCTGCGGCAGTTGGTGTAAAACTCTTGAGAGTGTGCAACGCACACTATATGGGTGCACTGCATACGCGATTGAGCGAAGGGTCCAGAATACCACGTTGGGCAACAAGCGTGCAGCGAAGAAACTCACCTCGCATTCGCCACAGAAACCACAGGATACATTCGCATGGCCTCCTTGATGCAGCAGGACAGGTACTTCAACTTGTTTATGTCTTGATATTCGAATTCCCTCGCCGTTCTGAGCGGGTGGGAAAGCAGCCCTGCGGCATCAAGCTCCTCCGCGACTTTTTCCTGGGCGTCTGCGCCAATGCACACGTAGCTAGCTCAAGTTGCATGTTTTCTGGATCTTGCATTTCTTCTGGAAAGGGACTTCGCCTGCTTTTTCTTGCCCTTGTACATGCCTGTGACTTGTGTGCTGGTCTGTTTAGAAATTCTGAGGGAAGTTCGTACAATAGTGCAAATCTGAGCCTGGACCTTGAACCTGAGTGCTGTATGCAAATGTCCAATGTGATGACGAAGCTCCAATGAGCAAAACTGTTATTGATCATGCTGTGTGGTGTTGGTGATGGTGGTGATATTGCTGCTGTCGATGAGGCTCGTGGTGTTGCCACGTTTGCTCCAAAGCGCAATAGCATGACATAAAAGTTGGCTCGTTTGTTGGTTTGCTCAACGGCATCACAACGAAGGACAACCAAAAGAATGGCAGTATCTAGGAGAAACAAACTACACTAGGTTCATGCACTGTAGCCTGCATTGCTTGTGAGTTTCTCACATACAATTGAACCTCATGAGCACAAAAGGATAGTGTCCACTGCGTATATGGTACATCATCTCGAACCAATATCCGCCTCAATTCTCCGTAACACCAATTTCTCAACAGACAGACAGCATTCAAAGGCTACGTTGTTTTGGAGTCACTCAGCACAAATAATTGGGACTGCCAGGGCTCAAATGAAACTGGTGCATGCATGCACACTTAAAGTATCGACGTGCAATGACTCGAACCTCACTGACACTGATGCACCCTGTTAAAACACACAGCACCACTGCCGAAGACCACTTGGGGCTTCTCCACAGAATCTGGGTCAGTCTTTCTCACCTTTGTTTGTGGCAAGACAGAAAAGAGTCCAGCTGATGGTATGACCTGTCGTCTCGAATCCCTCAACGAACAGGATTCCGATTTCGGACAGGATGCGCTCGTAGCTGACTGATCCATTGTCGGCAATGCGCATTAGTTGGGCCGCAATGGAGAAATCATCATCCGCAGGGGGCCCGCGAAGCTTCAGTTTCTTCAGCAGCGCTACCATCTCCCTCTGAAAGTGGTCAAAACTTCTCTGACCTAACATCAGTAACGCCGACAGTACGTCAATTACAGAAAATTATGTAAACCAGAGTGGCAACATGCGAACGTGTGCTGTCCATTTCGTCTGACAAAGCCAACTACTGGGGAAAAAACTCTGGGAAGCTGGTTATTGCCATGACGGCATGAATGCCTCAACCAACAGCGGCTTGGTGCTTATGAAAGAGCTATGCAAAGCTGCCATCAGCAATCAAGCACATGCAAGTTTCACTGCACATTAGCTGCACAAGTCGAAGGTATTCTTCCCCTTTATAGCAAATGGAGGGCCTCTTATGAATGTTACAAAATTGGAATCGGAGCACCAGCCTTTGAAGCAGGTAAACGCACTTAAACTACGGCTGTCTGCACTATGATTATCAGGTTGACCGGACTTTCTCACGTGCTCATGCACTGTGGCTCCCAGGCGCAGGAAGGCTGCAATCAAATGCGCCAAGGATGAGTGTATCAGCTAAATAACAGTCACTGCAGTAATTTTCACTTCACTATCTCCATTGTCCCCATGTATATTCACCACAATACCATGTTGACCGTATCTACTTCTCACCATAAATATACGCCATATATCACATACCATACATTAACCATTCCCTTGCCCTCACAATGATAATCAATTACAAATATGCCAATGCAAGATAGCCCATCCCAGGTGTGCACCTTTCTCTCCATTTCTGAACCAAGACCTTGGAAGCTCTTTTATTGACCGGAAGGGATTAGCCATTCGAAGCTCAACCTCAGTAAAGCATCTGGGCAGCACCCGAAGCAGGTGGTCCCTATTTGGAACTCCTTGCTTCACACACTCAAAATCGTGTCCAAATGCTGCCTGTCATGGATCAACACAGTAAATGTTCAGTATTACAAACGATTACTCCGACAGAAAATGGTACTCTGTGCAAGCTGCATTGTATACAGTTACAGGCCATCGGAGCAGCTGGTTCCATTTCGATGGGACGAAGCAGCATAACAGATTATTTGGTGCTGTTGAATGCCCTAGCACAGACAGTGGTTGGAACTCCTCCAATGCAAATTGCAGCATGAGCCCAACATGGTTGCAATATGGGGGAGGCACCACGGTGAACTGCACTGCAGGTCCTGCAGTTGTCTGGAAGTCGAACTCACTCCAGTTGATCCGCCTCAATGTGGCAATAGATTGCATCATCAATTAGCATAAAAATCTTGCCTCTGAGCGTGGAAATGGGTTCTCTTTTCGTATTGCTAATCAAGCTGTATGCTGGTCAACAGGCACGAGGCATCTCAATGCGTTCCAGAGCTGTGGAAAAACTGCTCTTAACTCCTGAATTTTTGCAGAAGCGCACACATCAAGCAAACATCCAGTCGATTGAACTTGGCGGATCTGCAATTGTCAGCCTGAGCAATCTCAATTGGAACTCGCAAGGAATGGGTTTTTCTAAACATCACAGCAGAACTGGCACGATCTGGGCTGTAAACTCTGTCACTATATATGCCGGTACAGCGCCACGCCAATCTGCACACATGCATTTCGAAAATGGCTGTCCCAGACACCTCACAGAAGATGGAGCATCCGCATTATCAACTTGCTGCAAGATCAGCACATGGCAGCACTCTGCAACTCCGTTCATTGCTCTCAATCAAATTCATTGTGTGGCAACTCACCAGGCCAATGACGTCCAGTGTCACCCTCAGTGCTGCCTGGTCCATGTCGACTGCCCGGTCTGGTCCCATCACCTCCAACCTCTCCACTAGGTCATTCACCCTCTCCAGCACCATGCCAAATTTTGGCTTTATGTTCCTCAGGCTGAACGACACTGCAACAGCCTTTCGAACAATCTTCCATGTTTCATCCGAGGCTGCTGTAAGCAAGTTGGGGTGTCCATCCTTGCTGACCATCTGCCACAGTGACCATTGCATGCATTATGGTGTGCAGACGCAGTGAAAACTCGGCCACTGGTACTGTGTGACTTACAGTAAAAGACATTGTGATTGCAATCATGGTCTGGGGCATCTATCATGAACAAAAGCTCCAAAAGCAGCTGGATGAGCGCTAATATGCAGCACCAATTAGAGTAACTGTAGACCTGCAGGGCTGTGTTCTTTCCGCTTGTGCCTCATCACAGCGTAGTTCAATTCCCAGAGCACACTGTATCAGTGTACAAATTCACTGACTGTCATATGTCACAGTACTGAACAGGAATGTACCTACTTAACGAAACACACACTGCTATGTTGGTGCCTACAGCAGAGTGGCATGCCCCCAAACTGCACATCTCTGGAATTGAATGGAGCACTGGCTATTGTTTACTGATTTCAGCAGTCAGTAAACAATTCAAATGCGTCGGTGCCATGAGCGATAGCGGGCCCTTCTGTGGGTCAGGAAGCCGCCAGGGGCTCATTGTGGCATGCCTCTGCACGGATCCCCCAGGTGAATTGATGCTACAGTTATGATGCATGTAGTTCCAAAACGCAATCAAAAGACTTGCACTCCCCGCTGGAAGTGCTGGGACTGCTTCCAGTCGATCCAGCCACGGGCACGGCAAAGTTGCCACATCCGCACGGCCTTGGCCTTTTTGTGTCCAGAAACACTATCAGAAAACACCGTGTTTGCAATGCTAACTGCGGTGCCAATTTGACACAAAGCTGCGCCATCACAGTGATTGCGATGGCAAAAAAGCGGGTGTGACGGCACCAATTAGCATCAAATGGCATCGCAAAAATGTCTATTTTTGTTGGTGAAACTCGCACGCCCAATCGGCGCCTCGGGCCAGCGCAATGCGGCGCGGCTCCCGCCTCCCGGCGGGGACGCAACTGACCTGGCTGACAACCCCGTACGCCACAGCAGACTTGTCCAGCGCACCCTCTCCGCGGCCCATGATCGTGGCCACGGACTCCGGGTCCGTAACTATCAGTATGTCCTTGCACAGCAGCTTGAACCTGGAAACCCAGACCGGGTGTCGGTAGCTTTCAATATGTCCATGCACAGCAGCTTGAATCTGAAACACCCTGACCGGCTCCAATTCCGCGCCCGGAAGCGTCGAGCGCCCGGCGCGGGGCCGGCCCCCATCGTACCCACCAAGCGGCCCAAATTGGCGTCCGCAAAACACCGTAAGCGCCCAGAGAGCGCGGTTGGACGCCCGCGCGCGGCGGGGCGGGGGCGCAACTTGCCTGTAGATGCCTCCGAACTGGTTCGTCCAGGCCAAGATCTGGCGGTGGTGGTTGGGCGTCAGGAGGTCCAAAATGTTCCCCAGCACCGGCACCGCCGTCCGCCAGGGCCCTGGCACTTTGTCCATGTCCAGCCTGCTGTCCCTGCGCGCCAAGGCGGCACAGCCGTACCCCGTCAGACGCCGCCTCCCCACCCAAGTCCACCCGAAACTGCGGGAGGGGCCGCTGCCGCGGCCGGCGTCCCGGGTGGTGATCCCCTCATGGGGATTCGCCCTCGCGCGTCGCATCATGGATGGGCGCCGCAATCGCATGTGCGCGCCCATGTCGCGGATTCGCCGCCGCACCTGGTCAGCCAGTACACCGCGATGGCGATGATCACCAGCGAGCCCGCCACGGCGGGGGAGTCCCACTGCAGGGGCTGGCCGCCGTCCTTCAACACGCCCATGCACCCCATTGTGCCGAGCAGGGCCGGAGGGGGTGAACGAGGGGGCACCGCCCCGGACGTGTCTGGAATAGCGGTGGGAACGCCTGTTCCCGTTCTGCCCCTGCCACGGCCCGTGGATAATTACCCTCCTGGTGAACCAGTCTCCCCGCCTCCGACAGCCTCCCCCCACCCCCCGCCACTCTCGGGGGTGCCAGACCAGCCCGATTCAACCTTGGGTTCCTGCGCGGGCCGTGGTCATGAAGCCGGGATCCCGGTAATGGAAAGCCGATGGAGACATGTCGAGGTGACTGCGGGTATCAGACTCATCTGAGAGTGGGGGGAGGTTCCGTGAGGATGCTGTTTGGGGATGACAGCGTCAGCATCTCGTTGTTGTGGCGCTCGCGCGGCAATGACATATGTTGATGCCGGTGCCAGCTGTGGCACTCTCACAAATATAGAGGATTTGAGGCACCCTGTAGTCCACCACCAAGCGTACGGCACCGGAATGGTACACACTGGTGAGGGTGCGCATCCGGATCCGGTGGCCAATGCACAGCGAAGGTGGTGGTGCGTCAGGAGTCCAATGGCAACTGTCGAGTTCTATTTGGAATTCTTAACGATTCCTGTGCGAACAGCAAGGCCATGCCCCTGACACCTCGTCCCCATCAGGTGCCCAGTGCAGGTCAACGCAAATGGATCGCCCCTTTGATAATATGGTGTGCCCTCGGGCTCACCTCAAGGTGGAAAGCGTTCCACCAAGGGGCCACATCTGTTGGGAGTTGGCCTAATATGGGTCGGTGGATTGGTACCCACGTCAGCTTATGCTGCGCTGTGTGCTGAACAGGAACCAAATTGGGTATTGAACTCAAAGGCGAAGAACAGTCAAATCTCAGCACCAAACTCTCGGAATGACGGATGGCAGACCCCTTTACCACATCCTGACTAATCTGGATTTGGAATGACCGAATAGACTTGCAAACTCAACCCTTCCAGCGTCGCACGGCGGCAGGTGCGTTTGTCTACTAACGTGGCAAGCATATTGTATCAATTGATGCAACATATTCTAAAGCGCATGGCCTTTGAAGTCTCATTGGCATCGGATGCAATGTCAGTTTCACTGCATGCTGGGAAAGCCCACGATTTCTTGCCCTGTCAGGTACACATACGTTCATGTACGTCGCAATGTATTTTGCGAGCCTGTGTCTGCGTGTGGGCCTGTACGCAACTGGCATCCAGTGAAGGACACATGGTGCTGTTTATAAAAGCATGCACACTGGATGCATATCGCATTAATGTGTACAATATTGTACCGCGGATCATGCCTGAAATTCCAGAAGTTGCAGCAACTTCATCTATGTGCATCTCTAGCTGCCGCAACGGAGAGTGGTCATGCAAGTCAGCAAAAATCTCCAGAGCTTGGATGCATTAAGCATGCATTGGATAGACTATGACAGACTGTGATTAAATAATCGAATTGCGTCTGTCTTAATTTCCGTCAACTGAAACGTTCAGCAATCGACATTTGCATGGTTTCCGCTACACGAGGTGGCAATGGGTAGCCCATCGTCCCTAAATCGAAGCTGGCAGCCGAGGATTACACTCCGAAAACTCCGCTGATAGATGCATAACAACATTGTTTTGCTTCTCGTCATCGACGACTGCTTCGTTGAGCTTACACATGTCCTTGAGCCGTGGGCGTGTGCATGCGCCTGAAACTTAGATATCCACCCTCTGGGCTGGTCCTCAATATTCAGGACATTAGTGTGTCAAGCAGAGCTGCGTTTCACTGCGCATTTCGAACCACAATGTGCTCAACTGGCCGAAGATAGTGTGCAAGCCACGCTCCTGGGTATGTGCGACCACTCAACCGAACGCTGATCGGCCATCCTGGCTTCATGACGTGAAGATGGTGTCACAGAATAGACGATCTATTTCTTGTGAATCTGCATATTGATATGCACGCCGCAGTGCTGCGCTATGAGCCAAAGGCTCGTCAACTACGTCGAAGATGATGGGCGCGGCCAGTGCAGATTTCTGCATGAGCGCTGTGTATCCATCAGTTAGGAATGTCGTTACAGGGATGCAGTCAGGATGGGCCTGGCATGTTGCATAGACTGCAAATGCGCCGGCACTTGAGATTCCAAAACTGTGCGTAGGTATAGATGGATGTACTCTGACGCATACAACTTGTTTACATAATGCTCACTATTGGAAAGTATATGAATTTTACAACCGTGACGCTCACATATGTAGTACATGCATAGGCATTTCAACAGGACGTGTTAGAGTTTACATTTGTACAGAATGGAAGTTTAACGCGATGGTGGTTGCTTGAAATCATCTCCAACACCTCTTTTTGGCCATCGCGCTGATGACGGCATCACCGTTTCCGCAAATCTAAGTTAAACTTCGCTTAGTGGGTTATTTCACCATTTAAACTCACAAAATGAGCCCAATCAGTACACTGGCTAAAAAGACAGTGTCTTTCGCAATTGCTCCATCACAAATATGTCACCCACATTGGTGTTAAAAACTTAGATTGTCCATTCCCACTCATCCTGATATCCAATCCAGTGAAGTAGTGCCCCATCTCCGCATTCAAAACTCGGACATCTCAGAATCAGAAACGTCCGAAATTGATTCGATATTTAATACCATAACTGAACATATCAGAGAGGAGGTGTGGTTTGCCTCTGGGAAATGACTGCGAACACGGCCATGTTGAATGTTGACTCTCGAATTGCAGGTCATGACTTCGCTTGACATCAACGAAGTGCCAGCTGATTCATGATGCGCATTTCACTCTGAGCTCCGAATCGTGTGGGAGCCGCCCGTCACTGCAAGGGCGGCAGCTGCTGGCGCCATAAGGAATCGGAAGTTATGATTTGCAACAGATCTAATCTTATAATTCTGCTGTGTACGATTTTCAAGCAATCGTTGCAGCCCTGTTTGGTCAAGTCATGCTGCCGAGGTTGCATAGGAGCAGCGCCATTGCGCTTACACCCTGCGGATCATGGTTTTTGTGATCGCATTCCATTAGCGAAAATAGGACCAAGAATTTTTTTTGCGAACTTCATCACTGTTTTGCGTGCTAAAAACATGGAAATATCCCAAACCGTAAAATTTGTACACGTTTTAACACGTGTTATTTGGCCCACTTTCCCTAGTTTTCTCTGACTTTCTCCAGTGACCATTATTTGTATTTTTGCTGCAGTGCTTGTTGGACGTTTCTGTATTGATGATGCTTTGCAACATTCTGTTGCACATTCTGTCCGGATTATCCCCAGTTTGACCAAATTTTGCTGATCACCTGTGCAGCCTGGAAAGGCCTGGTTATTGACAATCATGTTGTTTCATCACACATATGAGAATGGCTGTAGGTGCCACACCCAATGGACGGAATTCCGTATACATACGGATCACACATGTGTGATCAGTTTGTCAATATCCAATATAACACCATCCTTGATCGCCATGGCACGGGTATGGCACAAGCTTCGAAGTTTGTCCCATACCCGTGCCATGGGGATCAATGATGGTGCTGTGCAGGTAAAGATGCAGCTCTTTAGTGCTAACTTCTGCATTAAAGTATAGGGAACGTTGAATAATTCACGCTCAGGATTTCAAACGTCACAAATGCCTTCAAGGCAAGGAGCGCCATTCTGCTCAACGACGCCCCAAAGCCAGGCCTCAGCAGACACACTTTGCCCAGAGCCATTTCAAATCATTTCCCAGGCAATGATTTGCCTGTCGGGTCTCTGTGTCCCCGCGTTGGGGCAACAATTTGGTCGGACACTGTCCGATTTTGATGGCAGGCCTTGCTTGGCCAGTTTCTGGCACAACTCCACACTCGCTCAAGCACAAGTGGCAAGTCCGACGTCAGAGGGTGGCGGGAGTTTCTGGCAGCCTGGGTGCCAGAAACTGAGGGTCCCGAAAATGTGGTCAACGACTGTCCGCCCCAAAGCCGACCCTGGGCGCCTCCGACGGGACACTTCTGGCCGCGAACTCGCCCTTCGCACCCCACTCAGCAGTGCGCCTGCGTACTATCACTCCAACGGGCCCAAACTCCTGCTACGGAGGGGAAAGCAGGGGACCATTCGCAGCTTCGCCGCACGCCCATTGGCAATTTTGCAAAACAGACTTGTCAATTGTTCCCACATCTGAAGCTGCGCTGAGCAAAGGATTGGAAGCTTTGGCCAGGGAAGCATCTCTAGCTGTACTGATCGTCGCCGAGCGCCTCTGCCTCTTGCGGTTGCACAGCAGTGCCCCAATGAGTGCCCCACGAAGGCACACAAATTCCTATGAATGCTACCAGTGCAATTTCCCAGTGCATGTTGCCGGATACGAAGGGGACGGAGGCAGCTCCGTGGGCGCATGGAATTCCGTGCTTACGGATGCCATGCCGAATACCACTTCCGTTCCTCACCGTACGGTGACACGCGTGCTCCCGCTCCGCCCAACGCCAGAGGCAATGGTAATTGTGAACGGTTCATGAACCGTGGACTGTCAGCAGAGAGGGAACGACCAGAGCACTGCAGCCCTTTGGTGGTGGATAGGTGTCCCGTCTCGAAGACACCACGCCCCCGCTTTTAGAGCATGCAGTCAGAGAGAGACTTGTCGATGTCTTGCTGTGCTCCGCAAGTGGGGCCCCTGCCCTTGCGCGAAATTCCGCCGTCTTGGTCGCGAAGACTCTCGGTGGCGCGCACAGGCGAACGTTGGCCGTGGCAACTTGGTTCCCAGGCTTGGCCCCCCGGTCCCAGGGAGGCCGTCAAATGCGAGGCATGGCACCAGCCACTTGCCATCACGATTTGATGAACCCATAGATATCTTGTGTCGCGTGACGTCTCGTGCGTGATTTTCCCGGCGTCACGCCGTACTGCAGCGTCACGCCGCCGATATATCTCATGACAAATGGAGTATCCCGGCAACCTGCGTGACGCCTAGTACTTTAGCAGTACTTGCTTGCCTGCGCCTCAGTTGTTTCTGGCACCCGCCCTTCCATAGTGAGCGGAAGGCCGCAGGCTGCGGCCCGCAACGCGCTCCCTCTCAGCGCTCGCTGCTTGAACGCAGCGCGAGAAGGGCTGATCGCGGATCGCGGACCGCAGCGGCCTTGTCAACCACAGCGCCGGCTGTCCACGCGCTTTGGGGCGCCTCCTCCCAGGCGACAATGCCCGTTCGCACACAGCGCTTGCGCAGAATGCGGACACGAGACTCCGCTGTTGCGCAATCCCCTGGCGTAAGTTGTAGTGGACGGCGCGGACGTTGAGTATCAACGTTTCTACTGCGTTGGACCTCTCCAACGCAACGCTCGGCTTCCATTCTGCCGTGGCCATCGACGCACAGATGCATCGCAGCGTCCGTGGCATTGTCGCAAGGGGGGATGGGGGTGTCGCCGGGGCCGTCAGCGGCGTCGGCAGGGCTCTCATTTCCCCTACCGACGCCACGGGGAACGGGTCAGCGACGTCGCCCCCCAAAGCGACGGGCAATTCCGGCGACGTCGCCTGAGGTTTGGACTCTAGAGGCGTCCGTTGTGCATACACTTTTGACAGGATCCGTTGTTGGAGCGCCATCAACACAGAAGAGACCATCAAGGCGGTTTCTGGTGTGGCCACCTGTGTTTTCCAACACGATCGAGTTGTTCATATTGACCAAAGTTGGCGAGGAGGTCCCACGCACAAAGGGGCTGCGCTTGTTTGCACCTGCACGTGGGAGGGTCGGTGGGTGGGATTCAAGACGTTTCATTCGCTCATATTTTTTGCGATCAACCTGTGGGCGGCCGAAACATTCACTGATTGAAACGTTTGTTGATTGTTGCACATAATCTGTGTCAACACAATCAATCGAAATACACAAAATTCAACAGATCGATTTGAAAAAACAACAGGCCACCATCCATGCCACACGAACCGGCCATGTAATCTGTGCCAACACATTCAATCGAAATATGCAATACTTTTACAGATCGATTTGCAGAAACATCAGGCCACCATCCATGCCACACGAACCGGCCATGTAATCTGTGCCAACACAATCAATCGAAATATGCACAACTTTTACAGATCGATTTGCAGAAATATCAGGCCACCATCCATGCCATATGAACCGGCCAAAGCTAGCACCTAACCAGCCCACTCAACGACAATGAATGTTCCGCCATCACCAGGAATCCCATAAGACCCCGGCACAGCTAGGACCCACCCATCCTATACAACTACAACTGACAACAACTAACACTATGCAACCACCAAACACGATTGACTCACTGTCGCAACATCGGCCTGAATTGAACTGTAGCACACCAGCAACAACTAATGACCTGAGAAGCAAAGTGCAACATGTCTTGCTGTAGGAGGCACTTGTCCCAGGTTCAGCAATCAGCTCAGACAACAATGGTGCTGCTGTTCGTTGTACCACGGGACCCTCTACATCTGCTGTTAGAGATGCTGCTGGTTCTGCCATTGGTGCTGCAGACAATGCTGCCACTTGTGGTACTGCCAGGCCCTCTACATCTGTAGGCACAGACGCTGCTGCTGCTGTCGCTGCTGGTGCTGTCGCTGTTGGTGCTGATGCCGTTTCTTTTGCCCGTGGTATTGCAAGACCCTGCACAACCACAGCAAGACTTGTGCCAGTAAGTTGCCACAAACCTCTCATGCCAACCATGATGTACAGATGCTGCTGTGCCCTGCCCTGCCCTGCCCTGCTCCAGCCCTGAATGAATTACTGAATTCACTCAAGGTGAATTCCCTTTCTGAGCTCATACGTTGCATTCACATTGATGAGAGCAGTAGGAATAGAATGCCCACAAGCATCCTTTGTCTTAGCCTCTTGTGCAAAGCAACACACATCCAATAGTTACAGACACATGCTCTTTAACCACGATCAACAACTTTTGTTGTTCCATAACTTCCAGGAGTGGAGGCAATGGCTGACACTTGCAAAGACACGGTGCTTCTACCTGCTGGCAAATGCCCTGGGGATTTCTGTTGTACCACCAGACACTGCTGTGGACCCAGGGGAACCACATTTCATTGCGAGGGCTGAGCAGGTAGCAAACAAGATGCTGGGACTGAGTCACGCAACGCAGAAGTCGTGGCTGTCAATTATACGCAAGTACTTGGTAAGTGCCATTTTTGTGTTCACATGTTAATGTTTGTCATGAAACTTAAAGGATGCCAGTACAATGACAACAACCTGGGACAATGCTGCTGTGTTCAAGATGTTCGTGAATTGTTCGATTCACAGAAGGCCATGCTTACAGGCTTGTGGTATTTGCAGATCTGGTTGAAGGTGAAATGGCCTGAGGGAAATGGAGGCGGAAATCATCTGTTGAAATCTGGAGATGCTCTTCAATATCTAAAGCTGGTAGTGGATGCTGAGGATCTGAATATGGCAGAACGGCTCGAAACTGAGGCCAACACTGCCACACATGGGGAAGAACATCAACAACAAAGGCAACAGGAGGAGGAAGAGCAGAATTGGGGGACAGGAGGAGGACAGGAGCAGGCAGATGAGGGAGAGCAGAGGCAGGAGGCAGAGATAGGAGAGAGGGCAGCAAGACAAGATGAGAGGAGGACAGCGGGAGAGCAGGAGCAAGAGGACAGGGGAACAAGAGTACAGGAGGAGCAAGATAGGAGCACAGGAGGGCAACATGAGCAGGAAGAGGAAGAGGAGGAAGAGGAGCAAGATATGGCAATTGCAACACCACGAAAGGTGCCTTGATGCACTTGCCTTCTGTGCACACGTGCCTGTTGTTCCATAGCTTACTGTCCTGGCAGACTGTCGATTGCTTTTCATGCTCTGCTCTGCGTGTTGTACGTGTGTCAGTGTTTGCAGTGTGCGTATGCTGTAGCTGGACTAATCAACCTGTGCCACCACATCTGCATATTCTCAACACTATTTACATGGCTCCTGATGCAATAACTATGCACTGTAGCACCCTATGCAGTGCACACATGGCCACCACCCCCATTCCTACTGTCCCATAGCATGCTGCCCCCCTAGCAGCTGGTTGATTGCTTTCATGCTCTGTTCTGCATGTTGTACGTGTGTCACTATTCGCAGTGTACACATGATGCAGCTGGACTCATCAACCTGTGCCACCACATCTGCATATTCTCAACAATATCTGCCTGGCTTCTGATGCAATAGCTATGCACTACAGTACCCTACGCTGTAATGCACACATGCCTCCATTCCTGCTGTCCCATAGCATGCCACCCCGGCAGCCCGTCGATTGCTTTCATGCTCTGTTCTGCGTGTTGTACATGTGTCATTGTTCGCAGTGTGCACATGGTGTAGCTGGGCTCATAAACCTGTGCCACCACATTTGCATAGTCTCAACAGCATCTACATAGCTTCTGATGCAATAGCCATGCACTACAGCACCCTACCCTGTCATGCACACATGCCTCCATTCTTGCTGCCCTATAGCCTGCTGCCCCCTAGCAGCCAATTGATTGCTTTTCATGCTCTGTTCTGCATGTTGTATGTGTGTCACTGTTCGCAGTGTGCGCATGCTGTAACTGGACTCAACCACCTGTGCCACCATATCTGCATATTCTCAGCACTATTTGCATGGCTGTTGATGCAATGACTGTGCACTACAATACCCTACACTGTAATGCACACATGCCTCCATTCCTGCTGTCCCATAGCCTGCCACCCTGGCAGCCTGTCGATTGCTTTCATGCTCTGTTCTACGTGTTGCACATGTGCCACTGTTTGCAATGTGCGCATGCTGTAACTGGACTGATCAACCTGTGCCACCACATCTGCATATTCTCAACACTATTTGCATAGTTGTTGATGCAATAGCTATGCACTGCAGCGCCCTACGCTGCCATGCACACATGCCTCCATTCCTGCTGTCCCATAGCCTGCTGCCCCCCTAGCAGCCAATTGACTGCTTTTCATGCTCTGCTCTGCGTTTTGTATTGTGTCACTGTTCGCAGTTCACAACCCAATCCCATCACGTGTTTTGCTCTGATTTTGGTTGCAGCTGCAATTCACAAGTGCCAACACCTACTTGGCAGCATTGACGTACCTAGGGGAGATACAATGCACCTTGCTGGGTGTGGCGCCATGGCGTCTACGTGAGCAGGGAATCATCAGAGCATGGTACAGTGTGTCAAAGTCCAATGCAACAACAAGGAAAAAAAGGTAAAGGACATGGCCGCAAGAAAAAGAAACATTCAGTGCACAATTTGTCAAGAATTGGCATGCTTTCAGCCATACACGATTCCTTACCAACACTTGCTTTCCCTTCCTGTGCAGCCTTTATTGCGATCGACAAGAAGAAACCTTTCGTGACATCTACACCGAAGAGGAAGAAGAGGAGATATGCTTGAACCTGCTGAAAGACCACACAACCACATCCGTGGCAGTCAGGTACTCCTGGATACAAGAACACCTTCTTTGCAAAGATTGATTCAATTCACAATGCTTCAAATAACTAAAAATACCATTCTATGCATTGCAGGGCAATGTTTACATACGGAGACTCATGTGCTGGGAGGGGGGAGGACACACGGGGTTTGACATTGCCAGACCTATTTCCGTTGCCTTACAGGAGATCTCAGACAGTGGGCCCCTGTCAGTTCACTCCGTTGTACACAGTCCGGCATGCGGGGAAAACAGTCGCCAAGTCAGAGCGCATCCAACTGCAAGCTGTCGCTCGTGCAAAGAATGCACTTGTGTGCCCGATTGGCTCAATGGCACTACACTTCTATGTTTCAGAGAACATGGGGAGGCGCTTGGCCAGTCCTGATGTTACACAAGCAAACAAGGCCTCATGGTAAGCAAACAATTCCAATTGTTGTGTGCATGTTCCATTGTGATATTATTATCAACCACTCATTGTTTATTCAATGTTGTTATCAAATGATGTATTTAACTTGTACGTTGAATGGCATATGGCATGTGGCAATTAAACTACACGCTAAAACACAAATACTTGAATGTATGCAGGTACGAGCGTCATGTGTTTCCATCCCGTGATGATGTGAACAAGGAAATTAGCTATTCCACACAATACGAGCACTACAAGAAGGCCTTCGATCAGTTGGGGAGGCGTTTGAGCCATGTGACACATTATCACAGACCCTCCACAACCACCAGGTTGCAGCAGATGGGTGCCTCTGATGTGGACATAGCAAGCTTTGCACTTTGGCTCAACGATGATCAGCATACGTGCTATCAGAAGCTGGTGAGCCCCGACGTTTTGTGCAAAGAAGCGGGATTTCAGGACCAGCGTTCATATTATTTGTGGCGTGGGCAGTTGGACCCTGCCCAGTTTTTTCCGCACATGTGGCGGTCAGTCTTCCCCGGAGCAGAGGAGCAGCTCCAGCAGGTGAAGCAGGTAAGAACACATGTAATATATTGTCTGTATATACTTTGCTTATTTATTCTACAAACTTGTTGGTTGATGAACTTGTCTGTGCTACAGAAAAATAAGGTGGCAAGGAAACAAGACGTGGACACAGCGGCAGAGGGCTATTTGGAGGCGAGGTTGTACTTCAGGACAGTGTTCTGGCAAGACATGCCATTCTTGCATGAGCTCGTCCCAGACCATCCTGTGTTCTCGATGACCATCTTTCAGACACATCGGGCAGATTGGAACAGGTGGAGGCTATTCGTCCTTGAGTTTGTAAAAGATATGGAAAAAATGACCACCACCCTATTGTGCCCGCCTCTCCCCATTGCTGGGGTTGGAGCTTCGGGATCACAGTCTGCCGCTATCCGTCATTGGCTTGATGATCATGTGGAGCACCTTCGCCAGAGGCTCTTTGTTCAGGTAACCATAAGCAAACTTTGCTTAGCAAAGTCGACAATGCAGCAATTTTTTTGTTTGTTACACACAACACCAGGCAATTTATTGCCATTTATCAATGCAGTGGTTTAGTTGCTGTCCCAATGAGCTGATATTTGAACAAAGAATTATTTAGCATAGAAAATACTGATGCCTAAGTTGTTGTGACAGGGAGGCACAACCCCATCTTTGGGAGCTCCAACACTTTCTTCAGCACCACATCCTTCACCACTGCCATTGGCCCAACCGAATTGTTTGGTGAGTGTATTCATGCAAAAATCTTATGATTTATGTAGTGGCCCTTTCTTCACTTGCCCCAAGAGGACAATAATCGTTTTATATCTTACATATGTGTTAGGCTGTAGCACAAGGCTAGGCAGTAAACACCTCCCTTTCGTTTTGGTCCCTTTGGTGGTTTTCACTTGTTTTTGTTTTGGTTAACAGAACCCTAGATGGCGTGGCAAATTATTGATAGTTCGTGTTTGTGGCCATGCAGAGATTGGCACCCTCGTCTTCCCCACTCGATGCTACGCCCTCGGTCGTGCCCTCTCCTTCTCAGGTCCACTCTGTCCTCCCCCAAGTGAGTTGCATTGTTGCTTTTGATGCCCGATTCCCATGTGCAAGCATGTTGCTACACAACGAGGACTGAACCTTTTGCTTGCTTATGATTAGGTGAGCAGCCTCCATGGACCTCCTACCGTGATGTCAACACAAGCGGCTGTATTGCCCAACCCTGCTCATTTGGTAGGGCCATTGAAACGAGTTTGCTTATAAACCATCCCTAAGATTGGAAGTTGTTTCAACACAATATATTGCTATTGGCCTCGGAGCAACAACAAAATGCTTTTACCAAATTGTGCAAATCGAGTTCCTTGCAAACCAAGTGGATGTTGCATACTCACCGCGTTCTTGTGTCACACAGATGGCTGGTACGCTTGTTACCCCTTCCCTGGCCCCTCCTGTCCAAGTGCCACAACCTTGGAGAGCCCCTCAGGTACACTTTGTCTCTTCCATACTGTCGTGAGCCCACCGGCAAAATGCGCCACCAAGTGCTGCCCTTACACAACACAAAGTGCATTGCAATTGTGTTTTGCATGCATGTAGGGCCCAAGTGCACTGGCAGATGTGCAGACCATGCAATACCACACGTACAACCTGATGGCCACAATTGCATCACATTTGTGCAATGCTGAGTTCCAGAGGCGTCAAGCAATGCCGCCAACCCCAGGCAGGGTGCCAACCAAGCGCAGACAGGGACAACCCCAAGGTGGACAACAGAAGCGCCGTTGTCAGCATACCTACAATGCTGAGGATGCTCACGGCACTGAGGGTGCACACACAACTGATGCAGAGACAAGTACTGAGGCAATTGTGTGCTTTGATCATTTCAAAGCACTCAATGGTAAGATTACTTGTGTTGCCAGCTCAGACATTTTTTGGTGATGCACCACCACATGACACAACACCTATTGGCACACATAACATAATCAATTGTTTGCTATGCGCAGCAAGTACATTGGCAGAAGTGTGGGAAGAATGGGACCAAGGGCTGCGAAGGGAGGATGGCAGTCGGACATTGCCATTGAGGACTCTATCTGCACAGAAGTCAACCAAGTGGCGAGGGTCAACCAGTGGCAAGATGCGCCAAATGCTATGGCGGCGCAGGATCATCTGGAAAGCCATGCAGTTGTCGTTTGACTCGGTTGGAGGGAATACTGATGCGATGCTTGCAAGGTTTGAGGACATAAAGGCCAGCTTGGGTGATGCGACGAGCAATAATCAGCTTGTAGATCACCTTAAGGGCAACGAGTTGGCTGGTTGCAACTAGGAAGAGAAAGAAAAGAGGGCAAAGCAGGGTCTGCATTTCTAGTGTGACCTGAAGTGCATTTGAACTCCCCACTGATGAGGAGGAATCTGAGCGGGCAAGTGATGGAGCCACAACAGAGCAGGACATCCAAAATAATGCAATGTACGGTGTAGATATGAGTGAATCTTACAGCATGCCTTGCCTCTGCCACAAGCAAGGCTGGCATGCGCAAGAATGTGCGATGTCTGGCAGATAAGATCAAAGATATGTTGATACTCAGCTGTGTGCTCATATTTGTGCTTGTACTTGGGCATCAAGCTGTGTGGTTGAGCAGTGTTTGGCATGCAATTCGCACTGGAATCGAGCCATTGCTAGTGAGTTCTGCCTTAGCGTCACAGCGTTCGGCTATAAATGGCGTATAATTCACTACGCAAGGCAGGCTTCTAGGTCAATGTGGTATGCAAGAAGCTTTCTCCTTGAGCAATGCCAATTCACCAATGGGCCTTTGCACAGCATCCCCAAACACCCAAATGTGGTGATATGCCTTGTTCGTGCTGTCAACAGTAATCATGACTGCATCTATCAGCCGGTAATCACAACAACACAAGTGTGCACTTGCCCTTGCGTCGGTGACAGAGCATGAGGAGATCCTGTTTTTTCGGCCAGGGCCATTCCACTTTTCCCTCTGCCATAGATGCAAGTACGGCCATTGTTTGCACTCAGTGCTGCGAACGGACCTTGAGCGCGGCAACGTTCAGGTTGCATTCACCGCCATCTCACCTGGGCAAACGCGCCCTCAAGATCAACCAAGGCCGACAAGGTGCCTGCCTGTCACCGTGTCCCTCTGGCGACGCACAAGTCCGTCCTGCTGAACAGCAGTCAGGACATTGTCGATCAGACGGCCACGACAACAGGAAAAGCGTGCGCTTCTCCTGGCGCCAAAGACAGTGCACGCGGAACCCAATCTCTTCTGCCGGGCCACTCATGTTTCTGCTCAGCCAGAGATGCACGGACGGTCATAACCTGCACTCAGCACTGCGAACGGACACCTGGCGCTCGGCAGCGTTTCCGGTCGCATTCTCCGCCATCTCACCTGCCAGTTTGCCCGAAAGCGCCAGTCACTCCCAAGCTCTCAAGGCCCAAACCGTCCAAGGCGCATGTCTAGCACCGCATCGCTCCATCGCCCCAGAAGTCCGTCCCTGCCGTTCGTCAATATCCAAAACCGCGCGGTCCGTGGACGCCCTCCACCTGCAGAGCGTCGCAACGACCAGTTCGTTCGCCCGAAGGTTGTGTCCCGCTATCCGGCAATGCCCATGAGTTGTACCGGCGTCAACATAGTATTGACGGTAGGAGGGGTCCTGAGCTCAGCGTTAAATTCACGCTAACCGTGCCAATTTCGACACAGCGTCTTCCCCTACATTCCGGGTGTGCGCGTCACGCTTCCGCGCGATGCATCGCCGCACCACCGCCAGGCAGTTCGGGGGCCGGCCCGTGGGCAGTGCGCAGGCGTTCCTCGCGCGGGGCAGCCGAAGGCGGGCGCAGGCTGCAGCCCACCCCGGTGGAGGATGTACGGCCCAATCTGGGCGCAGTTCCGCGGTAGGCCGTGCCCGCCCACCGTCTCCCCGATCCCGATCAAGCTCACCTGCTGAGGGTGCTGTTGGTCTCCCGGGGACGCACTGGGGCGCACGCCGTGCCCCGCCTCCCTGCCCTGCTCGCGTGCCGCCCGCCGGGGCGCTCTGCCCCGAATTAGGGCGCCAATGTGCCCTCCCTGGGCTTCGCGGTCGGAGGTTCGCATTGGCCGGCACCGCCCGCCTCTTGCGCCCCGGACGCGTGGGCCAGCCGCGGGAGGCCAAGCCCGGAGATCCTTCGCCCCGCGGGGACGGCATGCGCAGCGTCGCACCCCGTCATCATCGCGTCATGGAGGCCCGTCTGAGAGCGCCGCGCGGGGCTGGGCGCCTGCGGCTGCGGGTGTGGAGGGGCCGCCGGGCGCGCCCGAGCGCGTCGCGCTGCCGCGAGGCCGCCGTGGGGGCGCCGGCAAGCGGGGGGGCCGCCGGCGCGCCGCGCTGCGCGACGCGGCGCCGGCTGCCGCACCGCCCCGCTGGGAGGCGCAGGGGGCCCGGAAGGGGCCCGGGGACGGCCCGGGGCCCGGTGCGGGCGCCGGCGGGGCCGCGTGCGCCGGGGTGACGCGGCGTAACGCCCCGGGACGCGCGTGACGCCGCCGCCGTCACGCCACCCAGGATACCCCTGAGTCTACAGGCGTTGGTGGGAAAGGTGGAGTCGCCATTGGCCATTCTCTCCTCGATGGCTGGTGGCTGATTACTCACCCTCGCCACTCCAGCTGTCCCGCCATATTCTGCGCGCGCTTTCCCGGTGACCAGACACCTCCCTGCAAAAGGCGCCAAAGGCGCCCGCAGCCCAACGACGGCTGGCGGCGTCCGACCAGAGCGATGGATTCCAATCGAAGCCGCAAACGCCCTCGCACGGGGGCGTTCAAGAAGGGATCCTTGAAGAGGATCAAACTTGAAAATTTTATGGTGAGTGGGACGCCGTCGATGGGAAAGGGAGGCGTCCTCCGTGTTTCATCAGTCATTTCCATCGCCCTTCGCACAGTTTGACGTCCAACTGACGCGGTTTCCATGCCTTATGCTTGCAGACCTACAAAAAAGCTGAGGTCGTGGCCAAGCCCAGCTTGAACGTCATCTTGGGGCCCAACGGTGGGAGATTTGCACTCGTCCGGCGCTGATCTTCTGACAGTTGCCGCTGCCGCGCCTAACGATCTGCTGGCTTTGTGCCCAGGCACCGGAAAGAGCTCCCTCGTTTGCGCCCTGTGCCTGGGACTGGCGGGCAGGCCAAAGGTGGGCAGGTGTACTGTGGGCTTGCAAATGCACATTCTTGCATGTTCCGTCCTGCTCAGTGGCAGTGCTCGCCTTTGCTTTCGGCAGATTCACGACTTGTACTCAAAGTGCAGGCTCTCATTGTATACTCTGCATCATTTCACTGGTGGACGACAGCCCGTTTGCAGTTGTTGGCACCTCTCTCGTCCCAAACTTTACACTGGACTTCTGGATCTGGTTTGCCGATGACAACAATGGCCTCCTGACGTGCAGCTCCTAGGAAGAGCGGACAACTTGAGAGACTATGTCTTGAGGGGAAAGAAGGGCGGAAGTGTCGAAGTGACGATCAGTGGGGGCGGGGAAGAAAGGGACAAGACAATTAGGAGGGAACTAAATTCCAAGGACAACACCTCCACCTGGACGATTGATGGTAGGTGGGGTTGCTACCAGTGGTGTACTGCCACTGTGCAGTCCCGGTAGGTGAAGAATAGGCCCATTGCTTCGAAATTATCCCCTTGTTAGAGCCACTGTTATTCGCCTGAATGGTAGGTGGGGCCAGGCGTGTTCCCAAACCACACATTGAAATTTTGCAGTCACTAAAATGTGGCCTACTGCTGTGGTTCGTGCCTTCATTCTGGAACACATATTGAATTAGTGGTATCAAGCACCTTGCATCACCTTGATGGAGAAATGGACAGTGTTTAGTCCAATTCACGTGTGCCACTGTCAGTATCATTTTGTGGCATGCTGATTGCGCCATTCTCTGCTTTGCTACTGTACAGAAAAGCCAGCCACAATGGCTGAAGTTGAAAAATTGAAGGACAGAATGAATATCCAATTGGACAACCTGTGCCAGGTGGGCAATTATCCTCATGGAATTTCCACCCCCTTTTTCAGCTGTGGCAATGACTGGCATTCAATGTTTATCATGCAGCTGCAATACAGAGCAATCGTTGCAATATAATTTGTGCTTGTTCTTACTTTCAATGGCATTAAAGTGAAGTTTGGCGTGGCATCCTCTCCTGTCAAAAGTGGCGTGGGCCTTGCTGCAACTTGCAAGGCTGAACATGGCAATGTACAGCCGGAGAATCTCGCATATACGTGCTGATTGAGTATTGTGCCATGCTTTTTGTTATTAGTACTATTGGTGTTGTATTATTGGTATATCCTTGATTCCTTCAGCCTCTTGTAGCTTTGATCTTGTTGCGCCTCGTTTGTCTGCAATCGTGCTGCCTGCATTGTCACATTGAGAGTGTCGATGCTGATCCAAACGGTCCAATGCAGTCAACTGTAGTCAAAAGAATGTTGTCTGAACTGGATGGATATTTTGCCTGCAGTTTCTTCCACAGGATCGAGTTGTGGAGTTTGCACGCCTCAGCCCAACTGACCTGCTACTCGAAACTGAGAAGGCCATCGGCAATTCCAGGCTGTGTGAACAACACAAGGAATTGATGGAGCTGGGTAAGGCTTCCAGACTGCAACGACAGGTGAGTCGTGCTTCAGCATGCACTGGCCTTCATTTCTTGTGGCATTCTCTCCCCTGGCATTCGTGCTGAAGGCACTCTCAATTGGTGTGAGTGGCTGGCTGTTGACTGCTGGTGACAGGCCTTGGTGCCTGATTCTGGATGCAGTAGTAACTTTCATGTCTCGTGTTTCTTTCAGTCATAACATTCATGTCTTACATGTCTCTTCATGATGTGGGTTTGCAATGTGCATGATGTGCTGCCATTCCTGTCACTTGTTTGGTGCTGCTTGCCTCCTGCACTGGTAATCTGCTCCATCATCATTGGAGCATGGAAGGGCACAAAACAATCTCGGTGGCTAGGAGCATGCTAATTGTGGAGAGAGCCTTTTGAGGCAGAAAGCGAGCTTGTCATACAGTGGACCCATCCTCAGAGCAAGAGTGTCTGTGAGACTGTCTTCCTTACCATAGAAGATGATGCAGACATCTGTGAGTGCTGTAGAAAACACGACACACAGAACAAACTTGTGGCTTGAAAGCCTGTGCTCAGGGGGTCCCTGTACGAGCAGAGATGTGTAAGCTGGAGAATGCATTGCATGGCAAGACACCCGGTGCCAGTTCAAAGCATGCAAACAGCCACAACAGGGGGTCATTCTGTAGCATGTTGTATTGTATGCTCCATCAGCCGCCCGTACCCTTGAGTCTGGGGTGAACAGACCTTTTTGTGTGCTGTGTTGTTCACATTGCTGAAATTCGAATCTGTTGATCTTGTGAAAGAGCAGGAAGTCCTGCCGTTGCTGTGTACTGACAGAAGTATAGATTCCTCACTCCCAAGGGAAAACACTCATGTTCTTCTTTCGATGGAGTACAGTTCTGTTATCATCTGCCAAAAGTGCTTTGCTTTAGTCACAAATGAAGGCAAGGAGAAACCAGATGTGTTATGGCACTTTTCAGCTACAATGTGTCATACTTGCCCAGGCATGATTTGTAAACAACAACAAATGCAATCACAGGAGCTGAAACTCAAGTCCTTGCAGTTATTATGTGTGCTATGTCGATGTCCTTGTGCACAGTGCACTTACACGTCGTCCGTGTCTTGAATATTTTGCGATCTGCAGAACATGGCAGCAATTGAGAAGGAGCTAGCGAAGGCAAAGCAGTCCCAGGAACACAACGGGCAGGATGTTGAAAACTATGAGCTGCGCCAGAGTCTGTTCGAAACAGTGAGTGCCTTGAACATCGTTGGCAACATCAACGTTTCCCACGCAATTTTGTGCAAACATGGCATGGGGATGCCCAAGTTGGGGTTCAGGATGAAGATCGCTTGCTGAGCGTTGTGTAATCTTTAGTACAAGCTGAATAGACTTCAATAGATTGCAGGTCTACACCTTTGATGCACAATGGCGGCACATGTCGACTCTGACACAGTGATTGAAGATAACGTACACTGGAAAGGTGCACCTTCATTTTGTTGGGCACTGTCGATTCTTCTCTTGTGCAAGAAGATATGCTTCTGTTCCAAAGTACACTGTGGACCACTCTTTGAGTATGATGAGATAATGAAACATTCTGGTTGGAACTGGGATTGCCCATTCTTGTATCGTCTTGGAATTGTATCTCTTCAGTTTCTTGCTGGTGACCTTTCATTTGAACTTCATTTGCATGACACTCAAGCGTTAGTTGTGTTAATTAAATTTTCATACTAATTGAAAGTTTTTCTTCATTCAGATGGTGGTATGTTTTTTTTTGGTCAGCCATTGTGCCAACTTGATGAACTACCTGATGGACTGCACACATCACTGGCCCATTCTGCCCTGTCTGTTGTCTCCACAGCAACTGACTTGGTAAACAGGCACACAAAGGATTGACGCAAAGCAATGGTCCGATCTGTGCTACTGGGCATCGTCTTGGGGGTGCAAGGTAGAATAAGAAAGGTCTGCAATCTGGATGCTGATTTTTAGGAAGCACTGCAGCATTGTTGTTTCCTTGTGGAACTTGCCGCGCCTCAAAATTGTGCTGGACTCAGCCTCTCATTCTGGTGATCTGATTTGGTTGTGTTTTAACTCGAGCTGATTGGGTTGTGCTGCAAGATCGAGGCAGCAAAAGCCAAAAAACAGTGGGCGGAAGTGCATGAGAGGGAAATGAGATTGGAGGAAAGTAGGGAAAAGCTAGAGGCTGCAAAGCGTGCTGTGGCGAATGCTGCAGACAAAGAAGAGAAGGCCCTGAAGAGCATTGCGTAAGAGAGATTCCTCCTATGGATGACAGTGATTTGTTCGGGTGTATTGTTGTACTTTCTACTGTTTTCACAGCATTGTTCCACTTTTCTTGTTGCCCATCACAATGCTCCCTGGAGTATTAAAAGCTGCGGTGTTCAGTCGTAACGAATTTTTAACTTGAATTTTTAAGAAAATCTGACCAATCATCGCTGAATGCGAGGATCCATTTCTAGATCTGATATAGCTGGCTGCCATTGCGTGATCATTGAGTGTTTTCCATTGCTTTCTGTTGTGCATGAATCAAGAGCTAGTGCAAAGGCAAAGGCCTTGAATGGATTCCGATGCTTCTTTGAATATAGGCCACTGAAGGCTGACAAGGTGCTGTACATGAAGGAGAATGACAGCACCAGAAAGCAGTGCGAGAGTGGGGCATGTGCGATCAAACGGCTGGGCAATCATGCCTCTGAACAGGCAAGACCAAGAGTGGCAGTGTCTGCTTGCAAGTGTCACGATGCAAGTTCTCCATTTTCAGAATCTACGTGTAAAAGATTGTCCTGGGTCCAAAGTATGGGCTTATGCCAAGTGCAGTACTTTCTTTTCTTGTCAATGTGGTATTGGAACAAAAAGAAACGATTACAGGTTGGAACAATGGACAATTCAAAAAGGAAGATGGGGCATCCAACCCAAAAGTCACACAGAACATGCTGTGGTTGCTTCAAGCAACTTACTTTCTTAAGCCTGTTGATGGTACAGGGAGAACCACACTGACGTATGAACTGGCTATGAACTGATGCTGAAGAGAACGACTGGCAATGTCTTGTTCGGAGAGCAGGTCCAGGCTTTGTGCATTTTTGGGTGAACTTGCTATTTCCACAAGTTTTGCACAAGCAAAGTAAAGGCAGGGAAGGCTTGGGAGCACTGTGCGCTGCAATTTTGACTGTCACATTTGTCATGGACAATAAAAACAACGCCTTTTTCAGCCATGCTTGAAAGCAAGAGTGTTGGAGATCCAGCCTGTTATCCAACGGGCACAAACTGCACAGCACACAAGGCAATTTCACAGAAAGCTTGGCCCTTTTGAGTTTACGATTCCTGCTTCCTGCTTCACCTCACGGCATCAACGAAAATGTTATGCTCCATCTGATTGTGCTTTCCTTGTTATGTATGGGCTGAATTGGTGCAGCAATCATCTGCATCCAGGTGGCAGAGTTGAAAGGTCATGCTGAAGGTTTGGAGAACGGCGAGGAGGATTCACAAAAGGTATGTGAAAAGATCAAGTCCAAAGAGGACGCACTGGCAAAGGCCACAGAGCAGCTCAAGTCCCTGGGGCAGGTCTCGCCTCAGTACAAGACGAACATGGACCGCCTGAGGGTCCTTGTGAGCGACTCCAATACCAAGGTACGGTCCGAAACTCTTCTTAGTATCCAGTACCATTCTACTGTATCCACTCTCCAACCCCTTCATGCTGTGCACACTTGCCTATTGCGCCAAAAGATCCCTGAAGCATAGGACATCACATGTATGGGTTGGTTCTGGCGCAAGAAAGGATGTGCAAGGGCGCCTGTGAGCAAGGTGTTTGCTCATTCCATTGCTGCCCCCACCCCCACCCCCAGCCAACCCCTTATCCTCCTGGAAGCATGAAAGAGCCAGATGTGGGAGTCGGATGCATACGTCCAGCAGGGCTACATGCACTGCTTGCATCTCTTGCTCTCAAGGAGCACTGGCTAGTGTTCTTCCCAACTACAGTCAGCTGTATTGTGCTGACAGGGACATGCTCTGTTTCAAGGTTGACGTTGCCCAACTGTCTGCAGGCCAGGTGCTACCAAAGGGACATGGGTCTTGTTGAGCAGGAGCTGTCGCAGGCAATACGCCACTGCAATGCAATCCAAGGTACACTTTCTTTCAATTTGATTCCTTGAACTGCTTGTGTCTGCACAAAACAAAATCCAATTGCCCTTTTTTACGTAAGGGACCATGACTGACAGACATGTAGCTGTGCCCTGGCTGCTACATTGCACCCCATTCACTTTTGTCTGTACCAATATAGCTTTCATTGCTCACTCATGTGCCTGTATGAACTGCAGTGCATGTTGCACGTTTGCTGCAAGCTTGACCTGGCTCCCAGCAATTCGCTTCTGTTGTGGTCCTCTGGTGCGCCCTGCCTGAATACCTGCCTGTTGAATTTGTCCACAGGCATAATAGGCACTACCCTTGCACCTATCAGTCAATGTGGCTGGGGCGTGCTGCGAGTGTTGTGGACTTGCCAACAGCATTGGACAGGCTCATTAGCATCCTTCTTTTCACGTCAACTTCGTACAGGAACTAACACTTGTTCCGTTTTGTACCTGTGTTGTGATGACTGACCAGTGTTGCTGGATTGTTTGAAGGACGTTTGTTGTCATGTTCTTATCTTGTAACATAAGAAAACTCCACCATGCTGGATGTATGTTGGTCGCAGCCGCCCCAGTCAGTTTTGTATTTTTGGCGATGCCTGGTAGATTTGACATGTTGGTTATCGGGGTTTCCTTCTTTTCAGTGCATGCCATAAGAATTATATTTGCTGCAACAATTCAAACAAGAACAGCAATGTGATGTGCAGATAAGTTGAAACGTCTGAATGACATCAAGTTTCAGCGCATCAGATATCTGGAGCATCGGCGTCCTGCTTTCCGTGGACTGCTGCAGGCCTATGAATGGGTGCAGAAGAATCAGCACCTGTTCCGCTCTCATGTGTACGGCCCACTATGTGCCGAAGTGGTTGTGGCGGATAAACAGATCGCAGCATGCCTAGAAGGCACTGTGCCACTCCATGTGTGGACATACTTCGTCACACAGACAAGGTGACTGATGGCAGACAGTCTCAGACCATCATTCCAGTTGAGAACCAGAAGAGTTCCTTTTCAATTGTCAAGTTTATGCTGTTATGCTTTGGCAGCGATCAGGGTGTAACTGATGCACAGAATTGCTGTGATATGGAGAATCCCCCATGCATTTGAACATGGATGGAGCTAATCTTTGCAACACATAGGTTCAAATTAGGGCTTTGTGCAGGGAACTTCCTTACATGGCGTGGTTCTTTAAGGTTGCTAGGGAACAGCACTTGTTGCAGGGCAGCAAAGTCTTTCCCTTGGTACCACTCTTTATCTGCATCATTGTTTGTGTGATTGCCATATCTGCTCAACTGTCTGCATTTGAAAAGGGGTAGCCATTGATGCAACAATGTGGTTGCATTGCCCTGGTGCAATGCCTTGCAGATCTTCAGCTGTATATGTCGATGTTGACATGTGTGTGACAACATTGTATCGATGGTGATGTACTGGTCTCACTGCAGCATTGTTCATTGTTGCATGAGTGATACACACAATTTAACATCGGTTTAAACTCACCTTGCAGATGTCAAATCTTCCATTCCCCCTATGTTTATACTCTGAATTCTAATGTGGAGGGCTGGATGCGCTGATGCTTGGAAGCAGGCATTGCTCAGGACATTGATTTGACATGTGCTATTAATTCACTCTGCGTTTGGACACATTCGTATGCCAGACACTGAGCAGACAGACCCCTGTTGGCCAGTCCAGTCTTTGCCCAAAACAGGCCACACCCCATTGGTGCTGTACTGCTTTTGGGGCAAGCTGCATTCCCCTCTGTCAGCTTGGTAGTTTGTGCACCTTAAAGCGACCTTGTGGAGCCACCTGGTTAGACTGCAGCCTTCAGGAAAAAGCGTACATAGTACCCAACATAACGTCGAATTGGCCTCCCATTTTACAAGGGCTTGAATGCACAACAGTATTGTCTGTTTGACGCCTTGGTCCCTTTACCTTGCAGGGAAGATAGTGACAAGCTTCGGTCATGCCTGCGAGACCACATGAGGAATGGAGGAAGTGTGCTTTGCTACAATGACGACTCTACCGCGCCCTTGCACCCTCCAAACCAGGCAACGGCGATTCCCGAGTGAGCTGCCAGAGGGTTGTAGGCACCGTTCACAAACCTTGCAGCAGTTTGTTTTTTAACTTTCAATCCCTGCACGCTTGCTGTGTACCAGCTCTAGGCAGTTTACCATCTGGCTGTTTGATTTGGGTTTAACTCTTAGGCATTTTCGCTGTGCAGAAATTTGACCATTAGTTTCTTTTATCACAGCCAACGTCAGTGGAGTTCATGTGAATCTTATCATCACGTCATGACTGTTCAGTTCTGCTGTTTCTACAATTCCCACAGCCTTGCTGTGTGCTGCCCTACACTAGCAAGGCAGTTTCATGCACTTTTGTTAGCGGAAGTGATACGCCTCGCAGCAAACTGGCTTGCAATACAGGCATTGCGTAGCCCCACTTTAGCCTGGCGCCCCCATGAAGATTTGCATCGAATAATGTGGATACGTTGGAGTCAGCACCACTGGAAATATTTTATTCCATGAGGTTATAGTCCTGCAGCATTTGCACTCAACAAGATTGGACGAAATACAACAATCGTATATGTTAGGAGGTGGCAAATGCCCTGCACAGCAAACTGTTTTCAGAACATAGCCTTGTGTCCAAAGGCTTTGGGTTTGCCCATGAGCTCACATCCATCACTGGATCTGGTGCCCCACACTTTCAATTTGAACCTGCCGACTGATGCAGGACAGTTTGGCTGCACAAGACACGCATGAGCACCTAGGAATGTACAAGCAATGGGGTACTGCTGACATTCGTTGGCAAGATGGTTCTTTGGCGTTGTTTTGCAAACCTGTACTAGAGGCAATCAATGCCCATTTGGGCAGAAAACACACAGAAATCACTGGTGGTGTTGAGATATGCCATCTTGAAAGTTGAATCATCTTGTGGTGGATGAGAAATTTACTGGATGTTTTCAAACTAATCCAGCGACTCCTCACTCTGTGTCTCCTTCAGGTTCGGCATCGCTCACACACTTGACGAGGTATTTGAGGCGCCCAACGCTGTGAAGCAAGTGTTGAACTCTGACGCCGCCATTAGCAGATGCTACATTGGCACCAGGTCAGAACTTCAACTACCCTGGTAGTCTTCTGTGCGACTTTGGCAATCCCAATGCCTGTGCTGCTTGCCATTCTCCTGTTGTGCTGGCAATTGGTGTTGTTTCTTGTACCATGCTTGTACATGACACGAAAGACTGCAGTCTGCACAGTTGGCTTTACGTTTGTTTAGGACTGTTTCCACACCTCAAATCCAAAATGAAACAGCAGAAAGCTTCAAAAGCTGCGCTCTAGAGAGCCCATAGACAGCAATTGTCTTGTGTGCTTGAAAGTCTCTTCAAGCCGACAATCCAGGATGTGCACTCTTCATGTTGCTTTTTTGCCTGCCTGTCTTCGCTTGTTACTATCAAGCCACAGTTTGTGCCAAGAGCCTGATTATGTCGCAGTGCATGGCCTGTGATTCAACACACAATGCTTGCACAGGGAGACCCAGGAATGCCTGGAGGAATTGCTCCAGTGCCGCCACGATGTGTCCAGGGTCTGCACGCCAGATGAGATTGTGTCTGTAAAGGTTTCGCGGTATGGGGGAGGTGTACGATCTACCATTCACAGGGCGACACCACAACCTGCATTCCTGACATTGTCAAGTGGTGGTGACGAGGTGGACAGGCTCCGTAACGACCTGCTGAAAGCCCAGCAGGCAAGTCAATATCTCATACCCATCACTGTGTGGCCCAAGTAAATGCAGTAGGGCAAGGCAGCCAGTTCATTTCGACACTTTCTCCACCTCAGTAGTTTCAGAATATGTTATTTGTGAGTGGTCTCAGGGCTCAGCCGGCCAACTTGTCACTGCCATGACCAGAGAATGCCCTATGGCTGTTGATGTGCCACAGGAATATGACCTGGGCGGTGGCCTGAATGCTTCTCTTTGCTCATTCATTCAAAACATAGCATCACAAAATCGATCCCAATTTCTGTCCCTGTCCTCATGGAAGTGCAGACCTTGTGCCACCTCTCAAGAAAATGGAAGGCAATGCTTGTGTTGCCAGCATCCCACTTTGATGCCTGTGGAGGCCAGCCTGTGATGCATATGTAAAGCCTAACAGACTTGCTCAGTTGCATCGCAATTCACTGCCTGATTTTTCTTTCAGGTCATGAGGGACCTGCAGGAGCAGCAAGCTGAGCACGAGAAGGACTACAGGCAGGCCAAGCAGAGCTTGGACGCTGCCAAAAAGGAGAAGAATGAACTCACCAATAAAGAGCAAAAGAGGAGTGAACAGTGAGTGCCGCACACAGTCAGAGGGCCCACCCCCATATGTACCAATTGTTCTTAGTTTGACAGAAGGCAGGGGGCAACATCACATAGATTTAAGGAATGGCTCTTGAGTAGCAGCTATCTGTGAGAACTGCGGGGGCTATGTGCAGAGGAACTTCGTCTTGAGTAGAATCAAAACACATTCTTGTTGGCATTTTTGGTTTCTTTGCATGTCCTTGTTTCTGATTGTACCGATACTGTTCTGATGCTGTGCTATATTGTGCTCTTTGCTACCCCACTGGGGTGAATGTTGCACCGCAGTTCCTGGTACTGAATGGCCATCCCTCACTCTAAAATGGGCTTATAGCCGTGAGAGTGTGTGCTTGATTTGTTTGGAAAAGCATCGTTATAATTTGGGAATTGGAATGATCGAGTTCACAGCGTGCTTCCCTTGCATCCATTGTCTCAGTTGGAGACCACCGTGTTGCTCATGTGCCAAATTGAGTTCTTGCCAGGGCCCCAGGAGATTTCTTTTGTGCTTGGTTGTGCCATGGCTCCTTGGCAGAACTCTGCTGCCCTGACAATGATAACAGGCACTGGTGCTTTGTAAGATGTTTCGTTTCGTCCGAATGAATGCGCTGATGTTGGATCCAGTACTGCATGGGCAAATAGGATCGGATGAAATTGTGGAGAAGATGGTGTGGTACATGAATTCATGCATGAACTGGGTCTGAACCCCAGGTACTGTACACATTGCTGAGTCTGCAAATTCGCCACGAAAATTTATCCTTCTTGGTAGTCCTCTTCAGCACATCCTACAGCTAACACAAGAACCAGTCACATCTTCGAGTACAGGGCTGTAGACCCCAGCTCTTGTTTACAGAATTCTTAATTTCCAGAATTTAGAAATTTGGAAGTCAAGTTGCGCTATTTTGGGGCACTTGTTTTGTGAAGATAACACAATAGCTAAATTCTGGTTTTAGCACCAACCATTGATTCTGAAAAATTTTCACCCAACAAGCTTGGCACAATGCTCCACACTGTCAGCACCACAAAAACTCCACAACAGAAATTCAATCTGCCCCAAAATCAAATGGTACGATGCTCAGCACATAACACGATCACAGATCCAAAATTTATCTGCTGGATATTTGAACCGATTTTCTTTAGTGACCAGGTGCAAGAAGCTAAAGATCCAAATCAAGACGCACGAGAGAGTTCTGCGCAAGCTGCGTAAGCGGAATAGCCCAAAGGGGGAGGGCTCTGAGTGTGAGCAGGCCCTGGAAGCTGGCATGGGCGACTACCTGAGGGAGGTGTGGGCAGCTCCCAAGTGCACTGGTGGATGCATTAGCAGCACTTCATAACACATAATAGCACATCAGCCTTAGGCACTTCAGACAGCATGCAGTTCCAGCCAATGACCCTGTCTCATGATGAAGCTCTGAGCAAATATGTTGCAGGATAAGCTTCTGACGATCTGTTGGTTAAGTGCTGCACTTGCCCACCAAGGGGCCTCTTGATACGATGGCTGTCTCGGCTTTGCATCCATCCAATGCTGCCTGAATTTTGCTGATTGGTTGCAGGTGAGGCATGGGATGGCAAAGATCATGCACTGGTGGCCAGTGTATGAAGAACACGCAGCTGCAGCATTGCGCCTTGCAGAATGCAGCATGAAGGTGTGCCAGTTTTTACAGCCCAGCTATTTGCATTGTCCAGACATGTGGCATTGGCACCAATCCTCAATGACTGCACTGATGATATGTGTCAACATCACCACCCTTGTAGCTCTTAGGGCGTCAGGATCTGGCAAAAACCTGAAGCAAGCCTGGCATGCGCCGTTAGCAAATGCCTCTGTGACAGACCCCTTTAGGGAGGGCAATCCACCTGACTTTGTGCATGCCTTTTAATATGCAGTTTTGCTGACTTTGAACTGTTGGCTTTGCAGTTAACAGAAAGCACAAATTCTGCCACCAGCATGAAGATAGATAAGAAGAGACACCAGCGCATCCATAATCAAATCGTGCACATCGTCCGCAGTGACGAGCGCAAACTGAGGTGAGCCAATAGGCAGCTCAACAAAGGCCCTTTATTGTTACCAACCAGACAACAGCACAACTCAGGCTGTTGCTTCTTGAAATTGCCACCTTGCACACATGGATGGCAATATGGCATCTTTGCTGATGCACCTCAACCATAGGCGATGGATGACCTCCTGAATCAAGCCATTCTTGCTCTTTTGTCGCTGGGCTTCAGGTGACCCAGCCTGTTTGAGCTCCATTGGCTGCACTGACTTCCTGTAGGAACAACATTTGATGTAATACCCTGAACTTCATGAAATTGTGACTCGTTCTTGCTGTCAATTGAATCGATGAGTTTCAAAACGTCACTGAACTAGCGGAAGCAGACAAACGTTTGTTCCATGTGCCTGCAAACAGATGGTGATGATGATGATGTTTCAGTGTCCTCGCTCACTGCAGAATGTTCATCTGCAATTCAGACTGTCGCTCGTAGATTCGCCTCTGATCCCTTGTGAGTTCTTGCACCAAACGGCGATGCGTTGCCAAACTTCTCGATCGGGGTCCAACTAATCAGCAAGCAACTATGTGGTGAAAGTCGGGCTTCTTCTGTGCCAAGTCGATCTTTTAACTACACTTCGATGACAAGGCCTTGCCAGCACATCTCTACGGTGCCAAAGGAGGAGTTTGCATTTTTTGATGTTCGTCCTACTCCAGCTGTTGATGGTGTTCGTTATCTCCATTCCTTTCTTGCAGTGTAGCTTTGTGCACCCTCACACATCGTTGTATCTGAAATGCCTGTTCGTGTTTGCTCACTCCTCACTGTGCTGAGGAAGTGAAAAGCAGCAACCCTCAAACCCCGTTCAAATTGTGCCAAACTCAACTGTTGGAATACAGGGAATCTGAAAAGGATGCCGAGCACGACTTCCCTCTATCCCAAGAGCTGGAGGCCAAGTTTAGAGAATTGCCAGATGACGATGAAGATCTGGAGGATTTTATTGAAGAGACACAGATGCAGGCCAACGGCATTGTCTGTGCGAACCCTGCTGCGGCCCAGCGGTATAGGGCCAATCTGCAGACCATCAGCAGACTTGAGAAGGAACTGCGGGAGCAATCTGTACAGCTGCAGGACCTGGAGGCCATGATTGCAACCCGCAAGGTAGGGCAGGGCAAAAGAAATTTTTGCTCAAGATAAGAAAGGACATGAAAGTTAACCTGACAACAATAGGAAACAATGGCAAAATGAATAGTAGCATGGCCATTGGGCGCACTTCTAGACGTCGATCAAAGCCTGGCCTATGCTCATGATTTAGTGGGGTTTGCGCACGTTGGAACTTCCCAAGTAAATGCTCAGCAAAGTACTACAGGTTGTTTTTGAGAATTGGATAATACCCTTTGTGTGGGCTCAAAGTGCTCGGGCAGCAGTTTGTCATTTGAGTCGCAAGGCAGCCAAATCACATCACGTTACTGGTACAGCTGGCATTCTGCATCATTGTGTTCTTTGCATGTGCCTAGCCTTGCTTGAGAGCGAAGGGCAACATTCTGGGCAGTGTTGGCCATGGCTGATATCCATGCAGGAGGACAAATGGGTCCATTGTGGGCCTGTAGCTCACTGTGAAGCTTTATATTATAGGTCTTTGTAAACATCAAAGTCGCCTTAGACAAGACGCAGTGGTATTCTTGCAGGCTGTGAGCGATGATGGGTGTTTGCGCATCCAAGAACGTTTTCAAAATTTTTGCCTTCATTTCTAGACTTTCTGTGTTTGTTCAGCACATCTGTTTTGCCGAGCTGTTGGAAATCAGCACGATATGGGGCAGCACTGCCCTGACCCCTATTTGCCGATGTTGGATGGTTGTAGGTTTCGTCATTGGCTTGTCGATGGGCTCGAAGGTTTAGCCAAATTATCCAGGCCAGTATCCTTGCAGTTGAGTGGCCCATAGAGTTGAGGCTGCATGGCAATTGCGCCCCGACAAGGGCAGCTCAAAGGCGCAAATTTAAGTTGTGTTGCTGTGCAGGATGAATGGCTGCCCGACCTCCGCAAGGTGGTTGAGAAGATCAACAAGACATTCAGCAGAAATTTTGCAAAGATCGGGTGCGCCTGGTGCCTGTGCCTTGCAACGAACGCTCCACTGAACGATCTTGGCACTCAGGGCTGACACAAATACTAGCATCTAGTTGTGTCGTCGATCATTATCAATACAGTGCATAGCAGTGCATAGTTAATTCGAACATGTGCAAGAACGTCTGTGTCCTTATCGTTCTGCTGCTCCTTGTACTTGTACCAATGTTTGCAATTATACCTGCCGCCACAGTTCTTCCTCATCATTGTCCTCACAAGCCATCACCATTGTTTTTGAGCCCCCCATTTGATGCCATTTGCAGGTGTGCAGGCGAAGTCCGGCTTGCCGGAGAAGATCAGTACACAGACCAATACGACAAATACGCAGTGGAAATCTTGTAAGTGGCTTCCATCGCTTCTATGACAGTGAACTTTCCATGAAGCAGCAGTGGTGTCTGCACACAGGACTGAGAGATTCACTACACCCAAATGCATAAATTAGGGGCATTCCTAACAAAAGGCAGCACGACACAGGGCAGCACTGGTGTAGGGTATTATCAGCGGAAAATTTTGTCATCTTGTAAGGTGTTTTCTCCCGCACCAGTGGGTGCTGTTCACACCATGAACCATGTTGCACATTTCCTGCAGCATTTTCTCATACTGCACACCCCAGTTAGTTTCATTTCCTTTCTATGCTCTCCAAACATGGCAGGGTGAAGTTCAGAGAGGAGGAAGACTTGGAACCTTTGGATGCCACACGCCAGTCTGGTGGAGAGCGCTCAGTGGCCACAATGCTGTACCTGATCTCTCTGCAGGCATGTGCAACCCATGTGGTTATTGGTGCTTTTCGACATTTGAATGTTGTTGCAAACAAATGGCTGAAACTGTTAGCTCTGTGGTGGTTGGCAGGTCCAAAACCTCAAGACAGAGCAGCATGAAAGCTTGTAGTGAAGCTCACAGCTTCAATTAGATTGCAGTGTTAACAAAACTCGCTGTACTTGTTGTGACGATCACGTTCTTTGTGTGTGCTGCTGTTTTTTGCACATGTCTGCTTGGCTACTACCTGGGCAAACGTGGTGAATCACAGTCCATTTGAGTGCTTGGTATTGTCAGATGAAACAACCACACCGCAAGCGCATTTTTTTGAAATGCAAGATGATTTCCTAGGAGAGAGTTGCACGTGTGTATCTAGTGCCAGGAATGTATTTGTGGGCACAGTGCCTTTTCCCATAAGTTTCATGCAAGTGTTGCTTTCTTCTGTGACCTGACGTTACCAATGCTCAAACTACATAAGCCCCCCCCATGCCCTTGCACCCCACCCAGCCCCAAAAGAAAGGGCAGGGGGAAAGGGAAAGGCTTCTAACTGAATGTCGTGCTTCAGGCACATAAACACGACATATAGCAGCAAAATGAGCTTTCGTAAGGGAGTAGTGTGGCTTCAGCGAATGGCAGTAACCAGCACCAGCACTTGACTACAGCAGCATTGCCTGTCTTGTTCAACCAGGACGTGACCGAGACGCCCTTCAGGGTGGTGGATGAGATCAACCAGGGCATGGACGCGAATAACGAGCGGAAGGTGTTCAATCAGCTGGTGGAGAGCGCCAGCCTGCCTGGCACGCCACAGTGCTTCCTGATCACGCCCAAGTTGCTGCCCAACCTGTCCTATTCGGACTCGGTCACTGTCCACACGCTGTTTAACGGCCCCAACATAGAGTCGGTGGGAGCACTTGAGGCCTCGGTGAGTGGCTGTATGGGCGCTCTCGTTCGCTGCCCCACTGAATAGAATTTCAACAGAAATATTTCTCCAACGCCAGATGTCAAGCCCACATCGGGATTTGCATCTGCAGCCCTGTGATTTGTGGTCACTGCATTTCGCATTTGAGATGTTAAATTTATTTTGTTCGGTTGGCTTATCTGAACGTCTCTGTTTCTGTGGAGCAGGAACAGCTTGAGAAGCTGTGCGGCTGCCGGATTCGGAAAGCAATACCTGTTTGAAGGTTACTGTGGTGTGGCGATGAGCAGTGTTGGCACATTACAATTGAGATGCACAGTGCCTCGTATTTTTGCTGCAAGCAAGGACTGCGAAAATGGACAACACTGACTTTCTTGAAGAGATAATCAGGGCCAATCAGTTCCTTTGTGGTCTCATTGGGGTGATGGTGGGCGAGCAACTGCTGACACTGTATTCATGCATTGTAGTGATGGTGCAACAAGGATGTCTGGAGCAAAGTCTGGAGCAAAAGCCAACTGCTTCTTATGCCTGAGAGATACTGCCAGACCCCTTTGTATTCGAAAATTGAAGACAACAACTGCCATTAAACAAGGGCTGGTCAGATTCCGGAGATCGATCTTGCCTGAGTAGTGACCCATCCCCCAGGTGCAGCGATCACATCATCACAATAGTAGTGCTGCCACCCCATTCAGAGGATGTATCGATTGAACAAGAAATTGACAGAAAACTGGAATCTCAGCCGCTTGAGACTAAAGGATCTTCCAGAGCAGGGCTGGGTCAAGCCACATGTATGGCCAAAACGTGGTGCCAACATTTTGAGCAATGAAAATGTGGACGAGTTGAGACACATCAATGTCCTCAGAAATTTCACCAGCTGAGCAAACATTGTGAGTCACAAATGCTGTGTTCCAGATTATCCCAGGACTTGAAATTGTTGCACTCATGCCAACACTACCAGTCTCCTGTTCTTGAAAGATGCAAACACCCTGTTCTGATTTCCTGCCACTCTCACTTTGCTACAAACCACCAGAGGCTGTGATTCACAGCCACTGTGGCTTGATCTTGCATGCCGCCCTGGTGTGGCTGAGGTCGCTCTCCTTGGCCGCCAGCGACTTTGCCCTCTTGATGATGTATGCTGGAAGTGTCCTGGTCCTTGGACGAAAGGTGCACTCCCAAAGCTCCTGCCTCTCACGATCCACTTCTGCCAGTTTGCTTTCCGCTTGGCGCCTGGCTTGCCTGTCTCTCAAGGCAGCCATGTAGAGCTCAGGTTGCTGGAAACTTACTGTTGGGTGGACTGCCACAACCTGTTTGTATACAGCATGCAGACTTTGTCAAGAAACACCGAATCCAAGAAGATAGTCCTGAAAAGATCGTGGGTCGTGAATTCCAAGAAGATCGTCCAGCATGGCACAAACTATGACAGTTTGGTGTGTGGGGGGCTCCCACATCTCTTGTAGAGCATCAGCAACAGTTTAAAGAAAGATCTCGAAGGTGCTGCCAAATTCATGCCCTTTCCTGTGTGTAACGATTGTTCATCCAGCACTCCGTGGTCTTTGTTCACTCAAACAGCGTCAAAAACATGCGATGTGTTCTGGGATGCCTGCATTGGCATCTTGCCAAGTATAGTTGTCTCTATTCAGCATCTCCAGCCACCGGGCGTGCACTCATTCATAACAACATTCTGCCTCAACCTGCAGGTGAAATTTAAGTAACTGTTGCATATGCACTGAAAATATTTTGGGCTGTGAGTCACATTATTGAGTGCTGTACTGAAATCTTCGAGGACAATCATAGCGAGAAGTACAAGTGAGAGAATGCTGACAACCACCAACCACCTCGTTGTAGCCTTTGGTGCTGCTGAGGTCCGGATGGAAAGTGACCCCAGCCAGTTCTGCAGCTTCCTTCTCAACGCGCTTTAACTCCTGTGCACATGGGCCACTCCCATCAATGTTGACATGCACATCATTTGTATCAACAGCTCACAGATGCAAATTTTTTTCGCGATAATGATACAGCACAATATACGAATTTATGAGAACATCAATTGTCAATGAAACCACAAGAAAAGATGCCTACGTGTTCTGTCTATTTTGCAAACATGACACAAATGAGATCTCACCAATACTGCCTCTCTTCGCCTCAGCTCTGCAGTGCTCATCGCATCGTACGAGCGTGGGGGCATCTTCTGCGCCTTCTCAGTGATCTTGGGCTTAAAGGTGCAGCCCGGGTACGGCACACAGTCTGCCTTCCTGTGGGGCACCAAAAATACTGACGTCCCACACACTATTAATAAAATGCTGTGGCAATAAACACTGCATGAAAGGGCGCAGTGCGGAGCTGCGATGAAAAGAGACTGAACAAACAAGAGTTAGTTGCTGTTAGGTGGCCATCACATTGGGGCAATTGGGTTGTCTACAAAAAAAATGTGGGTATTATATGAAATGTACAATATAGATAGATGGACATTTACGCATTCCACATCTCCAATGCAGAGCACTGTACAAAGAACTGAGGAAACTATGGTTGGCAGCAGTGTCCCCTATGCGTGCTGCAACGTTCACCAGACCGAATACACAGCCTATCCCTAGTATCCATGGCTGTCCAAGGTGTACTGTTGAATATGATGTGTGCTGCAGATTTGTTACTTAACTTTGAGTTGGATGTTGGGTATTTGCCTTGAGCATCCGTTACCAGGTGTGTTTTAGGAATCCATGATTGGGCCATTTTTTCCAGTCCAACAGGCGTAGAGCAGGGGCCAAGTTCGTGATGGTACACCTTCCCTTTCTTGAAAGTTATTGAGTGCATGGTTGCCACATAAATGTACATTGGGCCCACAAAAGCATGAGGGCAGCACCACAAGTGGCAAGCACATATCCCTCCACATCGCTTACCCTTCTTCCACAGACGGAATATTATGACATGCAACATATTCGTCGCTGAGTGTTTGCCGAAACTGGGTTGAAGAGGTGAAGAAGTGTGCACTCATAAAATATCACCAGGTGGAAAGAAGATGTATTCCATTTCTATTGGTCATCAAGGCACTGAGAACACGTGCCCAGTATCTGACGGCACTCCAATCTTTCAAAGGTTGCTATTCTGTGTCGACCGCTGCAACAGGCCTCCTCTGCCACACAATGGCTCCGAGAAATGAAAGCACAACTGCCAGGTGCGTACCCTGCAGCCTTTCCCTTGTGACATCCACCTGTGCTCAATGGCAATGAGCCCCCCCCTGGCTTGCCATCCTTGCCCTCACTCTCTGCCTCCCCACCCTTCCCTTCTTCCAAACTCTCCTGTGGCCCATTCCTACTCCTCGAGGCCTCCTTGTCCCACTCCTCCAGAATTTTCCTTGAACCAGGAGACATCTGTTCACATATCAGCGCAGGCAGATTCTGTGGTCAGAGCAGGCGGCAAAGAGCACAAGGACTTGTTAGGCGAGATATGTTGGGCCGCACACTGTACTAAGAGCCGCTGTTTCGGGTACTTGGCATTGATGAAACTGCTATCATGCTTGGGCATCGACACTTAGGCACCTTTGGCTGATGTGCATCACAGGAGGCATGATGGCAAACTGTTCTGCTCCATTGTCACCAAAAAAGCACTTGCAACATCGCAGCAACCCTACCTGTGGCCCTGTTACCACAACCCTCCTCATTTCCTCCAGCTTCTGCTCTCTGTTTTCGGCGAAGGTCGCCTGCCTGCAAGGACATCAATAAGCGCTGTCAAAGAGCAAAAAACTTCCAAGAGTTTGCAATGCACTGTGGATGCTGCCTGACAGCCAGGATGGGATGGAAATTCTTGTGCTCTGTCAGTCTACCAGTCAGTAGCTCACAGTTCTCTGGTGTAGCAGAATGTAAACATTGTTTGATTCCTTTGTCACAATAGTCAAAACACTGTCCTTTGGCCCATTGGGCGAAGAATGGGCCTGTTCACAGCCAAAATTGTGAACCATCAGCGACGATTTGCTCCCCAATTCTGCTGAACAGTGACACAGTGATACACGTGCATGGCAAGTGCACACAACTTGTTCAAGGACCAATTACTCGTCTGTTGAGAGGCCGCTGATGATTACCGTTTGAGGAATTCCTTGACATTAACTTCTGAGGCTGAAACAGCAAGGCCATTCTTGAGTTGCTCCAACAAGCTTGAGAAGGCCTGTGGCTTCGACGACTTGGCAGTTATCCTGGGTGTGTGGCCACCAGATGCTGTGCCCCCCTCTTCGCATCCAGTCAAATCCGAATGCTCTGGCACTGGTTGTTTGTCATTGGGCTCATCGCTACTCCTGCGCATTTTTCTCACAGAAAATGTCAGGATTATCACTGAATAAATACATTGTCAATATTAATGAGAACCACACTCTTCACGCACAGTAGCTCCCGAGACACATGCAGATCAGCCATAACAGGTTGGATCACAGGATGAGTGTACCAATCAAACAACATCGCTGCAGTACATTCAATTCAAACTCCTATTTTTTAACTCCGTATCAGCTTCACCATATTTAACATCATGTTCACCACACTTATCTCCATCACCTCAACACCAGACGAGTCATAATCAGTTAGTTACTTTTCCTCGCCCTCACAATTACCATTGCATTGTTATTAGCCAAAAAGCAACATAGCTACTGCACATATATTATCATCATTTTTACTGTTATGTTAAGCGTTTCCTAATCAAAATTTCCTGCTTCCTATCACCTCCTTGAATTACACCTCCTTTGCATCAACAGTTCACAAATGCTCCCTGAACACTGGTCCTTTCTCAACTGGAAATGGGACACAACGACCATCGACTGCACAGGAGACTACTCTGCACACGCATTTCAGACCCCCAAAGTCCATCCAGCTCCTACCAAGCCTGCAGACACAGCAACGTTGAGCACTGTTCCCCCCCCCAGCTGAGGACCCACACTGTCCAGGAACAAATGCCATGGTGGCATCTGTCAAACAAGTCTCCATTTCAAGGCTGTGAGCGGACCTCTCAGAGTGTGCACTCTCCTCCTGGCCTTCAACATCAAACAGGTGCCCAGAGCTCGACCAGCTTCTGTGCACATTGGTCCTGGGGTGAAAGGTGCATTCTTCCATTCCTAACATAAAGAAAACGATGTAGTGAGCATCCCCAGGATCCCACATCCAAATCTTGTTATTCTCAGGCAGTGCCAAACGATTTCCACATCATCTGCGCAGCGTGGAAGACATTTAGTCACGAGCACATGCCTAGTCGTGGCCATGACTCAGCACAATGCTTCTCTGCATCATTGCTGTGCTTTTTCAGGCCAGTTTTGTAATTCATTGGAGGGCATAAGGTTCAAAGGATGTTGAAAATATGCTACAATTCGTTTACCTGTTGGCAGTGGGCGCAGCTTGGGCCTGGCTGTGCCTTGTCCACAGCCTTCACCGTATATCTTTCCTGACAGGGGCACTGGCCGCGTGACCGACGCCTCCAGCTGCTGCCGCTCCTCCCAGAGCCGTCGCTCCACACTCTCCTGCTGCCGCCAGCGCTGGTGGCGGGCCAGGGTGTACAGACGGAGGCAGGCTTCCATAGAGGTGGAACCCTGGGACCCATCCGAACAGATGGTCTGAGCAGCATTGCAGTGTGCTGTGGAGGGACAGACACGGATAATGACTCAAGGCGGGGCCACAGTTGCAGGACACCATGGGCTCATTGCAACAATCGGAATGCAATGGCGATGCCAATGGCAGGTGCCTATTTTTTTTTGCAGCATGGCTGCGCGAGCTAGTGTGAACACATCGTTTTGAGAGCAATTGTATGCACCTTGTCCTAGGCGTCTAAATGCGAAACATGCAGGTCACGTTCAACCAAGCTGGGTTCAGGCACTGGCACGGATGCATGCAAGGAATGGACTTGCCGCATCGCCCCTTCTTAGGGTAGGAGGGCTGTACACTGCTTAGCAACATTTGAAAATGGGAGTTATGTGGGAGACACTTCAACGAGGTGAATGTTATTTCTTGCACACCAGTAAGGTACCGCCTTATGCCATGTACTAAGAGGCAGGAACAGCAATGCACACTCCAGCATTCACAAGGGTCCATATGTGCACACAGCTGCAAAGTGGTACAAGAAGAGGTGCTGTGCTGCCAAGAAAATGGCTTGGTTGCATGGAAGGAAAGAGGCCCAGAAGTCATCATTGCGAGATGCTGCCACGACACACAAGCATAGAGCACAAAGCAGAATCGATGGGACCTGTGGTGAGTGTTGCTAAGCTAAATGTAGGTGAAGAAGGGCAGTGCAGGGTGCCACAGCGAAGGCCTGCTCAACATTGAAAGTGGCATAATCAACAGCGAAGGTGAAGATGGCGGCAATGAAGGGGGAAAAGGCCACAAGCTTCGCTTGTCTGGAGGAACAATTCGCAGTTGTAGGTGTCCCATGGAGCAGTGTCTCACCTGATTTTGTGTGCCTTCCTGATGGCTGCATTGCATTCCTAATGGGTGCCTTGTCCTCCAAGCAACTCGACATCGCTCTTTCCCTTTTCTCCTGAATACACAACATCCAGCTATTGATTCAACTGTCAGCCATGCTGCGTTGCCTACTGTTCATCTAGATTTTTCACCCCACACAACAAAGGTTATCTTGCGGCTTTTTGGTTACAGTCAGCAGAGTTGATCCAGCTCATTGTGTACAGTTTTCTGAAAGCCCCAGACACCCCTGTGTCTCCTTCGGATGTGAAGAAAATCTCAAACGTTGGTGCACGACGAGAGTGCTTGTAGTGTATGCTGTGCTCCCCTCCTTGCCAACAAATTCCCCTTTGCCCTTTGAGGATTCGCATTGTGTGATGCCAGTAAGGGCGGTAAAACCACCTTGCAATCGATAACAGTCACCCACCGACATGGATTCACAATCGGCCTTTGATGAACCCCTGCGGTTAATGCTTGGAGAGAATGTGCATTCCTTCATACAGTCGTCTTCCTTCCTCTGTTTCTCCAACGCATATTTGTTCTCTCTCCTCTTTTTCCATGCATACGTCCTGTCGTATACAGTGCTCCAGCGCCTTGGCCCTGTGCAGGCCGATGGGGTCCACCCCTGAGGGTACCCTTTTTCTTCAACAGAGTGCGAGGGGCAATACTCGGATGGCGGAGGTGGGGCCAAGACCTCGGTGCTGCTTTCTGGAGGCTCCTCTAGTGGACCATCGGGAGGACTTCTTGCTGACCAAACACAACGGGTGTCGGCATGCCTCCACTTACAAGGCATTGGGGATTGTGGAAGTGCTTGTGCCTATTCTTGCTGATCAGTGTTGCATGTCATTTCTGCTGCGCTTTGAGACTTCATCATTTTCTACAGTGGTGGAGAGAATCTTGCATCACATTTGCCTGGGAAAGGCGATTGAGGTGTTGGATGGTAAACAGTCTTTCACAACTGCTGCTAGCTTCCTGCCTTAGAGTCCATGCATATGCACCAACATACATGTCCTTTGGCCGTTTCCTGACTAACGTCCGATAGAGCAGTGTGGGTGTGGTGATGCTTAAACGCTATCAAATGTGAGGCTACAGTGTACAGGTTGCCGCAAGGTTGCAGGCCATGTTGCACTTAGGACATAGCATGTGTTCCAGAATAACAGTGAACACAATTGTAAAATGCTAGCACTTGATGCTCTACCCTGCAAATATGCTGCATATGCAGCCATCCCTGCATTGAGCCGCGATCATTGCAACAACATTTGGAACAGTTATATGCAACAGCAAGGGCTGGGATGTTCTAATCTTCATGCATCACATGGTGGATAAACCTGCGTGAGCCAGGGCAGCCACTGTTAAATAATGTGTTTGCAATATTTCGATACATATGCAGGTCTGTCAGCGTCTGCAAGGTGCAAGTGCCCCACTTTGTCTTTCGGAGGCAAATTCTGGCAAAGGTGACAAACTTGGCTGGGTGACCAACGTGCTTCTGCACTAGTGCAGATGCTGCTGCTGGAGGTGTGATGGCATGCCAATTACCTCTTGCAAGCTTTGAACGAGTGGCATAACCCAGTCGTTCTGAAAGGCCATCCCCCAGAGCCCAACATGAGTCACTCTCAATGCCATGCTCCTCCACATGTGACACTTGCACATGATGGGCAGGGTTGCATAGAGGTTGTGCAGTTCTGTGGAACTGGACTGCAGTACCTGTATAATCAATGCAACAAACGTCACCTTCAAGCAGCAGTATGAAAGCATTTCCGCCCTGTACATTGAAGCTCCCTTTCTAAGCTTCTGGGAAGAGAGTCTTTTCCAAAGAGAAGAAGTGCTCAGTACACAGTGAGGCACTCAACGCAAAATCGCGATTATGAGCCCCAAAGTAGGCATGTCAAAGTCAGATGCCCATTCTATTGAGCAGAACATTTGGTCACTGTCTTTGGTTCACCTGCAGCCACCACCTCAGCTGCAGTCACTGCTGTGGCCCTTGCTGCCAGTCTGTTCAACACCTCTGGTGACAGATTTGCCATGAGTGTCTGGTCGATGCCCAGAAGCTCCTCTTCAAGAGACTGCAAAAAAGGAGAGCTGTGTCAGGGTCCACTATCAAGTAGCCAAGCAATACAGTGCAGACAACACAGGCGCACACCCAAAGCTGGCCCCATGTAGTAGGTGCGTGACTCGGTTGCAGATTCATTTGAGGTTCAGCATCTTCAGGTCCTTACATGATGCCCTTGAGCGTTTAGCCTTCCTATAATCGAGTAAGCAACTGCATGCAGCCAATAATAGCAAGGGCGAGCATTGATTGGCCATGAATCTCGATTCCCCCAATTGCAAGACGTACACGCACTGGTGGAAGACGGAGCGACCTCGGTGCAGCAAACTCTTGAATCCATAACTCAGCCACGCATGCTCTCGCACACGCAAGCTCAGTGAAAAACACCTGTTCGATGTGCATCAAGTGGATGAGATCCTCCTCGCCCAGAAACCCAGTTGAGTATCGCTCCAGCGCCTTTTCGGCATCTTGCACTGCTCGGTGACCCGCCAGAGCATCTCCTGACAAGATCCCCAAGATCCGATCCTCCCCATTTCGCTGCGTGACGGCAGCAGCCCTCGCCACACACACCTCCATGCCATCTCCTGCCAAATGCGTCGACTTCTCGTTCCGTTCACGCTCGAGGGCAACTCCACCAGCTTGGTTGCCTCTATTGTTGACGCTAGCAGAAACAGGGAGAGGCGCAGACGTGTTTTCTTGTCGCTTGTGGCCGTTTCGCTTCGAGCTGCCCTGCTACGGCACACAGCAGTTCAACATGACACTGCCACGCATCATCCTGGTTGTTAGTACCTGTTGTACCAGCCCGGGTTTATCTACTCTGCAACCGATGCCCGTCGCCGAGCTTTCAACGACCGGGGTCCCTCTGTCCTCCGCAGTGCCCCTCCCGCATCAAACGCTGAGTTCCAGACCCAAAACTCAGGCTTTCTGCAAGGAAAGTCTACAGTTGCCGTGTCAGCGCCGCGCTTTTGAGCACCCTCCACCTGTCTCATGGTACTCTTGCTGGAACGCCCAAGCTCCAAGGACTCTGTCAGTTTCATAAGCTGCCCTGACGGCAACGTGTCAGCTTGGCGGGCGGCCTGTGGAATGCCGCTGAGAGACTCCTCCTCGCCATGCGAGCCCGCCACTCCCGAGGCATGTGTCCCAGGGCCCGCCAGCTCGTGATCGGGACTTCCAGCACTTGCTTCTGTCCCCTGCCCTTCCTGACCTTCCATCCAGTTGGGTGACGGGCAATCCCCTCCGGAACGCGCTTGTGGGCTGGGCCGCAAGGATGGCGGCACCCTGGTGCCTTGGGCGCCGCCAGGTTCGACAGATTGTTCCTCCTCGCCCGCAGCTCCATGATCAATGCAGCCTGCTGCCCCTCCCTGCACCGGAGCTTGTGAGGACGTCTGGGGAGGCTGTTCGCATTCCGCAGCAGGCGACGCCAACGCCAAACGGCGCCCGCCTGCCCGTACACATCCAGCCCCCAGGATGCCGCCGATCTGGCAGCCAGGTCACACAAAATGCTCATCTCAACTGAAAGAGGCATTTCAGAACCGACGGAGGTGTGAGCAGGAACATGTCTGTACGACAAACAAGGCAAAGTGCAATCCCAAGTACGAGGACGACCCTCGTGGGAAGGCGACGGCGCGCTCTCAAGTACTGGGATGGAATGGCCACTTCATGGTGTGGATTCACGGAATGCTGCGTGTCGGCAGCAAACATTGGAGCGCATATGCTTGTGGGTGTGACGGCCGCGCGAAAGGCTAGGCGTTGATGGACATGGCGCTGTGCGCTAACACACGCGAACTGTGACCGTCTTGTGCCCATTCACAGGTGCCCCACAGTGTTCCTCACGCCACGCTTGTCTTTTCTAGCTGCCCGACTGTCCCAGTATATTCTGGGGAGCCCATGCTCCATATCGATTCTGCACCAGCGCCGCTGGGACACGCCTTTCGTGGCCATCAGCCAGCGTCACGCGATTATGCAACTAGCCCAAAGTAGTGAATGTTCCTTTAGTGACTCCGGCCGGCACGACTCGGCTATCACCTCACGGGCAAGTGCACGAAGACCTCAACAACACGCGATGACTGCATCACTGGGCAGCCGTCCTGTGCATGGTACGCCATGCGCACAGATAGCGCATTGCCGTGGACAAGTCCTTGGTGCATCGCCGAATTTGCCACTATCTTGAAACTACATGTCCTGCCTGTGCCAATCAATTTTGCAAGCTGGCAATCCATGGGCCAGCCAACCCACAATGTGGTGAACGGAAACCACGGGGCTCTTTGGGTAGTGCAGAGCCTTTCATTAACTGACCTCGCCCGTCCGGCACAAATTTTTGCACAAAAATTGACCATGTGGTACATCTATGCGCCAAATTTTGCAATATCTTTTACACCAATCCGTGCGTGCAGCAGCGTGTCAAAATCCAGGAGGCCATAGAAGCCCCACCTGCATGTCGTGCAATGTGAAGCAGCCTCGGTTTTGAGGAGACCGTGGGGCGAATGTACAAGGTGTTCGTTGATTCATGAAATGGAAACTTCGGAGCAATGCTGCACAGCATTCCCGCGCCAATTTCCCCGGTTTCTTCACAAATTCACAGGATGGAATTTCTTCGGACGGTGACCTTCTGGGGCCGCCGCAAGCTGCAAGGGATGGGGCTGCAGCGATTTGGTTCCAAAAACAGAATTTTTGCTCTAAAACTTTCGCGTGCTATTGTCCTCAGTCTGTGCGGAACGCTTCCATTCAGAATCACTGCCTGAATTCATTGTGACATTGTACGCGCTTTGTCTACGTTCATCCACTTGGGACGTCCCCACTGGATGTCAAATGTACAAATCCGCCAGTACCGGTGCCAAGTATTAGGAAGCGGAAATATGCAGGCAGTAAGTTGGCATGCAGGCTACGATTAAGCGACGAACCAAAATCTTGTGGCAAGTGTATATGTTGATTGCTCCCCTGCTGGATTTGGCTAATCCAGCACGCTAAGCACGCCCCAATCCAACCTGCGTGTTGAGGTCCTCAAGCACCTCGTCCTCTTCGCTATTTTCCTTCTTCCTTCGAACAACATTCTGTATGTCCTGACCACACAGCCATCGCCCGTTCATCGCACAACATGCATGGAAATCGGCAGCTAGGGAGAGCGTATCTGGTAGCTGGAACGGCGGCACACTCAATTTGGAAAAGGGCTCAACAGTGGGGCTCGACCCGTTTTTTTGGTGCATGTTGTACCTCTGTGCAATTTCATCCTATTGCTACGCATGGTGCATCACCACTGCACGAATGTCAGAAGTGCAGCATGGCTTGTACATGGACCAAAAGTACATGACGTTGCCATTATTTTAGCATTGGCAGGGATGTAATCGGTCAACGAACATTGCATACCAAGGAAAGGAGGCTGCTGCTAAGTCCCTCTTTTCCCCGAGAAAGGCAATTTCAGTGAACTTTCACACGAAATTCGAGGAGCCGGTAGACATGCAATGCACAGCACATCGCCCTCGCGACTCCCGCGCGGGTGGCCAGCATCTGTTCTTCCAACCTTTATGGCGTCCACGTCGAGGGACAAGAGCCCCCGCGCCTGGTGGCACAGGTCGTCAGCCGTTGGCGCGAGGCCAACCCCCTCCCCTTCAATGCACTCGACGACGCCTCCAGAGGCTTCACCGCTTCCACCGGCCGTCCCCCCTCCCCACTCTCCGTCCCCGACGCCGGACCCAAAGGCAACATCTCCCCACAGAGGCATGACCGCGAACAAGGCCCCCTGCGCTTTCCAACTCCGCCTCTCCCCTTGGGCCTCGAGGACAGCCTCGAGTGCAACACAGGGCGAGCTGCCGTCCCCTCAAGGGCGACGCCTCAACAATGGTTGGAGGCCACCCGCGGCTGTTCCAAGGCCTCTAAGACTCACAGCCCCTGGGAATGCCTGTCGCGCCAGCGCGGCTGTTTTAGTGCTCGAACCTAGGGCGCGGCCAGCGCGTCGCCCGCCCCGCAGCCCCGCCAGAATCCCCCACGGCGGGAAGAGTTCCTCCTCCCGACGGACGCCCGGGCGCGGCGAAGTAACCGCACGAGGCGCGTGGCGCGACGTCCTAAACCCAGCGACCACAATCCATCAATGAGTCGCGGAGCATCTCCCGGCCAACAAACCCCCCGATCGCCAAAACCCAATTCAAAGCTGCCGGGCAAGATCGGCGTAACTCGCGGGCGACGAGCTCGAGGCCAAGGGCTCGACCCGCCACCCCACGACCACGCCAGGCGACGTCCATAGACCCCTTCCGGACGTCAGGCACGACAGCTGGACCCCTTTCTCCGCCTCTGGCTCCCCCTTCGGTCAAACGCGGGAGGCGGTTGGGGGATTGACCCACCTGAGCCCGGCGCGCCAGCTCCGGCAGCCCCCGTCGGCCGGGGGGCGCAAGAAGGAGCGACCGTCCCAACAAGGCGGGCCCCTCTCTCAGGCGCCCGCCTCGCGGCGCGGCATGGGCCCGCGCCCAAGGCGTATGTCGGAAGGGGAGTTTCCGAGCAGCAGGAGGCCTGTGCCGTGTTGACGGCCGTTGGGGCCGGGCGGCCGCCGGGGGGAGGCACCGCAGAGGCGTTGACCGGCGCATCCGCCTCATCGGCCGGATATCGGGTCCACGCCGATTGGAGGGGCTCGCAATTACTCTCGTGGCTTTTCCCGCCCTTCGTTCCCACCGCGTTCCCGCGTGCATTTTGTGGTGAGCGGAAGCCGAGGGGGGAACCAACTCGACACCCTGCTGTTCTGCAAGCTCAAACGCCTTCCGTGAAGTCTGGAAATGAGTTTCCGAATGTTTGGAACCTGAAGAGGCGGAGACTATAGCCGTGCTGGAACGCACGTAGTTTGTGGGTGGCTCATTCGTTGCGCATAGCCACCGAGGGCCATGTCGCCACCCGACCATACACGTACAGGGTGTCCACTCCTTGTCCCAGTGTTCGCAATGAGGGCCTGGTGCGCAAAGCACACGCCAACAAGGCGCGTCCGCATGAAAACGTGCAGTCGTATCCCCAAGTAATGTGGTAGAATGTACGCTCTTGAAGAGTTCACAAGATGTCATGGGACCTCCCCATTTCGAAGCTGGGGAGCCCTGGCATTGGCGCAGCATGGCCTCCAGCAGAATACTGCTGCAGTCGGCCCCCAAGATTGAATTCTTCGCTCGTTCAAGGCATCATTGTGATATGAATTTCTGACTGACACTGGGGAACGGCGGGTTTAGAGTTTTGCATGGGCGTAGGCCAACACTTCGTTGGGAGTGCATGGGCTTCAATCACCATCCCGGAGTGGTGGCCGATTTGTCCACACCGACCAGAAGTCCAAAGCAGTCATCCACGCAGCGCGAGCACAGTTCTTAGCACGCTGGATATCACACCCAGTGCACAACATTGACCTCATGTGCCACTTCCCCACCACCGACCTCCAACCCACGTTTCTGCATGGGACCAGTCGGCGCAGTAGTTGAAGACAACACGGAATACCATGTTGTGCGAAGTAATATGTCACTCCAAACACACATATGCCACGCCATGACTTGCAAACGAGACTTCTTGTGTTTTGTACGCATGAACAGCAAGTCAACAAGAGACCGACACTGTGAGTGCTGTCGTGCAGAGTGGCAACGAATGTGGAAAGAGCTGTGGCTGAATCAGATGGAAATAGGGCTGCTTGCCAGTTGATGGAACATCAAAATGCTACCACCAACCAGCCCAAAATAGTGACCTGTTTGGGCCACCCTCGCACCGGGTAGTTCTGGCAAGGACACAGATCCAGCCTTGTTGTGGCTTTTTACGTACAGTCATGCCACCCACTGACAGCAGCCATCTAGCTGGTTCAGCCCTGCAAGGCTCTGGGGCATCGAACAAAATGGGCAGCTTGTCCACAAGGTCTGAAACCTGCTGTAGTAACCAACATGATACCTACCAGATTCAAGCTTTGGACTAGGTCTGGCCATCAATGGGCCCATGTGTACATTAATATCAATGGGCCCAACTGATTATCAATGGGCCACACAATGGTACGCACAATGTCAAGAAAGGGCCATGCCCAAGGATGCCTCAATTTCCAAGGCAAGAGCCAACTGAATATCGAACGCCCCACTCCTCATAACTGCGCCAGGCAGATCATCGTATTCTCACTGGCGATGGGGCCCCTGGGAAGCCCCCAAACACCCAAGCCATAAATCCCACATAACTGAATGTGTACACAGCCACGCAGAACAGCAGCAGGCCAAACACCTTGGGCTTGGCCATGGACAGCTTAGTCTGTATGAATCGCATCAAGCGGTCCACGAAGGGCGTCAGTGCCAATGCCACACCCAGCCTGATTGGTCGCATGATGTTCTGCAGAGCAAACAGTCCCGCATACACCGCCAGAAAGGCAGGCCATTGGCCCTGAGCAAAGGCACACGTCATTTCAGGAAAATCACGAAAACTCAACAATTGTGCCTCAGCCTGGGTGCAAAGATAGCAAAGAACAACTGCTGGGTGATTTGTTTCCTCCATTGTGTGGTTCTTCTGGGGAGTCCTATGGTGCCTTTTCTTGTCGTGTTGCGAGTGAAAACAAGAACCAGGAATACTTAGAAACAATTGGCAAGCTGGCAGCCCATCATGTGGAGACAGGGCTGGGAGCCTTTTCCACTTCTTCCTCTGAAGAAGTCTCAGAGGATGAGGACTGCACTGGGCATCCTGATCGAAACATCAAAGAAGCTCATTCTGTACAGCTGGGCAGAATTGAGGTGTCGCCGAATCCGCTATGAAAGCACAAAGCAATGAAGAGGGCAGCAAGCAAGCGGCATGGACTCAGAGAGAGTGCGTCAATATGCACACGTCAACGCCGACTATGGATGGCGGCCGGAGTTTTCTCCGATGGTCCTTCACGACGACAGAAAATTAATTCTGTAGTTTTGTTGCTTGAAACTTTAGTCCTTAAAATTAGGACTCGGCTTTGGGAGTGCACAGTCCACCGGTTCCCTTAGTGTCAGCAAGAATACTACAAGGTCAACAAAAGAATCACAATCCTGACAAGTTGCCCCGCCACGGGTGCGCCCGAGTTTCGGACCTTCGCGAGGGGCGTGAGGCCGGTCCTCTTGACGTGCGTGATCCACGCGATCACCACGAAGGTCCCGTTGGTGGTGTTGCTCACGAAGAAGTACGACAAGAGGGCGCCCAGGCCCAGGTCCTTCAGGCGCTGCCTATCCAGCGCCGCGTCCCCGAACACGGCCTTCTTGAACCGGGCCCACCGCGACGGCGGCCTCCCCGACCCGTCTGACACCGTCTCCGCCCCGCCATCCCCAATCCCGCCGGTAGTGGCCGACGCGCACCTGCCTATGTGCCTCTCAGGCGCCCTCTGCGCTCGGAGAAGCGCTGGGGGTGAAGAGATGAGGCATAGCGGTGAGGGATGAGGGGGATGGCACGGTGGCCGTTGGAGAGATGGTGTTCGCATTTGCCGCCACTGGGGACCAGGCGCCGGGCACATCTGTGGACGATTGGAGACGCGCCTCATCACTGCACGAGACGCGGAGGACGGGCACCGTAGAGATTAATGTTGGAGGGCGGCCGTGCCTGCGGGCGTGGGCAAGGTGATGAGCGGTCGTGCGAGCACGGCGGGGGGCCGCCCCGTCACGGTGGCCAATGCCACCCGGACAGGTAGCTGCGGAGTGGACCTACCAGGGCTAGCGCTGCATTAGTGCGACCTTCTGCGGTGGGCGCCCGCTGCACTCCGCCCTCCGCCGCAAACCGGGGCAGCAGCCGCTGGGGGATAGGCAGCCCCACAGGGCATAGTGTTGCGCCAGCTGAGCTCAACGTCAGATGATGACGGCGCGGCTGCTTGCGCCCGAATTCATTGGCACCCAGGGCTGCCCTCGAAGTCTCATGGGACGCAGCTACGGATTCGATATTTGTCACCTTTGATGACCGGGGGTGGTGCTATATACAGTCCGCAGGGAGGGGGTCACCCATCACGTTGCGCCGCGATGTGGCATTTCGCCGGGACGCTGTCCCTGCGATTGATTCAGCCATGGGTCAGGCCCCACCAAAACACGATGGTTTCAAAACTGGAGCGGCCCCCGCCAGCCCACAAGTTATGTGGGCAGCCGCCAAGTCTCCGTGGTCGACCAGCCCAGGCGCGATAGCAATGACGGTCGAACTGGTGACCAAGGGATCCCAGGCGCCGGCACACAAGGAGCATCGCCCCTCACCAGCCGCGGCATCGGCTGCCGCACTGCTGGTCGGGTCTACAACGTTTTCGCCGTGCGACCCTTAAAGAACAAGCAACATGCCCATGCCGGCCACATTGTTGGCTGGAAACCACGCCCCCCCTAAGCGCGCCCCGCAGGTTCTTTGCGTTCACAACCTGCGCAACTTGCAATGGCCCCAACACCCAGCTTGTCCCTTCAGTCTCCCCGACCGATCTCGGCGCAGTGCCAATTGCGCCAGACAGTAAACGACTGGCTATCAGATCGACGATTCGTATCCCCACTACAATGGGTAACTTCAAACGCTCAATAGCAGTGCCGCTGCCCTGTTCACAAGGCACATTTTGCTCGGAAACAACGAGACCTGCAGTCTGTCAGCCTACAAATGTGCAAGGCGATCGATTGGGTGAGCGGGGTGCACAAAGCAGGGTTCGAACCGAGCTCTTATCCCACAAAGTACAACGTCTCATTTGTTTTCCCTAGACATGCCTTACACTGGGAGGCTTATATTTGATCCGCGTTCAGCTTTTTGTGGTGGGTTTTCGAATCGAGGGAACTTTCCTCTTCAATTCTGTACCAATTGTCGTTTGTTTCCGATGGCAGTTTGCCACCGTGGTGGCCATGGCACATGTCTGTTTCTGGGCATAGTTTGGTTTGGTCGAACGCCTTGAAGGACATGTCTCAGAGGTGGATCTGCTCGGTAATATTGATCCCTTGAGCCAGAAGTTTGCCAAAAGGTGCGCTGCAGCAGCCGATGCCGCGGCTTGTGAGGGCCGATGCTCCTTGTGTGCGGGCGCCTGGGATCCCTTGGTCATCAGGTCGACCATCGCTGCTATCGCGTCTGGGCTGGTCGACCACGGAGACTTGGAGGCTGCCCAGATAACTTGTGGGCTGGCGGGGGCCGCTCCAGTTTTGAAACCATCGTGCTTTGGCGGGGCCTGATCCATGGCTGAATCAATCGCAGGGACAGCGTCCCAGCGAAATACCACATTACAGCGCAAAGCGACGGGCGACCCCCTTCCCTGCGGACTGTATATAGCACTAACCGATCATCGGAGTTGCAACAATTGTTTCTCTTGCGGCTCGTTCGTGTTGGAATTGTTGCGAGCAGGGCCTGAGCAACCACAGGCCAAGGAAAGAGAGGAATGGGTTTCGTTTGCTGCGGAAGTCACCAGTACGGCATTAGTGCCCTTCTTGCTCAATGGACGCCAGTTTGGAAGATGACACCCTTTTGAAGTTCAAGAGGGCAGGGTCTAATTCTCTGCGCTGGTCTCTACTGACACCACAAGCAGGCTTGGTTTTGCGTTTGTGTTTAGGTTTTTACGTGTAAGAACGTAAATTTGCGAGAGGGCCTATTTTTACGGTTATCTTCACGTTTTTACGGCTCCCTGGGACACGCAGGTTACACGATGAAAATCGCGTATAATGATCAGTCCTCCGCCATCTCCAGCACTCGCAACACAATTTACACCCCGCCTTTGGCAAGGGCGACGTTGGCGTGCAGCAAGAGCTCGTTTTCTGCACCTTTCAGGGTGTCTCTCTGCCACTCCCCGGGCTCTGCAAGTCTGTATGTGCCGTCCTTACGTACACGGGGCTGTATTTACGTTGTATTTACATATTTTTAAGCATTTCTACGAGTAAAAACGCAAATACGGTCAGTTTTTACGGCGTAAGAATCAAGCCTGACCACAAGCAGGGTGCAGCACTCCAGCCAAAATGCTGCTGTACTTTCATGAAGTAATGCGGAACAGCGAATTAAGGATGATTCCCCGGCCACAGTGACCAGAGGACAGTGGGTCAGAGCGCAGTTGTTGTTTTTTTGCCACCAGCCGGAACTAATTTATTTTTGAGAGGCGAGCAATGCAGTGTATCAGCTGATGTTGTGCAAAAGAACAGATACCTGACCGACACCGTTATTGAGGTCCGTCAAGATGCTGCTCGATCTCTCACTGTGGACATTGCAGTGGACATTCATGAGCTTCTTCACCAGTCCCGGTGACCAACTGGGTGGTCAATCCCGCGGCATTGCTCCATTGCCATGAGCGGTGTGTGCACACAGGTCGACCTACAGCAAGAGTGTATGCCTGCACAGCAGAGTAGATTCGCCAGAGTGCCATGACAGAGGCCACAACAATCGCAATAGCAAAATAAAAATCGAATTATGTTCGTGCCCTATATCGGTTTTATATACAGTGGGGTGGCCTCTTTAATGCCGCCCTGAATAAGGCCAAACGGTCAATAAGGCCGGTCAAAATCGGCCATATATATGGCAGATATATCTGGTGGCACTATATATAGTACTAGAAAGACGTGGCCACAGGCAGTTTGAGCGCGTGGGGGGCGACGCCACGCCTTGCTCCGAAGGCAAGAAGTGCGGACTGCCCCACGACAACCCCAAACCCCTCGCTACACTACTACACAAGTGCTCTGAGTGTGATGGGTACATCCACCGGATCTGTGGGGAAGTCGATCCCGATGGCGATTCAGAAATGGATCGTGCGTGTAGCCTTTGCTACATCCGTGCTGCAAGGTTGGCTTCCGCGCCCACGACAATCAGAATTCGGGATGTGAAAGCCCAAGCTTGTCGGCCCATTTCTACCCCTGGACGGCAAGACTTTGTGCTGTGCGGGGCGTTCGTAAACCAGGGACCCTCGGGTGCCTCGTACACCGGCACTTGGGCCTTTAACGTGGGCGCAGGGGCGCTCGCAGCCCCATAGTCACCCAGTTCAATACCAGTCTCCTTCGATTGGACGATGGCTTGTTCACAATCAATGCTACCAAGTAAAGTACAACGCTTCTTATTGGGCAACGCATAAAGTACTAACAAGATTTTGATATCAGAATACCCTTAAAAACATCAATGTATGCACTATATGATGCCCCGTAAATGGTTTCTACAGCCTTAAATGGGCTGCAGACGTCAATAAGGCCATCGTTCAATAGGGCCAGTGAAATGGTGTCATCCCTGAGCGGTCTTAAAGAGGCCACTCCACTGTAGTCAGAATCACATAGTGATGCGAAGAACATTTACATCCATGTTATTCGCCGGCGAATTTTCCAGGCATAGGGCGCCCTACGGACTACGGACCCTACGGACAAATTACTGCCAAAAAAGGAGGCGGCCAATTGGACGTCGCAACGGATATCATTCGATCCCGATAACCTGGTCGACGAGCTCACTGATTCAGCCAAGAACCAAATATCTAAGTACTTACGAAATCTCTGAGGGTGTTTGTGCATCAACCATGAATGAAATGCACCGAAGAGCCGCCGCAATGCCTATGCAGCAACACTGAGGCACGAGTGGGGTTCAAATCAAGGCCCTCCAATTTACACTTATATTGCGACATCGGCACCTGGGCATCACTGCAATGTTATCCACATAGTATCGATGAGCCAGATGCATCAAGGTGCATCAAAAGCTCGGTATGTTCTTCCAGATTCCAGACACAACGGACAAATGTAACTGCGGGGAGACACCCTAATGTCAATCGCATAGTTGCTCTTCCGTCGGTTTTGGTGATCCACATTCCGGCGAAATACATTCTAGCAGTGTGCAATCCTTTGTTGGCTTACATGATGTCGACCAGAATGTACCCGGTCCACGTCACTAGGGGAATTTCTTAAGCATTTTGAGTTTGCTTTTTGATGCCGTCAGCTTCTGCGTTGGTCGACGTGCATGTGCCCATATGGGGCTCGCGCAGCTTTGCTTTGGAGACTCCTTGGAAGGAAAAGAATCTGCAGCACTCCTACTTTTCGAGATGTGGAGTTTTCTAATGCTTCAATTATGTGAGATTTCAAGGAGCAGAAGATACAGGTAAACCCAAAGTGCAACGTGGGGTGCCAGAGAAATCGGGATTTCTATCAGAAATTGCGTCTTGTCCCGAAAATTTGAATTTCGAAGCTCAAGACCACGGACGGGTCCGATGTGGGTCGACGACTCGTCATCACGGCATTGTTGGGGAGTGTGGTCCAATACATCCCTCGTCGACGCGACGAACGCGGCGACTGCCGCCCTCACGACCCAGACACCGCGCTTGTCGTCCGCGAGCTTGCGCCGCACGACTGAGGGCGAGGGAAGGATTCGCTGGTCTAGCCCGGTGGCCGTTCGACTACCTTCCCCAGGGAGCAGCCACCTTTGAGCAGAGGGCAACCAGCCAAGTCGAACGGCCCTCTTGGGCTCCGCCGTTGAGGGAGGATGCCAAGGGGTCTGTCTGCGGCCTGCGCAGCGCTGCTGGCCGCCTTGCTGGCCCCAATCGCTGCATCCCAATGCCCGATCACGGCTGAGGTCGCGGGGAGGATCAACTTCACGGATGTTGCCGATTCTTGTGGTGCGTAGACGGCGCGAGGGCGGGGGCAGTTGCCTCCGCGGCGTGGGTCAGTCGAGGGCTGATGGCTGCAGACCCGCAGCGTGGCAGGGTAGCGGGAGGGCGCTGAGTCGGGCGGGTGGGCTTGCTGTCGGGCGTTCGTGACCACTCGCTTGTCCGCGAGCCGAACTGAACGAAACGCCTCTAGTCGAGCTGGCTGGTTCGTCGCGTATTGGGAGAGGAGTGTTCTGGGGTGCAGTCAAAGCACCGGAGGCGGAAAGGGAGGGGCCCCCGGCCCGGTCAACCATTCCCCTGCTTGGTAGCGCGCGATCTGTGCATCGTTCTGTTCCTGGGCGGTGACCGCCCTTGGGGGTCGGCGTCGCTGACCCTCTGTTTGCCGCCAACGGGTTGCCGCCAACGAAACAGTGGGGACGCGGCGTTATATATAAAAAAGAGGCCTGAGTCCGCAACGATGATTTCATCCAGATGTATGCGCAGGATAGGTTCAAGGCGCGGCTGGGTGCTGATGGTTCCAGACGTCCCCGTTGTCGTGCGACACCAGCTGCGCACACACGCGCCAACTGCGCTGATCCACGAAACGGCAACATGAGCGTGTTTGAAAGAAATTGATCTGTATACCCCTCTTCCATGGAGTCGACAAAATTTCGCCCATTTACCACCTTATGGCCGACAGTACAGAGCACTACGCCCTAATTGTTGATTAATTCGCGCAGTGCTGAGCTGCCACAGTGTGTGCCTACAGTTTCCCGTTTCTCACGAGCACCTGTGAAGAGATCCGCACGCTGCAGCTGGCCTCTTCTGAGTGGGAGATGGTTCATTGAGTTCGCAGCTTTGGCAAAAAAAAATGGTGATGCAAAGGATCAACTCCGGGGCATCTCTGGCCCTAACATAAAAAGCGATCCTGCATGTCAAACTTTGCAGCAGAACGCAGCGTGAGCTTTAACTCATAATTTTCCGCAAAATATGTAATGCAATGAAGGGAGCATTTTCATTGCATTGTTCTAGGTCACTGATCAAAGCATGTTGTGCTCCCTGTTCCAAAAATTGTTGGTCGATGCGCGCAGGGGGTCTGGCAACTTCCGACGACCCAATCGAGGATGGCTCTTGTGACCTGTGCTCATGCGCATTGGTGGACGCCTTGGTTTCCCCTTTCAACCAATCAGGTTTTGATTTAGAAGCTGCTGGAGGATTTGCAGGAGCCGAGGCGGCATTGCGATCCTGCATCGGCGTTCTGGCCCTCCCTCTTGCCCAAGCGGGGTGAGAAGAGCAAACAGCAGTCAATAGAGAGATATGGCATTGATATTGCAAGCGTGCCTGTGGCGCCATGGAAGACAGCGATCATGCTCCACTGTGCAAAATATGTCTTTCATAATAACACGTGCCATCGAATTGTTTATTGCATATATAGGCAGTCGCGAGCGCCGCTTCACCGTCGGAGATATTCTTGGGGTTTCCGTTCACATGTGTTGCTTTATGTTCTTGTTCATCCCCTAAGCATCAGTGGAATTGCCCATGTCCTACAATTTGCGGTTTTGCTTCAACAGTTTATCGTTCTGTTGTTATAGCACCAGTACAAGCGCATGCCCAACCTACTACCTTTCGGGATCCTCATGAAAATTTTCTCCTGATTCAACTTAGCGATAAATGGGCGAAATGTGCTATCTTTTGTCAATGGTCGCACCGGCAGAGGTGTGCCGCAATTCAAGTTGAATGTTGAAACACCCTTTCATACAAACTGCCTAAAAGGAGGTCCCGTAAAGTAACAGAACTGTGACTTTGCACGCAATGACACCTTCCGATTCAATGATTCCGCACTAATTGCGTACAAAGGGGTGTTTCGGACAGTCTGGCCGAAATGCACAACCGAGTTGTTGCGCACAAAGGGAATCCCTTTGTCCGATGAAAACGCACGTGGCGCGCGTATTCGCTGGAGGAGGATCTGGCGGGAAATCACCCAACGAACATGGGTATCCTTTGGTCCAAACGTGGAGCAACGGTGGCAGTGGGCAATGGTTTTCATTAGCAGAGGGCGAGGACAAATGCGCGCGCGGGGCGTGCATTCACAGGACGAGGAGCTGGTGTGAAATCACCCACAGCGCATTCTTCTTGGTGGAAACGTGGCGGAACAGTGGCAGTGCACAATGATTTTCACTAGCAGAGGGCAAGGACAAAGGCGCGAGGCGCGCCTACATTTGTCCTCGCATACATGGCCATGTTTAGCACAATTTCTGTGCGCCGGGAACAACTTTCCGCGCACAATTATTTTTGCACGTTTGTATCCAAAACGTGGTCTTCAGCTCAATGCGCCGTTTATGCCCTTATAGTCATTTTTCATGAAAGACAATTTTGAGCGATAGTGCCGCGCTTGAACGCATACATCACAGACGCTGAATGGTGCCGAGAGTATAGAGGGGTCTGAGCACATATGGAAGCTGTTTTGGGGGTGAGATATATCGTGACAGCGACATTCTTCAACCGTAGCATGCATTCGTACAGGCTTGCTTTTTACATTTACGGTAAACGTTTTTACGTGTAAGAACGTAAAATATGCCGAAGTGGTATATGTTTAGAGCTTTTTACGTTTTTGCGGCTCGTTGCGACTGCCAGGTTATACGATGCAAGGTGCGTACATTGATCGCTACTCCTCCAGCACCCGCAACATAGTGCCCCTCTCGCCCTCGGCAAGAGCAACGACGACATGGAACAACATTTCGTTTTCTACCCATTCCAGCGCGCCTGGCTGCCACTCCCCGGACTCCCCATCCCTTTATATATATGTACAAAGGGCTGTATTTACGTTGTGTTTACGTATTTTTAGGCGTTTTTACGCGCAAACAAGTAAAATCTCTTTTCACGCGTAAAAAGGCAAATACGCTCAGCTTTTGCGTCGTAAAAACCAAACCTGCATTCGTATCAATTCACCAGACACGCATATATATATACATGCAAATGTGCCTGCAGGGTGCCCCTCTCCGCCCTTCTGGGATTGGCGGAGTGCGGCTACACAAAGGAGAAGTTTCCAGACTGCGTGAAGGACTTCGTTCCGGAGGTGCAACCGGAGCCGCCGGCTAACGAGAATTGCGGCTGTTCCTCCGACCTGCAGCCCGTCTGCGACTACAATCACAATTGGTACACCAACTTGTGCGTATCCAAGTGCAGAGGAGTCAAACTGGTGGAGTCATGCGTACCTGTATTCAAGGAAGTGGAGGTGATAGAGAAGCCATTCGTGCTCACGGATTTGGACGGCCCACTGATATGGAAGGCCGGGTGCGCCTGTACCCAAAAGATGAGCTCCTTCAAGCCCGTCTGCGATATCAACGGCAAGCAGTACAGCAGCGAGTGCTTTGCCAATTGCCAGGTGATACCCGAGATAACTCGAGCCTGCAAAGTCTCCTTTTCAACAGTGCAAAAACGCAATAGCATGGAATCTATTCACAAGTGCGACAGGCACACGAAATAGGCAGAAACATGGCATCGCGAATACTAAAGATCCTGGTTTCATTATATTCAACAAGGAAAATAGTACTAACAAATGTGCTATGGGCCCGCGCTCCCGCAATCAAGTGAAACCGAGCACCATTTTGCTTGTCAATAAACCTATCCTAGTCAATCAGCCACAGCTGCTGATGTGTATTCGTCACATGAAACAGAGCGTACAACGTAGAATACAGTAGAATGTCATAGGTGTGACGTGTTATATCAAAGAAGATAATGCAGATTCAGTAGAACCTCCCTGCGACTATTGCTAAAATACAGCGAAAGCACTTGCATGGACCGAATTAATTCTCAAACGTTTCCGCTGTACTGTGTTCTTTCGCCAATCCCAAGTACAAAACTGTTCTGTCACAGTCCGACGCAAGGCTCTTTCTGAGAACGGCAGTATTCTGAAGTAGTCTGAAAGTACAGTGCGCAAAGAATCATGAAATGTGTGCGGAACAGAAACATCTTCGCGATATGATCGACTTTACAGCTGATACACCAATCAGGCAAGACCATCACCTCGTGCATTGGATTTCACAATTCCGCGCAAAACTTTGACTCAAAAGTCTGTTTTGGTTAGTGCCACTTCGCGTGCGGGTGCTGGCAAAAAAGCATACCCCGCGTGATTTCATGCGCTCAGCTGCATGGAATACTCCTGTTTGAGCCCCTCCCTCGTCTGAATAGCCGCACCCAGTTTCCACAGCACTGTAATTCCGTCGCAGGGCATCACCGCTCAATTCGACTGCACCAAGCTGGTCGTCGATTTCGAGCCTTCCGGCGACGGGCCGCTGGTGGAGGCATTTGAAGGCGACAGCGACGGAGATTCAAGCTCCAAACCGGACGTCGGCGATACCAACGGCACAAAGACACCCCCGACTTCGCCAAAGCCAGGCGGCCCCACCGCCGCCACCCCTCCTCCGTCACCTCCCAAAAAGCCAGACAAGGGAGGCAACAATCCAACCATTCCCCGGCCGGAACCTCCAACAAAGAAGCCCGATCCCAAGGACGTCCCACCTATATCACCGGATGTGGCGGCCCTCCTGGATCAGTTTGGAATCAGGGTGGATCAGCTGCCTCCCGAGTTCACCAGGGTGGCCTTCAAGATATTCAACGGGGAGCAGATAACGGACGCGGAGCTGGCTCGGGCGAGGGAGGTGCTAGCGGACGAGGAGGCCCTGGCCGCCGTGCGGGAGCAGATAGATCCGCTGTATGTGCAGCAGCTGGATGTCTTGGCGGCTTCGGCCACCGGAAACAACGCCATACTGCTCAAGGAGCTGACGGCCGCCCTTTCCCAGCGGACGGATGGAAATGAAAAGGTTTGCGGATCTTTCCTGGTTGGCGATGGACTAAGAATTGGAAATCGAACGTTATGGGGACAAGGTCGCACGTGATTGTGTCGTGTTAAATTTGTCGCACAGTCCATTGCATGGGACCGATTCATCTCCTGCGAACTGTTTGGTGTATTGCAGCTACATCGTTCTAAGCACCACAACACATGTGAAGACGTGTAACTAAATTTTGGCAATTTGCTCTTCGCCACACGGACAATGTTGTGCGCATTCGCCTCGGCGAAATTATGCCGAAAGGGGTTCTGCATAGTGCCATCTGTAATTATGAAGAATAAGCAGCACGAAACTTCGATGTGCATCATTGGAACAGATGACACTCCGAGACTGGGCTATGTTAAGTGTAGCCCAGTCTCGAGCAATGCCTCTGTGAAGATGACTGCCAAGTCTTGCCAGTAATGCAGACCAAAATCATGGATACGGTGTGCAGTTTCAGTGGAAAAATGGGCTGTTTCGTCAGTATGGGTCATGATGAGGTTCCGATGCAACCACCAGGAATTGTGGCAGAGTTATGTGTCGCAGGCCGAGGCATTCGATTGTGCCCAGTACAAGCATCATAAGTGTCTACTGATGCGTGTTGTCGTGGCAATGATGTGTGCTCATTGTTTGCTTTTGTGCTTCGCTCGCGCAGACGGAACACGAGCGTTGCATCGCCTCCTGCAGATCTGGAAACGAGGTTTGCAACAAATCAACGGGCGAGAAGTATCCCAGCAGCTGCCACGCGCGATGCAAGGGAGTGAATGACTTTGTTGCGTGCAGCAGCAAGAAAGACAAGAAGAGCGCCGCGGCCGCCATGGTGGCGGGTGCAATCGCTCCTTTGCTCTCAGCGTGTGTGGCTGTTTTCTTCTTGGGATGATATGATACTTTATCCGGGCAGTGTTGTCATTCGATCAGGGTTATAAGTGCAGCACTCCTCCTGTGGGACTCATGACTCTCCCCCAACAGTTGCTTTCAATCGGCATTTGGTCCAAATTGTAACATGGCGTTTCCTGGAATTGCTTCTCATGGTCAAGGGCACCAATGCGAGCATCAGAGTCCTCGTTGATCGCCAAAAAAACGATATTGGGGTGATGATCAGCGTCTAATGCTGCAATTAGCTTCTTGCGAGATATCAACTGGGCTGAAAATATCTAACTAATATCAATTTTCAACACATTGGTTTCCCTCACGTGTTTTTTTCTGAGTTAATGGACTCAATTCCCGCATCCTTATTCATTGTATGGGGCCTTGCACGAAACACCACTCTCAAGCTGGCGACGATGACAGCAATGAATTCAACGAGTTTGAAGCGCGGAGAATGAAGTTCGCTTTGGTTGGAATCAACCTTTCTTGTTGAGGCCTAAATCTACAGAGCTGAACTGCACCAGAAATGGGACAAGTCCCTTGCACATGAACGGCTGGTCGCGCGAGCAGTGCTCCTCCCAGCAAGGTGCTGGGAGTTGCCTTGGCCATAGCACAACTGCGTCCAACACACGCTCCCACATCCGCGGTAGAACGCCTCGCCGGTCGCACCTTCGAAAGACCACAGTACTTTGTGCTTCCGCTACATTTAGCCACCGTACTAAAACTAAACTACCAAACAAACCACAAAACTAACTACTGCAAGGCTTGAAGTAAACTCGACGAGGGAGTCGCAAGAAATCAACGCTGGCCGAGCAATCCGAGTTTCTGGCAGGTGCGTCCCACATGCGACGCCTGGGCCTCCGTCCAGTCGCCGCCTGCCCGCCGGGCCAGGCCGCCAGCCACGCCCGGGCCCCGGGGCCCCAGCGAAGGAGCCCCACCCGCCCGGGCGGCCCGCCCCGGGGCCGCCATCCCCTTCTTGGCCCTCCCGATGCCGCCGCGCCGGCCGAATCCCCGACCGCTGATAAGCGGCCAGGCCAGCCGTCCAGCCCGCCGGTCCAGCCCGTGTACCCGGAGCCGGGGATCTGGCAGCAGACGCTGTGGCGGTCGTTCGTGGCGGGGGGTATCGGGTTGCACACGGGGGAGGTGGCGTATGTGAGGGTGAGGCCCGCGCACGCGGGCGAGGGACGGTACTTCGTGCGTGTGCCGGCAGGGACGAACGCCGGGATGTACAGGCCGCCGGAGGGGGAAGTGGAGCAGGTGCGGAGACAGTTGGGTTCCCATTGTGGATTCCAATCGGTGCTGCAGTTCATTTTTGATCTAAATCATGGTCTTTTGGGACGATGCTATCCAAACGTCAAAGCCGAAGTGCCAAAAAACTGCAGTTGTAGCAAATGACAGCAGCATTAATGTAACGTTGTTAGTTGTGGTGTGCACTGCATTGGCCTGCTTGATGCAAAGATGAGCCAACATGTGCATACTTCAATATGTACTGTTTAACTGCACGCGAAATGCAAGAAATACCAGTTCTGCTCAGGCCATCATGTACCCGTTGCCAATCTGATTACATTGAATCTCGCATGGAGTGTCGGCATTAGGGCATAATTTGTCTATTTCCTGTGTCAGTGGTACTCCAAGCAGGCCCACAAAGCTCAGTCCCATCCTCTTGACGAGACGAATGTTGGCCACCTGAACCGCTTTGCTTCTGTGCGTGCTGTGCCAAGATGGGTCGTAACTGCTCAGTCCATCGCTGATTTCACGTGTTGTGGATTGGGCAGCATCTGGCTCTTGATAGACTGGAACAAACATTGCTTGGTCGTTGCTGTGCCAATCATCGCCTCCCTAAATGCAAGAGCCCTGTTCTATCATGTACTCTCGACCAATGCAACAAGTGGAATTCATGACCACTGGAGCAATGAACAATCGCAGTGGCAAGAATAGGACCAAACTCGGGTGCATACCCCGATCCTGTAACTGATGATGGATTGTTCGAATGGCCTGCGAGAAATGTAAATTGTTTAATGGAATTTGCTTAAATGTGACAAAACACTGCGCTTGTGTCTGCACTGCGCAGATAATCGAAAATGCAATCGCCACAGACACAAAGGGGCAAATTAAATCTGGACATTGACGCCTTGATTTGTGCATCTGGGTCAGGTGTTCCCAAGGGAGGAGCTGCCCCTGGATGAGGAGGCTGAGGACCTGCGGGTAAGGGTGTACCTTCAGTACCTGAAGGCAATGGAAGAAGACAGCTTTGAAGGCACGTTCATGGAATACTGCCAGCTGCAGACTTGCACAGCAGAAAATCTGGCGGTGAAGATAGACCCTGAATCGATGCCAGAGGAGGTGAGGGCATGGGATGGGCAGGAGGTCATTGTGCCAGCGACGATAGACCACGTGAGCGATGGGGAGCATGCTCTGAGCGTGAGTTTGGGGGAGGGAGAGCACAAGGTGAAAGGTGTAGAGCACTTGCTGTCAGCCCTGGAGGCTTGTGGTGTGGACAACGCGAGGATCGAGATTGAGGGAGGCCCAGAGGTACCCATCCTGGATGGGTCTGCCCTGGGGTGGGTGATTGAGGTCCAGAACGCCGGTTTGATGGCAGCCACATGTGTGAGGGGCGGGAAGGTGAAGCGCATCAGGCGGGCAGCATTGAGGGTGCAGGAGGAGTTCATGGTGCGAGACGGGGACAGCTTTGTGAGCGTGGTGCCAGCCGACCGCATGACCCTTACGTACGGGGTCAACCACACGGTGGTGGCACCGATAATCGGCAGGCAGTGGCGTACATGGTGCATGCAGGACGACCCGAACTACAAGTTGGAGCTGGCATCTGCACGGACATATTTTACTTGCGAGGAGGAGGCATTCGCCCTGAGGGATGCAGGGTTTCTGCAGGTATGCGCATCCCTGGAATGCACACAACTGCTTGTGCTACAGCACCAGAATTTGCGTTTCCTCTGTTCCAAACGTCTATTTATTGATCTTTTTCCTGCTGTAGTTTTGTGCATTGATGTACTGGTTACATGTAAGTCCAGCAGCCAGGCACAAATCTAGAGCTGTTCTGATGATACTTTTGCATCATCCCTACACCAAGCAACCGAGCTTCATAAATTTCTCTGTCAGAAGGAGGTGTCCTTTACGTTGCTTTGGTTTCATGGGACAATCTCTCATGTGTGCAGGGAGGCATAGAGGATGTGGCGATTATAGCAAATGGCGAGGAGTGGTGGGACCCTGGAGATATTCGATACCATGATGATGAGCCTGTCAGGCACAAGCTAGTGGATTTGATTGGGGATCTGTCTCTGCTGTCCCTGGGTGGCATGGGCGGTTTGCCCTATGGCCATGTCATGGCATACAGGGCTGACCACGAGCTACACCTGCAGTTTGTGAGGGGCTTGAAGGAGCGGATGCAGATGCAGCAGGGGTGCTATGAGGCATACACGGCAGATCCAAGGGCCCCGGCTGACCTGCACCTGGATGAGGTGTCAAAGAGAACGGGCAAGCCAGTCGTGGAGTTCATTGAGGAAGATTGAAGGCTGACAGTCTGCAAAGGCATTCCGCAGAAGCAAAGTCTATGTGCGCTTGTGCTGAAGCTATGCCAACGTGTGGCGCCAGAGGGACGGACTGACTCTGCACAATGGCAGTGACGGGTGGATCAGATTCTGGGACGTCTGCCGCCTTGCTGCACCAGACATGCTTCCTTGGGGCCTGGAGTTCTGTTTCAGCGCCTGTGGCCAGTGGACAGCCCTCTTGGATTCTCATTTGCACCAACATGCCAGCATTCATGCAGTCGTTGGCAAAGCTGGACTGCAATCAGTTGAGGGGAATGTGCGAGGCAGCCCCTGAGAAGTGCTTCTCCTGTGAGCGAGACTTGCAGAATTGGGGTGGTAGCAGAGGGAGGACCAGCTGTTTGGCACCACACCATGAGCTGTATTGGCACCGACTGCCCACGTCAGCTGGCCTTGGTTCCCAACCCCGTGTGTCTTCACTGCCTTCCACAAAACAGGGTGCTTGAAAACAGGACAGGGCAGGATGAGCCAGGACATGACAGAGCATTGGCCACTCTCGGAAGTTGAATGTGCACCTGCCATTTTTAGTGGTTGTGCTGCCTGCCAGTTGGTGTCTGTCGTCTGGCAGCTGCAGCAGGATTTGGGCCACAAGTAAATGAATATTTCCGTTGGACGCTGTTCAAACTTCAGGGGCAGATTCAGACCAAGTGCAGGCTACACGCGCTGAGAATGAGTGCCTGTCGTTCCTTGCGCTTCCAAGTCTTCTCTGCACATGCCATCAATTTTTATCACAACGCAATCTCGTGTTCCAATGCCTTGATTGGTGCCATGCTCTGCTTGTCAGCGTGGGAAAGACAGCGGCACAGCTGCAGTAGTGCTGCTGTGGTCGGTGGATTCCTTGGGTTTTGTGATATTAGTCCATCACAATATTCCAGTACATTTACCAGCAGATACTTTGTAATCGTTTCGTGCCAAATTGCTCCGCTTCTCAATTCTGACTGTGGAGAGGGCATTTCGTTGTTCGTTACCGCTCGTATGGCTGCGGGAGTGCTTTTCACCCCATTGCGCCGAATGCGGCTTTCTTTCGCCATGCAAAGGGTGCAGAAACCAAGTAACCAAAACAAGTGGTTGTGTCGTACATCTCATCAACGGTAGCGGTGGCCACAGTGAGCTGCTGCGTATGTGTTTTTCGCAAACGAGTGACAGCATATGATTTTCCATATGGCACCCAGAGCATGACGTTTGTGGATGGTTTTGGAACCGAAACTCTTGCCAAAGGTCTGGGATCTGGAATCCAGATGCAACATCCAAATTCTGGATGTTGCATTCCGACACATGCAGTACTCAATAGCTTTACCCCGCATGCCAAGACCTGATGGACCATCGCACCGGTGTCTAGTTCATCATGTCCTGGATGGCCAACGCTGTTGTCAGCGCAGCTGTGCGCTGGCAGCTGGTCTCCTCCCCACGATGGGAACCGGCTGCAGCCACATGAAGACTGTATGTTTGCAGCTTTATCCACTCAACGCTTGCAATCAACGATAATTGTCCTGGCACGTCTCGAATGTTGAGTTCGATTCGCTCACGATCAATCAGTGTTCAACACGCTCTTTTCGGCCCAGAAAGTCCGTCCATCACCAGAGGTCGTCCAGCATCATTGCGCTAAGATAATCATCATCATCATGACATTTTACGTAACAAGTCAAGGAGGTAGCCGTCAGCGTTGCATGAACAGAAAGCAACACTCGATATCGTAGCGCCCGTTTCTCAATTTCGGTTCGCTGGGGTGTTGGCTAGCCGAGATCGGCGAAGCCCGAACGCTTGGTGAGATGCGTTTCTCGCTAGGTTGTCATCTGCGTTCGGTGCTGTGGAATGTTGACGGTCAGCGACAATGGGGCCAAAGAAGAAGAAGGGAAAGGGAAAGGCGGCGGACCCCGCCAAGTTTGAAGACAAGGAAAGGCTGAAGAGGGCGGAGACGGAAATCGTCTCGCTACAAAGGCTGCTGGAGATCCGCAGCCATGAGGTGTGCAATCATGCAGCTCATGCCTTGTGCGCTCTCACTTGAATCCATCAAAGTGTTTCCTTCTCAGGATCCTCCAGCTTCGGTGCTCCGTCTGGAAAACGCAGTGTTTCGCTCAGTTGTGCAACGGCAGCTCAAGCTGCTGGCGATGGTCATTAGCAATTCGACCGAGTGCGGAATCCTTAAAACGTCCGCTGGAACGGTGTCTCTGGAGTCCAAAATAATCCACTAAACAATACACAATTTAAAGGGCAATGCTGAGAGCAGCCGCCCTATCAATGTGGCCACTGAATAGGAAATCAGCGCAGGCTGTCAAGCCCGAGCCCAGGTCCACTCGTGTCCGCGTAGCTGGGCAAAATTCAAATTTTATGCAATAAACAAATTTTACGAAATGAAATATGGTGTAACTTTCACAAACAGCAGTTGCACAGTTGACATGCACATTGGCTCGCTGCAACTCTGTTCTCCGGGAACATTTCTGGGAACAGAATTCCCACTTAAAGTGTGTGCCATAGCTAGGTACCGTGTACTAAGTACTTTGGTATATTTCACCGAAGTGCGCTTCCAGTTGCCCTCGTTTATTCATTCCTGCATCCATTCCGCCGGTTATATCAATCAATCAGGATGTAAAACAGATTAAGGCAAAAGATGGCATTGAGCTCCTAATTTTTCCACGGGGAAAAGTAGTTCCCATTATTTGTCCATCAAAAGTCCTAATTGATAGTGGACAAACCGAATTCAATCGCGGGCAATCATTAATTAATGAAATCTTACATATCAAGGCAAGAGGTAGGTTGAGCCTCCATTAAACCGCGGTTTCACAGGCCTCGCTGACAGTAACTGTCGATCTCACTGTGGGGTATCACACACTTCCACGAGGAACATCAGTCGCCGGCCTTTGCAATTTCTGAGAGAAATCATAGTTTCTGTACCATTCGCTGAGAGTGCATGCTCCTGACGATCCTGCGAACTTTATGAATGGATCAGGTGGTGGTGTTGGGGACATGTCGAGAAAGAAATCGGGACTGGTTGGCGATTACCAAAATCGCCATCGCCAATCATGTCCACATCCTTTTTGCGTGAACTGTTCCCACCAAAATGTAACTGCATAGATGACTAGTCCATTTTATGCGTCGTCTTTCCTATTGCCACGCTTTCTAGCAGCCACACTATTTCTCTATATTGCACAGATGTCGAAACCTTCGTCCAGAAAGCACGTGAGCTACGTCCTCTTCCGAAAACTGCCTACGGACATTGAGTTATCCCTTTTCTGATCCATCGATGAGTTGATGCAATTGGCGTTTGAATTCACAAGTCCTGCACCGACCACCGTCACTGTTGAGGCAGTACGGTAGCTGCTGCAGCTGTGCTACTCTTTTATCAGCCCCATCTCTATTCTGATCAAAAGGACAATTCAATATCTTGCCATGTCAAAGATTCCTCATTACCACGACTGGTATTTGATGACTGCAATGTCCTGACAGAGCTATCTGTTTCTGCCGTCGTAGCGCGAATCTAGCTTTTGTAGGAGCTGTATTCTCATGTTCTCAACCCCAGGGGCGCCATCAAGATGGACCTCACATAGGTAACGAGCATGTCAAATTCTTGGTGCCAATGACATTCGTTTCCGGGTTTCGACCGTGTCCAACGGCCGCCGCAGGCCCTCGAAGCTCGCAGGCTGGAGCGCCAATGGAGGGAGCGTCTGCAAGCCTGCACGGAGTGCTTGGAGCAGCAGAAGCTCGAAGCGCTTGACGTGCACTCGGACATGTTAAGGCAGTACAAGGTAACGTTCTCTCACCTGGCGGTGCTTTGGTGTGTTGAGGCCACAAAAATGTGGCTGGAGCCGGAGCTATCACCGTGCCTAAGCAATTGCCTGAGCACTTCGTGATTCACCACTTTGCGATGAATTGTATGAATTGTTTGACCCCATTTGTCAAAGCTAAAGAGCCACGCCAAGGCACCTGAAGATTTTTGGAGGGAAAACTTCAGTTCCGTATCAAAGTCTGCAGATTCTGGTGTCATCCTTCAAATGCATCAAACTGCTTTGCAGTAATCTATGCAATAGAAGCAATCTATAGATTAATCAGGGCTTGTTAAATTTTGGATTAAGATGGCAGCTGAGTTCGACACAGTGTTCTTACACCGCTTCAAACCTGAATCGAACACACCGGTTGCAAGTCGCGCGGTAGTGATACACCCGTGGCTCCAAATGCCACCCATGAATGCCAGACAACGTGTCACTTTGCAGAGAGTAACCCTGCATGCATTGCATAGGCGATGCAGGACAAACTGATTAAGAAGATTTCAGACCTCAATGCCAAGAATGACGATCTCGTTCGCCAATTCAGCACCAAGGACGAAGAGACGGTGCGAATTATAGCGGAGAAAGACGAACTGAAGAGGAGGACGGATGCAGAGGTCCGCATCATCCACAAAGCAATGAGCAGCTTAAACATCGATTTGCAACTCCGTGTATTATGTCCACGCTCATTGAATGCAATGAAGTGAATTCATTGCACGGAATAACTTTACTGTAGATTGTCCAAATTTGGGACAATCTGTGTATAGTACTGGGGCTGCATGAGGGAGCATTTGCTGTGCACGAGACATTGCATCGAGGCCACCAGTCGATGCAATACTGCTGTGTGTGCCTTTCTTAATTTGATACCAATTCTGAGGATGCCCTCCTGTCAAGCTAGCATTGTTGGGTGGAGCTGAGCGCCACGCTGTAGGTGCACCGCGAATGTCCTTTGCTTCCAGCAAATAACGCTGAAGGAATCGCCGAATTGCGAGCGCTCTCAAAATTGTGACATGTGCGGCGTCGCACTTCTGTTTTGCCTTTCGGCGTTATATCTGCTGCCCTCCTCGCGGGACCTTGCGCATTTGGATACTGCTAATGCGGGACAGAAGATGCCGAACTGCGCAGACCTTGGGCGCAACGATCAGTACCAGCGGAAACCCAAACTCCATGGGAGAGACAAATGCGCATTGAGTTTACCTGTTCATGAGGCGGCATATTCGAGGCATCGAATGCACGGCGCTGACTGGTTGGCACATTTGCTTGACCATTTGCACCTTTCCGAGTGCATTATCGACCGCAGCGGCTGCGCCCTAATGGCAGCTATTGTTTCGCAGATCGCGGACTACAAACGACGCCTCAGCGACATGCAGAGCGAGTTTGCGGACATGCTGAAGGAGACTCTCGACAGAATGCACGACAGGCTGGAGAACAGTCACGAGGACTTGGATGGGTCGGAGTAGCGCAGGCGGCCCCGGCAAGGGCTGGAGGTGCAACCAAACGTGCGGCCCCAAGGACCCGGACTGGCAGTCGCTGGACTCGATTGTTGATTGTTATTCACGCCTGCAATCATCAGTTGCCATGCTCGCCGCTACGACTGGGCGCTACGATCGGACTTCACTGATTGAAACCCGTGGTGTGCCTGGCTGCATTCGGTGCGCCTGTCCACGGAGAGTGGGTGGAATATCCTGCCACTGGCTGTTGCCACGATCCACGTGAGGCTAGGTATTGACCGCGGTGCACTTCGCGTCCCCTGGATGGCAAGAACCCCCCCAGCGATGGCCAGGCAGCCACAAGGCGCGCATGGAACTTTGTGGAAACTCACAAGGTCTTGTGGAAACAGATACTGCAGCAGGGTGTGAGCCTGCTGCTGAGTTAGGCTCTGCTTTTCAGACCCACAGACGACGCACAAGCGATTGCCTGGTGATTGACAGAAGGCTCACGCTTAGGCACCGCTGTGATCATTGGCCATCAGATGGGTGCAGTCAACACTCACGTGGAACCTTGTTTGGATCGATGCTTCTGCTTGAGCAGTGCATCCGCTGGCTGGCACCCTGGCCATACTCCTCTGGCAACAGCAGGTGCTACCAACTCTTCAAACAGAGGGCTTCAACAATGATTGATTCAAGAGCCCAAAGGCGGGGGGATTGGTAACCAAAGGCGCAGCGTTAGCAAATAAACCAAGCTGCGCACTCTGAAGCAAAATTTGTGTTTTTGAGTTTGCCAACTCACGGCAAGCGCCAGTACCACTTAGTTTACAAGCAAGCCAAACCTGTACATGCTCAAGGTCAGCCCGGAATATATGAACCACAGCAGGCACGTCCACCAAGCACAGAAGCCTCCAAAGTGGTAAAGTGCCATCGATGGGAAGGCCGACTCGCCATCGTCTGACACCGTGACGCCTCCAGCCATCCAGACTCGCATGACAATCATTACCAGCCCACAGCAAGCAGTGATCACAGCTGGTGCCAGCATTTGGACGCCCACCCTGCACAACAGAAAGGTGTTCACCTGGACCTTGAGCGTGATGATCGTCTTGATAGACTGTTCATCTTTCTTGTCGCCGCCTCTCATCCTGAGGCTGTGCCACTGAACAAGTGCACCATGCAGGTAACCCTGACCACAAAGAGAGTTAGAGAGTGTCAGCATCCCCATATTCCATGCCCCTGTTTGGGAGCCAAAACTGCAGATACTTTGCCAAAGGTAGCCAAGTGCTGGCATGAGAGAGCTGTGCTCCTTTTAATACCCACTTCATCAACATTTCAGCCATTTGTGCCAATGGCCGAGCTGGCAGAATGGGAATTGAGGGGAGGACAGGTGCCGTGAGTCTGACCTGCAGAGGCTGGGCATGGCATGGTGCAAAGACAATGGCAACTCCCAGATTATTGGACAATGCACATTTGCGACATTGCCTGGTTTGTCAGCACCATGCCACAGCTCTCTCAACCAAATCTCGGATGGTTGATACCAGGACCCTGACTTGGTGCTATTGATTCTGAACGTTCCATGAATGTCGGCTATGAAATCGGCATTGCAAATGATGGAAACTGGTAACAGCACACACCTTCATTACATGCCCCCAAGCGAATGCACATGCTGCATTTTGAGGAAAGGTAAAAACAATGCAAAACACACATACAGGATCCAACAGCACCGTGTTGGCTTGGTACCAGCACCACAAGGGCGCAGCACAATATGCTGGAAAAGGTTGATGATGAAAGCACATTCATGGCCCCAGCGCGACATGCATTGTCTGAGAATGGGCCACTGGACAAAACAACACAGTATATTCCTGACTGATGACATAGCAACGATTGTTGTGTGACCAGTTGCCATTTTCTTCCATCACTTCTTTTTGGTTTGTGCATTGTGTTAGCTGTAGAGGGTAGAGTACACAGTGAGCCGGGGATGGGCACGTAGAACTTGATACACCTCAAAATGCAGATCGACAGAGCACCGGGCAGCAGCCTGGCATAGACCTGTGCTCATGCAGTGTTGGAGGAAACAATCAACAGCACACCTGTACAAGGGGCCTGAAGCTGGCTAGCTGAAGCACAGCCCATAGCAGGACCAACGTTGGCTTCGACACCTCCAACAGCCATGGAGGGCCGTTCAGCAGCTCGATTACAGGATCGATCCATGAAATAATGCACAACAGTGCCGCAAGGAACCGCAATTGAAGGATGGCCACTGTCAGCACTCCAGGTTCCATAAAGTGGCGGAGGTCCCTTGGGGGAGACTGCCACAAGTAGTGGCTCCTATACACAAGTAACAGGGAGGGCAGTGAAGATTATTCGCACGGCTGCAGAGAAATGTGTTCTTCATGAATCTGTTGATTGCATTGCTCAAATGAAACACAGCAGTGCCCTTGTATGTACAAGGTAATGGTGGGCATCATTCCATCCATGCTGACTGCTGATATGTGTGCAGATCCTGCCAAGAATGATGTCAAGGTTCTTGCTGCGGGAATGAAATACCAGGGTGTGAGAGAAAGAAGAGCGGTCTTAGCAGAAATGCAAATACAGTGACTTCTACTCTGGCAGCGATGTTGCACTTTGGCCTGTGAATTGAGACCAGGAGGCTATGGCTGATTCTCACCTCATGCCCCTGACTGCTGGTGTAAACATGAGGCCTCCAAGCACGCAGCACACAGCGGAGAGGGGCAGAAAGACTACAAGTGGGTCGAACATCACGGTTGGCACCTCACCTGATGGACCACAAGCACAGTTTCGTCAGCAATCCACAAATCTCAACAGGCAAGACTGTTATTTGTGCGGGCTGTCAAGCAGTCCATCCAAAACCATCTAAGAAAGTATGACAGAACCTGGGCGGCCAGACATATTTGATCACAGTTGTTAGCAGGGACAATACCACATCCATCAGTGACAGACAAGTACCCAAGTTACAAGATTTGGTACAATCACAGTTTGACAGTAGAGCAAAGTGCAGGGTGGCAAGAGTGGATATGGGCATCACTGTGATCGCTCTGGACAAAGTGTGTCCTGACTGTGTTTGCTTCTTCACAAGCTGCTGCAGCAAGACTGGTGAGTGTGACAGCACGACTGTGCATCTATCTGTTGTGATTCCTCCTGTGCAGACAGGGCTGGTGGAGTACCACTGGCCGCTCATTTCATGGTTGACATCATTTGTGGTGTAACATGTGCCAGTGCAGAATATTGCCTTGCTTGATAAATTGATAAGCCTGAATTGCGACCTCAATTTCATGTTGACTCAGAGTCAACTAGGGATCATGTGCAGTACTGGGTATTCCACACGCCCAAGTGCAGGAAAACTCTGAGATGACATATTGAATCAGCAGTGTTGCCCCACACAAAATGTCTAGCATGGGCCTAAACATATCTTAAAAAGTACACCGTGTTCTCAGAGTTAAGAGTTCTTTTCCACAAAAAGTCGCTAAATGCAAGACTACCCAAGTAAAATCTTCTTGCATGGTTGTCTTTAAGTGGCCATTTTTCTCAACTTCAGATGTCAAGCAACAATCACGGCACCTTCATCGGCCCCTATCCAGCCAGCCCAATGTGCCCAAAGCATGGATTGCGGCAGTATAACAATTAGATGCCACAACATCATATACTGACCTTTGGGCTGTTGTAGCCTGGCAGCCACTGCTTTTGTTACTGCCACTCCCAGCTCTTTTATGGAAGCCTGGAGTTTGAAGTCCACCATCCAAAGGGGTGCTAAGAGGAGGAATGCATAGCAGGCAGCGAACAAACACGCCACCAGGCCAAACATGTACATGCGTTCGTGGCGAGGAGTGAGGTCACTCAACAGTTCAACCTGTCAAGTACAGACACCGATAGCATCACAACCAAATCAGCACTCCTGGGGAACGGGTGCCTGAGCAGAAATGCATATGCATTCTGCGGAAAGGCAGTATGGTTGGAGATGTTCCTGTCACTGCCTTGAAAGAAGCAAGGATATTGTTTCAAAAAATTGACGAATTCAATCAACAGACTGGTGTACACTCTCCTAGGAAACACTGGCAGGGGAGCGACTACTAAGAAAACAAGATGATATCCAAAACACACACTTTTGCAAACCTGCCGTCAACGTTGCGGTAAGGCATGTCAGTTGTGGCACTTTGCGATCTCAGGGGAATGTCAGCACGCTACAAATCGGGCATCATCGAACAATCAGGCCCTTGGGAACAGCACTGCTAGATTTCGCACAAGTCCTAGTGTGCTTGCATTCAGCACGAGAGCTGCATCTGTTGTTTTGGTCTTCGATGCAGGCTTGCTCTTTAAAAGAGCTGCTGTGAATCACTTTGTACTCTGACAGACAACAGCAGAATGCCCAACTCCAACTGGTCACAGTGGTCCTTGTGTGGTTCAACTCTGTGCTGTGCGAATTTCCATTGCAGACAACTCATCGTCAGCATGGTTGCCTTTTGATATGACGAGCTGAAGGGCAGGCAGCGCATCTAAATTAACCAATCATAGGTTCCCACCTGTGCCAGGGCCCACACCCCTCCCAAAATGGTGATGATCGCCAACGGCACGGTGATAGAATTCCTCACACCAAATAGCGCTTCGCCAACGAGTCCAGAAGCAAAATTGATGGCAGTGAGAGCAGCAAGCATCACCTGGAAAATGCACAACATTTCCATCGTTTCTAGTGAAATTTGGTGACGTTCACGAACAAGAGACCAGGCAATCAGGCATCGACCTTCAACAATCTTGCAAATGTGGCAGTGGACACGCACCGAGCGGAGCTCCCATTCACGTTGCCTCACGACCTTTCTTTGCGTAAAGTGCGAGAAACGCGGACCTCTGGCCTCCAACATGACCCACCAGATCCAGGATCACCCAGCCCGCTCCCGGGCCCTCCCTCACCAAATAGTCAAAGACGCTGAAGAACTCCGACTCCTCCACGGTGGTCCTCGACAGCTTCATCACCACTATCTCCTCCGCGTTCCCCAAGTCGAGTTTGTGCCGCCGTTCCTGTTCCAGGCGCCTGCGCCTCCTGCGGGGCATCTGCTCAGAGCCGCCTCCAGAGCGCCTCTCCGGCGCCTTTTCATCGGGCTCGTCGGGGATGTCATACGCCGATAGCCCAGTCAAAAGCAGCGAGGAAAGCGTCCACCTGGCATCCATAACACGCATCTGAGCAAACTAAGAACGGCTCAGGAGCCAGAGGAGTTGCCGTAGGCTTACCCTGTGTCAGAACTGCTGCAGAGGACTGCGAAGGGCGAATGCCAAGGCACGGCTCCAGGCACTGCAGATGACACGACTGGTGTGGCCGCCGCTGCACCAATGCGAATGCCAATCCCCGCCGCCGCCACACACATCGCTCCCCTCACCGTCGCCACTGCGTTCTGATAGCCGGGGCCTCGTCGCGGGGAGGCTCCCGCCGACCGGTTGCAACTGTCGCTCTTTCATTTTCAGCTCATTCGAACGCCCCAAAACGATCCATCAGACTCAACGCAACCGAGGCGGTCACAATCCACCCGGCGCGGATGTATAGCCGGGCCCTTCCGCACTCACTGGCCCCACGGGACGGCGCTGCCACGCGCGTGAGCGGCAGCGATCCTCGAAACTTCGATCGTCCGAGCCAGCGACGTGCACGCGACGACGCGTTTGAGGACACGGGCCGCGCGAGCGCCCCCTCCGGTTCCCTCCTTTCCCACCTCCCGTTGTAGAGCAGCCTGACCGCCAGCACGGAGATGGCGATGTAGCCCAGCTGATCCAGCAAGATCCCCATCGCCGTCAGCGCTGGACGACCGTTGCGAACGAGAAGAAGGCGGATGGCTGGCGTTTGCAGGCTCTCCGACGGTGGCAGCGCAGGGTGGCGGCTGGAGGGCGCCCGCCTGTGGGGTTTGACCGCTTGGGGGGCTGCGCCTCCGCAAGGCGGGCGATTGTGCTCTGATCGCGCACCGGCGGATGACCACGCAAATACCAAGGCGCAGGCGAACAAATCGATTTGACAGCACTGTATTGAGAGGTTTTGCAATTTTCTGGACATAAATTGGCGCTTGTTGTCTGTTGAGAAAAGGTGACCGCCACTTCCATCAGCTTCCAATTGCATCATCATCATCATCATGATTTTTTACAGAACAAGGCAATGAGGTAGCCGTCAGCTTCCTATTTTGCCTGAGCAAAGCAGAGTCGGTGATTGGTTCATTGGAATCCAAGGAGAATACAAACTAAATGTACGATCTATGAAATTTCGATGCCTAGAAGTGATAATCGATGGTAATACATCAAACGAAGTGTGTTCGCAAGCTGTCGAGCTGGAACTGTAGCAAAGAGTACTTTTGCATTGAAAAATACGAGAGTGGCTTCGACGGATGGTGTCGTAGGCTTTGCAATGGAAGAGAAAATGGAGCTCGTTGTTACGCGCACCAGCCTGATGTGGGAGACGTCCTACTAATGGCCCTTGGTGTGGGGGACGCCCTGCCCAAGGCACGTACTATTCCTCACCCAATGTAACCTTTATCCACATTAGGATACGGGAGTAGGAGGGGTGGTCCCGCCTAGGTGCCCTGTAAGGACCTAGGTGCCCGGCGAGGCGGGTCCGCGGCTCAAAGAGGGCAGGAACCCCACACCCACATCCTATTCGTATCATTTGGTTTCGGAGCCAGGTTGAGGGTGGCGGCCACGCTTCCACCTGGGAGCGCGCGAGAGCACGAGACGCCGGAGCCCTTCCCCGGCCTCCTCCATGGAGGCTGAGGAATCGGAGGAACAAGCCCGGGACGGGCAGGGGGAAGGACAAGCCCGGGATGGGCAGGCGATCGATACAGCCCGGGATGGGCAAGGAACTGAACAAGCCCGGGATGGGCCAGGAGGTGTAAAAGTCCGGGAGGACATGGCTGGACCCTCCACAGCCACATCGGCACCCGCAGCAGAAGATGAGCCGATGGAAGAAGTGGATACCCCGCCGGCGGCGGAGAAGACGCAGGAGCAAGACCAGGACGCAGAGGCGGCGGCGACGTTGCTGAAGATCCCCGGTATCAAAGAGCTCCTGCAGAAGATGGCGGATACCGCGGCCGAGAAGGCGAGAGCGAAGCGGGATGAAGAGACCGCCGAGAGGATCGCCTCGCTGGAGATCGCCGTCAACAAGGCCAAGAAAGAAGCTCGAGAAAAAGAGCTGGCCATGAAGAAGGCGAAGCAGCAGAGCCGCGAGGCACAAGAAGCCAAAACCTCCACCGAAGACCAGGTCAAGGCGTTGAGTGACCGCCTCCTGAAGCAAAAGCAGCGGGCCCAGGAGGCAGAAGAGAGAAGCGCTCAACAGGTGGTGCCAGCTGTGAGGGCCCCCAGTCCGTCGGAGCTGCACATGCCAACCATTCCAGAGGAAGACTGGAAGGTTGCTGGCAAGCAGCGCCCCAAGCGGAAGAGTCCATCGCCAGGTGAGCGGCCAATGGAAAGTGAGAAATCTCCATATCAAGGCCGGGAGGCCAAAGCCTTAGGGCGAGTTGAGAGAATGCAAGGCCGGAAGGTCAAGATCCCGGAGCTACGGCTCAAATCCCCGGTGTATGTGAGAACACCTAGTGGATCGGACGGGACTGGAGATGAGTCGCTCACAGAAAGCGCTCAAGCTGTTTGCGGAAAAAGTCCGCCAAGGCCGGGAGGCCATAATCGGAGCCCTCGGAGGCCTGCGCTACCAGAATGGGGGCCGGGTGAAAGCTCAAGGGTGCTGGAGTTCGTTCCAGACACTCGAGATCCATATAGCCGGCAACCACCGTGCCGTGCAATGTGGACAAAG